CTGAACGATACACCCGATTTGATTGCTAAAGCACCGTTTGAGATTACTCTGTAATCGAGGTAGCTGAAGGGATAGACTGATCACTCATCTTCGGAGAGGGGTCTGTCCGAGAGACCAATAGGCCGAGGAGGCTGAGGTAATCACTCGAGCAATCAGCAAATAGGTGTATCAGTTTGAAGACAGAAAACACTCTACGGGCTTGTTAGCCGACGACGAACGAACCCACTTAGTTAAGGACGGTGTGCAGTCTACGTGTAGACCTAGGCCACACAGAAGAATTTATCCACGCTGGATTTTAACTACATCAACCCGACCGCTCTTCCAGAGCAGTACCGCGAGCACCTCCCATCCCAAGCGGAGTGGAGCACAGAACGAAACGCACATTTCATAGGAGGAAGGCCTGTATTCATCAGGCCAGACAATCACAACTTCGACTACTCCCCAGAGGAATTTGAAAGGACACTTCCCCATAACCTTGGTGGAATAGTGCTCCAGCACATCGCAGACAGCGATATAACGACCTCCTATCCAGGAGAAAGACCAGACGCCCCTTGGAACCCCCCTGCCCAGAATCCTGTACCCCAACCGACTCTTGCACCAATCGTACCCGATTACATACCACCGATGGCTACAGTTACCATGGATGAAGGACGTCACCATGTTAGCCAAAAGGAACTTGGTTTTAGAAAACCCGAGATCTTCAACGGTTCAGACCGTTCGAAGCTTAGGGAATTTATAAACCAATGCAAGAACTACATGGCCGGAAATAGCCATGTCTACCAGGAGGACAATCAGAAGATCGCATTCGTGCTATCGCACATGCAAGGAGGAACAGCAGGATCATGGGCACAGAGCTTCATAGAAACGGAACTCACCAATGACGACTTCCTTTCTTATGGGAGTTGGAGAGACTTCATTGCGAGTGTGAACAAAGCATTTGGCGATGAAAATATTGAAGAAACCGCTCGTACCTTGCTACGTAACATCAAGCAAGGGACTCGTACTGCGGACGATTACATTGCCGAATTCCGATCGCTTGAATCCAAGGCGAAATTAGAAGATGTCGGAAATATCGAATATTTTAAGTGGGGACTTAACGACCCACTCCGACAAAGGATATATGGGATGGAAAGCATGCCCAAGACACTTGACAAGTGGTACGAATACGCCTCGTGGTTTGATAACCAATGGAGATCTGCTCAGATCTTCAAGCGAGGAGCCACTACAACGACGCGAGGAAAGGGCCGATCTGTCCATCGTCCCTACTACTCGGCTTCTGCAAAGGATCCAAACGCGATGGATGTTGATCGAGTCAACATCTCGCGCTTATCCCCGGACGAGCGACAAAAGAGAATGAAAGAAGGATTATGTTTCCTATGCGGAAAGAAGGGCCATATAGCCAACGACAGACAATTCCATCCTCAGGCTGGAAGTTTCACCCGTGCTAGAACGATACAGCCCGGGTTGGACACAGACACGATCACATGGATCAAGAAGATGCGAGAAGACCTCGCACAGAAGAAGGAGACGTCGAAGGAAGAAACCAGAGAGGAACAGATCGCCTATGTGCGAAACGTCTTCAACGACATGACTGATGAAGAACGAACCCAATTGGGTTTTTGAGACGACGGCCACTAGTAATGCATGGACCGTCGCATCTTACCGTATCTCCCCTCGTTATTTGTAACACTAGCGGAAATTCAATCACTGTGAATATTTTGTTGGGAGAGAAGGAAGACGTTACAACAGAAGCCTTGATCGATTCCGGTGCAGCCGAAACGTTCATGAACATTCGTTTTGCGGAAGAAAACGATTTCATCAGATGGGAATTACCGAAACCGATTACAGTCATGAATGCAGATGGCACACCAAATCAAATGGGTACCATTACTCATTGTACCTGGAAGATGATGAAAATCGGAGGAAGGAAGACGCTTACTCGATTCCTCTTGACCGGCATTGGCAAAGAAAACATACTTCTCGGCATGCCGTGGCTTAAACGCCTCAATCCGATGATCAACTGGGAAACCGGTGACTTTTGGTTTGGTAAAGACGCCAAATGGCCACCGAAACCCACCGTCAAAGATGCACCAGACGAAGAAGTTTCGATTCTCAAGGAAGATGGACTCCCAGAGTTAATCACCACCGAAACTTCCCCTACCTCGTTTGGGCATTCGGAATCTATCAGAGAAATCATGGCCGATAACACTGAGCGTGGCGAGTTACCCGCAGTGCGGAATGATACCGAACCAGATGACCCACCATCAGAACCCCCTATGGATCAGCTCGATGACGACGATCTAGTTATATCCTATATCGCAGGAGAGCCAGTTATTGGGATATTTGAACCCATCAGGAAGGAGTCACCTTTGACGAATGAAGAGACTGAAACCGCAGTCTTCACCATACGAAGAGGCCCCGCCATTGGAAGAATGACACACAGTACTCGATCCCCATTATTCTGTAACGCACAGAATACGGTCTTTTACAAACCATCCGGTAAATCACAAGAATTGGCACAACAGGCACACAAAGAAGCATCAGCTGTAGACAAACCCAAAACCGTCGAGGAGTTGGTCCCCAACTACCTCCACGATTTGAAGTCCGTCTTTGAAAAGAAAGCAGCTGAACGCTTTCCAGAAACCAGGCCTTGGGACCACGCCATTGACTTGAAACCCGATTTTATTCCACGCGACTGTAAAGTCTATCCGTTATCGCTCAAAGAACAAGGAGCGATGGATGACTTCCTGGAAGAAAATCTGCGAAAAGGATACATCCGACCGTCGAAATCTCCCATGGCTTCACCATTTTTCTTCGTAGGAAAGAAAGACGGAGCACTACGTCCTTGTCAGGATTACCGATACCTGAATGAAGGGACAGTGAAGAACACCTATCCTCTTCCGCTCATCTCTGACCTTATGGATCAATTCAAAGGCGCATCGATCTTTACGAAAATGGATTTACGCTCTGGATATAACAATGTCAGAATCAAAGATGGTGACCAATGGAAGGGCGCATTTAAGACAAATCGCGGACTTTTTGAACCTATGGTCATGTTCTTTGGACTCTGCAACTCCCCGGCGACTTTCCAAATGATGATGAATGCACTCTTCAAGGACATGATCGATGAGGGATGGATAGTCATTTACATGGATGATATCCTCATCTTCTCAAACGATTTGGAAGAACATCACATTCGAACCCGACGCGTACTCCAACGACTCGAAGACAACGACTTATTCCTCAAACCGGAAAAGTGTTTCTTTGATGTTAAAGAAGTCGAATTCCTAGGCATGATCATTCGAGAAAACTACATTGGCATGGACCCTATCAAACTTAAAGGAATTGCAAAATGGCCTGAACCAAGCACGGTAAAAGGTGTTCGCTCTTTCCTAGGGTTTGGAAACTTCTATCGGAAGTTTATTGCCAACTTCTCGGATATTGCCAAACCATTGACGAATCTTACGCGCACTGCCGCTGGATCTCCACCTTTTGAATGGACGACAGAATGTCAGACAGCTTTCGACACGTTAAAACAACGATTCAGTACCGCCCCAGTACTGTTACTGCCTGACAAGGCAAAACCCTTTATTGTTGAATCCGACGCTTCCAAGTTTGCTACGGGTGCAGTTTTACGCCAAGCCGACATCAATGGAGACCTCCATCCTTGTGCCTACATTTCACAGACGCTCAATCCAGCTGAACGGAACTACGAAATCTACGACCGCGAACTCCTCGGAATCATTCGAGCCCTCACTGAATGGCGCCATTATCTTGAAGGCTCTCCCTATCCCGTCGAAGTTCGCAGTGATCACAAGAACCTCACGTACTTCCGTACAGCTCAGAAGCTAAACCGCCGACAAGCACGATGGAGTCTCAAATTATCACAATTTGATCTTCACCTCATCCATGTCCCTGGCACTCAGATGATCCAATCTGATGCGCTATCTCGTCGTAACGGACTCGATGACAGTGAAAGTGACAACGAAGATCGCGTTCTTTTACCCAACGCACTATTCGTGCGATCCATTTCCCCAACACTATTCGATGAAATCAGGAATCATGCAGCAAAAGACCTCATTGTTCACGAAGCCCTCGAAGCGATTGCGCACAAAGGGCCATTCCCCATGAAATCATTGCTTTCCGACTGGGAAGTTCGCGATGGTGTCATCCTCTACAAGGGGAAGATCTACGTTCCACCATCCGAAACTCTTCGTCGTGACCTCGTTCGACTACATCACGACTCCCCTGCCATGGGTCACCCTGGAAAGTTCAATACTCTTGAACTGTTACGTCGTGAATTCTGGTGGCCCGGCATGTATACATTTGTCTACAATTATGTTGAAGGCTGTGCCGCCTGTCAACAAATGAAACCGAACACCCATCCAACGCGTATTCCTTTGGAACCAATCCCCGCCAACCCACATGCATTACCATTTTCCTGTTGCACCACCGATTTTATTACCGACCTTCCCATTTCCAATGGTTTTGATTCAATTATGGTCGTAGTAGACCATGACCTTATGAAGGGGGTGATTCTTACGCCCTGCCTCAAAACGATCACAGCCGAAGGAACAGCCAAGATTTTTCATGACAAAGTATACTCGCGATTTGGATTACCCAACCGAATCATCTCGGATAGAGGACCTCAATACGCATCCAAGGTCTTCCAAGAGTTAAATCGACTACTCCAGATCAGATCATCAATGAGCACAGCTTATCACCCTCAGACGGACGGAGAAACAGAGCGAGTCAACCAGGAGCTGGAAATCTATCTTTGACTCTATTGCGGAAACAACCCTGAAACATGGGCCGACCGCCTGCCAGACCTCGAGTTTTGTCATAACACAAGGGAACACTCAGCACGGAAGATGAGCCCATTCCGCATCATGATGGGATACGAACCACGTGGACTCCCTTCCGTATTTTCGTCCACGAACATTTCATCGGTTGAATCCAGGCTTGACATGTTGCAGAAGATAAGACTAGAAGCACTAGCCATGCACGAGTTAGCCCGACAACAGATGGCGGACCGAGTCAGACAAGGATCGCCAAAGTTTACACTAGGACAGAAGGTCTGGCTAGACTCGAGGAACCTGAAGGTCAATTACGCCTCGCGCAAGATAGCACCAAAGCGTGAGGGGCCATTCGAAATTGTCGAAGTCATCGGACCGGCCAACTATCATCTCAAACTCCCGAAGACCTGGCGAGTTCATTCCGTATTCCACGCCGCCCTTCTATCTCCTTATCGCGAAAATGACATACATGGTCCGAATTACATGAACCCACCACCTGATGTCGTTGATAACGAAGAAGAGTACGAAGTCGAAGCCATCCTGAATCATAAGACGTACCGAGGTCATCTGAGGTACTTAGTCAAGTGGAAGGGATATTCTTCAGCAGAAAACTCGTGGGAACCCACCCACAATTTACAGAATGCCAAGCGAATCCTCGATGCATATAAAAGGACCAGGGGAATCCAGTAGAGGAGAAGAAACCCGGAATGACTACCACGACGGTTTTCCTCATCATCTTCCTAATCGTCCTCCACTGCACAACCCTCACCTTTCTTTGGATCATCCACCGAATCCTTATCAGACGACTTGTCGAACACACACTCTTCACGCGAGACAGCCCGCACGCTAACGGCTGGGGTGATCAGAACGATGCCTGGAACTGATCAGGCAGCTCTTATCTCTGTGGGAATTTATCGTCCAATGGATTTTCATCTATTTGCTTATTACCCGGATCCACGACATTCTATTTCACATCGCGGATAACCGCGACCCCCTTAACGACCGAAAGGTATAAAAGGGGGAGAAAACGACATATCATCAATGCCCACTTCCGCTATAGATGACCTTGTTCACAATATACTCGCTGAAGTCGCCTCCACAATTATGAGCATACCCGCATCGCCCACGCTTGTCAATGGAGTACCCTCTCGAGCACAGACACCCTTTATCCGCACCTCATTGCCCTCACCTTCTATCGAACTCAGTCACGCATCGGACGAACAAGAATTTGCCACACGTCTGGTCTCGGCTATCCGTGTTCCTGTCGACTTCACAGATATCCTCGTCGCCTTACGAAATCGCCCGCAAGATCGACAAGCGGTGGTTTCCATGCAACGAGCATTAGAAATGGTCGAGTGGATGCAGACGGCCAGACAAGAGCTCATCGCAGCAGAAGAAAGGACGAGTAGAGCCCGGACCAGAGTCGACCAAGTCTGGTCGTTGATGCGCAGTACGGTCACTCGTACAGCACAGGAAATTTGGAGGGAGCATGGGGATGAAGACATCGGACACATCCTCGGATACACCACTGATGGAATACCCGCATCCACCCCTCGCTCATCGCCAGAACCAATTCCCGTTCGACCTCGCCCTCCTCGTTCGCACGTACCCAGTGGACGATCTCCGTTATCCCAACCATCTTTCTCGACTGCATCCACTTCTTCGCGTCGCAGTCATCCCTACAGGAATGGACGTATCCCCGAACAAGGATCACGAACCAGCCGGCGGACATGCTACAGATGTGGAGGAGATCATTATGTCCGCGACTGCCCCCGACGACGATGAAGATCACAATATTTCTTGTGGGACAAGAAACGTTAGACGGGAGCTGATGTTACAACGCTCCCCACTTGTGGCGCGTCTTTTCTTTTTCTTTTCCTTGTTCCCTTTACGTTACCAGACCACGTGATCCAACACGTGACTCATTGGAGCGCAACCTCCGATTCTTTACCCAGATGTCCAGAACCCCTAGTCTAGGGTTACACCGGATCCAACTCCGGACCTTCTTCTTATCGCGCATGCAAGACGTGCATGTACGCCTCATCTTTACCTCGTTCTGATACACGACTCGTTATCCCCATTAGTACTGATTATCTCTCACGACCTTACTCAGCTTTCTCATACATATTACTTCCTCGCTGTTACCTTGCCCAGATATCGTTTCACCTTATCTAGCCAATGAACGATCTCGCATTACTGCGTAGTACTGCGGATACCTTTTGTATAAGTAAACGACCTTGTCGAGCTGGATCCCCATCTCGACCTGGTTACCATTAAACCAGCTTTTCACTTGCCTTTGACTGAGATCGACCGTCAGTAGCAGACAGCTACTACAAGTCATAAGAACGAACTCTGATCGACCTTCAGTGCGAGGACATCGCCAGAAGTGTCACTTGAACGGACTTGTGTCTTAGACTAAGACCTTGTCTCGCGACGACTCGACTAGACGCTCGTGTTTCGCTGCCGCGTAACAGAGCCAGGTTGGCGACTTTTTTGGCAAATTGAGTCTCATCATCACCAGAATGTAAAGCCATGGCTCACCATATACTAGGAACTCATAAAATGGCAGCACTGCACTTTATAAATCCTCTTCTACAAGTTTCAGACAGTCCTTCAAGTTTAACAAACTGCACTGAAGAAGGAGAGCCAGGTTGGCGACTTTTCGGCAAATTGAGTCTTGCCATCTGTAATGGGTCAGTTCTGATGACCGTTACTCATTATAGACTGCTTACTACTTACCTAAGCAAGTTGCTTTATATTCTTTACACTCACCATCTAGCTGTATCTACACTCAGTCTTAGCTACTTCTGGCTATATATTGAGTCCACTGCAGCTCTGGTGAGCCTAAGGATCTAGTCTCTTTACACCATCACCAAAATGTAAAGCCATAGTTTGCCATATATCAGGAACTCATAAAATGATGGCACTGCACTCTATACGACAGCTACAATAAGTTTCAGGCAGGACTTCATGTTGTAATAACTCCACCAGAGATGGAGTGTCAGGTTAGCAATTAGGTGTCTTGCTGAGTCCAGGCACTGCCAGCATTATGATGGTGAACCAATCACTGACTAATAACACCATGTCGGTGGGCCCACTGCTCAGAGGTACCCCTATGGTGGTGAGCCCATCGGTAAATAATAGCATCATGATAATGGGCCCACTGCTCAGACATACCCCTATGGTGGTGGGTCCACTGCTCAGAACATCACCTATAGTGGTGGGCCCACTGCTCAGAAGTGCCTCTATGGCGGTGGGCCCATCGCTGACAACTCCCTACACAAACCGATGTACCGACGTCCGCTGGCAGTCCAGTTCATGACAATGTCAGGGTAAATGGGAGTCCAGTTCACAAACATAACTGAATGGGCTGACATAGCAAGGGTTATTTGAGGCTAGATTATGCAATATATTTAAGGTGCTGCTAACAGTGAGTATATTATCTCGTTTCACATATTCTGACTGAGACAACACAGTCATTCAATGCAGTGAATATGTATTCAGGTCAGTAAATGTACCAGCACATTATCTAGGTAGAGATATATTTTTTCCTCCCTCAGTGCCCACCCTTTCAGCCAAACTGCCTTCCACACTGTGGAACAGTTGGCAGACATCCTTATGTAAGCTTCTGTGTGACTGTAATCTTTAGGATGTGAAGCCATAAGTACTTCGTAATGCACACGAAATTTGAATTCAAAAGCTCTGCGTCCGGTCCGGGAAAGTGAATTTTGTTTTATATGTATAATCCTATTTCTGTATATAGCCTTTCTCATCATATTCCACTTCTGTACATTACATAATACGATCATCCCACGCTGGCAGCGCCTCCTCCTCCCTTCTCCCAAGGCCCTCCCCCAGGACTGAAGACCAGGTGCTCAGAGCTCATCTCAATCGACATTTGTCGATAGCATGACTCCATCAGTGTGTTGTCAGTGTGTTGGTGATATGACAGCAAGGGCACATGGTGTAAAGGATAATACCCATCAGTGAGGCCAACAACTAAGAGATCTGTGGTTTAATTCCCAGTGTGCTCAAAGCTTCATTTTCACTGTAATATCCCTCCATTGGCCATGCTTAATTCCAACATGTGTCACTGCTGCCAGCAATACACAGACAGTTACATGTCCTGACTAATAGTCCTCACCCCTGCTGACCACCTCCTTCCTCGTCGGACGCAGTAAAATCGTGTGCTCCTACGCCTGCCATCAGCCAGCTATACTTCCGACACCGGCGGCGACTCACAAATTGGGCCGTCATTGCTCCCCGCTGGTCACACAGTGGAGGGTAGTCCTGAACAATCCCTTGGCTGACCAGGTGATTCAACTGCGTCCCATGAGTGAGACCATGACAAGGAACGACGGACTTGACAACTGACCGCAAGCAGGTACTTCGTCTCCCCTAACCGGTCAAGGTACCGTCGACAGAACGGAAGCGTGCCAAAGTTCTTGTTTATCGACTTGAGCAGTGTCTTCGCCGACGTCAGTCTGGAAGAAGCGCCATGAGCGTCATTAATTGCTCCCGTGGGGTAACACATGCACACCTCAATGGTACGTGTGGAGCATCCACGACCCGTGCATAATGCGAAACGTCGCCCTGCGCCCTCCCGTGAGTAAACCATCACGTACAGTGAAACAGTGGAAGACCGTACATTTTCGACCACACGACCCCGTCCCGTTGAACCGAACGTCTCGATGGCAAAATATTCTCCCTCCTCCATTTTAGTCTGGTCGTCGTTCTTGACCAACAATATAGACTTTCCACCCTTTCCACCATGTATCTGATACTTATTGATGGAATGCCCACTCAAATTCTCTATCGCTTTAACTGATGGGCCGGTCAGACATTAGCAACAATCAACAGTACGCACGACAAACCGGGATACGCCTTCCCGTTGACTTCGACTTCATATGACTCCATGGTCTCTTGGATAGCACCCCCAATCTCCCCGAGACGGACGTCGATGCCTGCTTCCTACGCATATGTCCAATGATGAGTAAATAATGCACAAACCGGATGAATTCCGGAGAGAGAGACCCTGATCCCAGTGTCGGTTGCAGCTTTGACAGCCTCCAGGAGTTTATCGTAGGTAGGTTCGAAAGTGAGGGTGAATGCAGAGTCCAGGATGCGGCCTTTCACATGTACCCCAAAGTCGACCTTCAAGACATCACTTTGTTGTAGCACTGTAATTGTGAATGTCAGTTGGCACCTACGGCGATTTCGCGCGAGGGAGTCCTCCTCGTACCTACGGTATCGCCGGCATTCGGAGAGTAATGCGCAGCACAGTTGTTCAGATTGAGACCCGTCGGGAATCCGACACCAGACTCCAGCCCGTTCTCCTCCACCAACGCTCTTATGCCGTTCTCAATGTTCTCCGCAATTTCAGTCATTGACATTCCGGGTTTGATCATCTTGCGGGCATATCTTCGCACTTGCCTGTGCACCTCAGCCCCCCGGCGGATGTCCTGGTACGTCGTTTCTGGGTCTTCGTTTGCCACGCGCTCGTTGTACCGCATTTCCTCGGAGGTGATACGCCATGCATTGCTGAAATACACATATTAGAATGTACGAGCATAGCAGACGTTGTATGTAACGCACTCGTCCTTGTACTCCTGCAACTCGCCTTCGGGGTAGATCCCGTCGTGGAAGAATTTGGACAGGCCGATGCGCGGGGGGTCGCTCTGCTCGACCTTCTTTTTCTTGGGCTTTTTCTTCTTCTTTTTCTTCTTCGCGTCGCCTATGCAGCGCAACGGGCGCGGGGAGAGAGGCTATCAGCAGTTGCAACGATTGCCCTGAGATGCGCAGCAATTACTCACCGCCGCTCGGGTGCACCTCCGCGACCCCATCTTCCTCCTCGTCAAGGTCGTCATCGTCCACGACCGCGGGCGGGATGGCCTCCTCCTTCGCTTTGACCTCGCCAGTCATGGCGGTATGGGGTATTAATGTAATGTTACTGGTGAGATATTCGGATGCATTCGATGGCGTCACATGATGATCGGACAGCGGCTTCCGTATCCCAGAATGGCAGGTGAGTTGGGTTAACCTCATCCCTTGGTCGTCGCCTGCTTTCATTATCAGTCGGTCTCCGTCGACAGTCACAATATCTTCATGTCGCCCTCGGGCGATCTGCCAGAAACGATCGCAGTTGTTCCGGGATTTTTACTCGAGACGTTTTCGCTGTCATCCGATGCGGACGACCTCGTTTCGTTTTACACCGGCGACGACGAAACGCACAGACGCACCCCGGTGTCGCCAGATCCAACGAAACCATACGTCACATTGACCTTTGCGCAATCTTTGGACGCCAAAATCGCCGGAGCGGATGGGAAACAGCTTGCGCTCAGCGGAAACGAGAGCATGGTCATGACGCACTGGTGCGTTTCCTCGCGTAGATCGACGTTCATCAGGCCATCGTGTCCCTATTGTTACTTATTCGCACCCGAAAGCTCAGGATGAGGACCATGCACGACGCTATCTTGGTTGGCATTGGGACCGCGTTGAATGACGATCCGCAATTGAACAGTACGCTGTTTCAGTCTCTCGTGGTATAGCCCAGTCCCCCATGGGTTCATTCTTCCAGCACGGCATCTTCCGCCTCTTCCCTTGCATTATCCATACCGATATTATCTACCAAGGCCAGTGATTCTCGACTCGAATCTACATATCTCGCCCGACTGCAAGCTATTGAAGAACTACAGAGAAGGCAGAGGAAGGAGACCATGGGTGATATGTTCCAGTTCGATTGATCCCTCTGGGAGTGACCGCGATGCATTTGCCACACGGTCTGCACGGAGACAAGCATTGGAGGAGGCAGGCGGATGCGTCTTAGAGGTTCGCGCAGACCATGGTGTGTATTTTAGCTACGTTCCCCCTGACACTGGAAAGGCGAACTATTGTCAGGAATGATATCAATACCCGAGCTTCTCAGGACGCTGCGGGATCTGGGCATCCGCTCGCTCATGGTGGAAGGAGGGGCCTCAGTGATCAAGTCGTTTCTAGCTGCCAATAAGCACCCAGCAGGCCCAGACAAACCAGCAGCAGTCGCAGAGCGAAATTTCCTAGATATGGTCATTATTACCATAGCACCTACGCTAGTCGGAAGGGAGGGTATCTTCTACGGTTCCGACTTACTTGCTGAAGAGGTGAGTGCATCTATTCTGACGATGATTGTTTGAGGCGTTGAGTTTGTTATCAGCTGCCTGCCCTGCGGCATCTCAAGACAGAATTATTCGGTCAAGACGCTGTGGTGGCATTGAGGGCCGTGCTGGAACGACCTGCTCGCACAGAGCAATGATACAGAATGATCGCGCAGCCTTTTTTTCGCCTGTGTATCCCCGCAAAATCACCGGAGTTGACACCCGTAGACCAAGTTTGGACACATAAGGCAAGATCCAGACAAGGTATGATTTCAACCTCCTTGTTGTGGTTGACCAAGGTGGAAGAAAAGAACAGAGGTATAGTAATTTTAGGCCACGTACTTCTATACCCACTGGTCGAGAAAGAAGTTTAATCTCACCTTCCAGGTCACGAGAAGCTCCGGCGCAGGTTCCTTGCTCTGCAGTGAATCTCGAGGCTGCTTGACATCGTGAAGTCATGGCGCGCCGTGCGCACGGCAATAGTTACCACCTGAGAGCGGACTGCGATCATGTCCAGTCAAGGATCCGGGTGTAAACCATCGGGCGCAGATTGCGCTCCCGATTTCCATCTTTGAAGTGAGTTGCGTGATATCTCCGCGAATGAACAGACTGAACGCAAGTCCGACTACTTGGCGGAGATTTCTTAGACATTCATTCAGTATGCTCAAACTTCCAAACTTGACCGATCATCGGACGTGGACGCCCGCGTTCGTGTGAGATCGTGGTTCTACAGATGCTGCTTATACGACAGCTTTACTTTCTGGAACGGTCAGTGATTTGTCGAATGAGTAAGGGCAGGCACAGCTGATGAAGAGAAGAAATATCAGATCACCTCGCATAAGACCCCGTGGCGTGGCGCATAATTGACATACAAACAAGTCAATCTTCTTCCATGCGTTTGGATTCGAGCTCGGTCGCGATCACGTTATGATCTGAATAGGATCACACAAGGAGGTGAATGCAAAACCTAAACGGAGGAAAGTAAACTCGTTGGAACGAACAAACGGCATCACTACAACACGCGCACTCGGACAGACATACTAACGCGAGACCCTCCTTGTCGAGTCCACTATCTGCGGGAATGCAGTATCGCAGGCACCGCTAGACTCTGAGCATGTTCAGCCGAGCTAATCTCGCGTCCTGTCGCCGCAAAATGGTCCACGCGTGCTCGTCGATCATGTAGGCGATGGAAAAATAAGCCTAGTCAGACGGAACGAACGCTCAATTTTGAAGATCAGCAGGGGGGGGCGGCCCACCTCAGAGAATCAGACTTGCAGAGGGTAGGGCGCCTCGTTTTATCACTTCAAGTTAGGACTGCTCGGGATCGTCGTCTGGCGGAGTAATCTTTCAAGCGGTGAGCTGTCATCAGGAGAACGATACGTGACTGGTGCGCGTCTCGATTGGCTGAGAAGTTACTGCTCGCCTTAAGTCTGGAGTTCGCCTCCACGCCGCGATGTCATGGGCCTCACGAACTTGGAAGCCCCACAATTGGCCATTACGATTGCATATGTTGGGTCAAGCACCCACGGGCCGGCGTTGCCTCGGTGTGGAGTAGATAGGCGGTACGGACAAACTACACCGTCATCATAACAAATTCAAATTGTCTGCACCAAGGGTGCATACCTGAATATTGAATACCTATGTGGTGCACATCGGCAAGTGTGCAGAACCGCTGTGTGGTAAGTAGGGGACCCAGAATCATAAATTCTGACGCGAAACACCATGACGATTCGGCGTTACAGTGGAAGCTTGACAATATTTGAATGTTTACCGGACAGGCCGGAAGGAATCTAGCTGAAGCTAGAATGAAACCTCTTGAAGACTCGAAGGCCTCTTCGCCCAGAGCTCTGGGCGAAGAGCGCAATTGCCGGCCAATGAAACGCCAGCTGCCGGTCCTGCGGCGCGGGGTTCGCCAGGGGCTAGCCAATCATAGATTTTCGGTGATTGAAGTTTTGAGTAACAAACACTTTCGGAGTGAGAAAGCAGGGCAACCGAGCAGTTGAAGGCTTTGACGTCAGAGCTGATGGCGTCGAGGCTATAATGCTTCCCCTCAAACGGGTTCGCCACCGCCCATATGCATGGCCAACGCCGTTGCCCCTCTCCCCACCGTCGCCCCTCTTCCCCCGCCGTCATTTGTCGTAGACCTGCCTTCGCTACCCATGGCGACGAGCTCATCAACGCGGGAGTCTCGTGCTACCCACACTCCCGACGACTGCTTCGACCAGAAGGCGTGGATTGAGCATGTTGATCCTCACGTATCACCTCGAGCTGTTAGTTCCTTCACTTTCGACGAATCTTATACCCACACCCCCGACGAGCAGATTCACGATCCAACATCAGGACCTCGAGGTACTGCTGCATCTCACCGCTGTGAATACAGGCTAACTTGCGATCGGAACAGTGCAGAATCTGAGTTCTTCTCCCAAGTCTTCTTCGAACATGGGTTATATTCGCACGACATATTGTAGGTCCCCCAACGTTGTTGCTAGAACGCACCTAACCACAATGGCACAGCTGTTGGCAATGCCGCACTAACACCTTCGGCGCGATCTTCCTCTTCCATGCATACTCAAGTCGCGTCGAATTATCAACAGATAGCGGACGCGCTCAAGGAGAACCCGCCCGCTTTTCTGACGCAGCCTCCACCCGTTCCTCCCAAGTCGGAATTTCGGCCTAGGGCGAGGGCGATCTGCACAGTGCCACCTTCTGACCAGCTTCGCCAAACTGTTTCTGATCCCGGTCACTCTTCCGCATCTGCCACGAGCTCCAGCAGCGTCCGCAACACGAAGAACTATGTCTCACATACCCATTCGCTGTCCGGTCCGTCTTCTTACTCATCGAGGGTAACTTGGGCAGATGCAGTGCATTTCCCATTGTCCGGGAGTCCTCCGGCTGCCGAGGGAACGGCTGGTTCGTCTTCTTTGTCGCAGGTTGCGCCTGTCACAGGGCGTAGGAGGCTTCGCAAGCTTTCCCGTCCTGGTCCCGCATCTGTCGCTCGTACTGTTCCCAACGCTTCCGGTCCAGCCAGAAGGTCAAGCAGCAGCTCCCTTTGGCGAGCACTAAGCTTGCGGAGTACCGGCACGAGTCCCGCTTCGTGTCGATCCTCTGATTCAGGCGAGAGGCTCTCGAGAAGCGAAGATGGACATATTTCTGGCGCATCGGTGCCTTGTCGGCCTCACCCGCAGACGCACAGCAGCAGTACCACGAGCGAGGGAACGCATTCGTCGAGCTTAAATGCTAGTTCCACGACTACTCCCTTTTCTTCTGCGCTAGCTACACCTCTTACCACACCCGAATGCGATTCGTCCTGCATGTCGCCCGTCATCGTCTCTGCACCTCCTCAGGAAATGTTCCGTTCACCATTACACTCGTCCATCGGGCTGTCCTCGATTAGTGTCAGTCCAAGGGGATCGCGCAAATTGAAGAAAAAGCGACCCCCTCACCCCCCGTCTGCTATGATGCGTTCGCTTTCAGGCAGCTCCCCCTCCTCGCATACAGACTTGAGGAATGTCAAAAGGTCAAGCACAGGCCTTGATGGTTACCTCCCTCCAGTGCGGTCAGAGGCTCCGTTGGGATTCGCCATCGTAAGTTTTCGTCGTCGCGGCTACTCAGACGCTGAACGCTCTCATTATCTCAGCCGAAGGAACTGCAAGTCCAGCCTGTTTCGCTGTCGTTTACAGCTTTTGCCGAAGACAGGAAGAGGAGCTCGTCACACGCACTCTCACAGCTTGCCTGGACAGGTCTCTGCTCCTCTGATCTTGCGGCGCTGACATCCCGACAAAACCAGTCACCCGAGCGTGCAGCCTTGATGGGGGACTTGGGTCCGGAGACTGGTATATTTGATCCCTACGTCGAGTACGTGAGCCGTATACCGTCCGACGCTAGGGGTTCGGTGGAGGGCAGGAGGGGCAGGGAGAAAGTCCTCGCTAACGGGCGCAAGCGGGCAGCGTCTCCCGCGTGCGGGACCATCCCGTCGTCGAGGTCTTCTTCATCGTCGCACATCAACCCCGATCCTTCTATGCCTTCCACTCTTATGCGGAGACACCGACGTATGGACAGCAGCTCTACCGTAACTATGCGCCGGTGGACTATTGCGATGGCGGACGTCTCGGACGAGGTGTTGGTGGAAGAGCTCGACCGGCTGCGGAGGGAGAGCGGCAGCAGGATGAGGGGGCGTGCGGCTAAAGCTGCAAGGACTGGTGGCAGCCAGGACGGTCACGACAGCAGCAGTCGCGATGCCACAGGTAGGGCAGCGTCAGTTGTATATGGCGGCCCCGCGGGCGGGAACAACGCTCGGTCGCCGAAGCCTGGCTTCCATTTCGGCCCGAGTTATGAGAGCGATTCTGATGACGAGGTGGAGCGAGAGGACGATACTATCGATGAGGAGCACGAGATGGCTAGCCCGGAGGAAGAGGAGGAATGGAGGGCTGCACGCCGCGCTTTGCTCTGCTGTCGCGAGCTCTTGCGAACGGAGCGCAACTATCAGGCGCGCCTCAGGCAGCTGCTGGAAGCGAGTTCCTCTCATCCGATGTTCTCGCTTCTGCTCTCGTACGTTCCTGCGCTCATTGCTGCTTCTGAGGCTTTCCTGGTCCGCCTGGTCGACGATCCTTCTGCGTGGGGCGTCAGCATCGCCTTTATTAGCTGCGAAGAGGAGCTCGAGGCTGCGTATGTCGCGTGGTGCGGAAGCGTGGGTGAGTTCTTCACCGCCGATGGCGAGAAAATGAAGTGGGGGCGGAAGTCGACTAGGCAGACTGACGAGGAGTTCCTTGGTGAGACCACCATCCAATCCTTTGCGAGAACCGTGTCAACTTTCGGCGTGCGCAGCAGAAGCCAAACTGGACTGGACAGCGGCAACGGAAATGCGAGGTCAATAGAGACGCGTCGGATGTCAATGTTCTCTGGATCTGCGCCTATAGCTCCCAAGAATAGCGGTGTATTCACTGCTGCTCTCGGAACTGGCCTTGCATATGGACTTGCTCCCTCGTCGTCGAACGGTTTCGGCCTTGATGGAGGCACTGCCGCTGTTAGCAAAGTACCATCGCATTTTTCAGGCAGCACGCTCACTCGAACTCTCAGTGCGTGGAAGCGTAGGAGCATGCCGTCTTCACTCCATAACTTGCACGTTTTCGGCCAGCCCCCTTCTCCAATTTCGCCTCAGTCTGGGACGCACGCGGGCGGTTCGAATGGCACAGAAAAGAAATTATCCGTGCATGACCTGGTTATTCAACCTACGCAGAGGGTGATGCGATATGTGCTGCAGTATCGTGGTCAGTATCGTCGATTATTTTTTGCTGTTACCTCAGTTGACAATCTGGTGTTGCTTAGACCTCCTGGGACACACTCCCGTCTCGAGTCCTTCGCGTGGGCTCGTTGAGCGCGCGTTGGAAAGTGCTCTCCGTATCGCGAAGAAGTGCGACCGTGCCCAAGGAAACTCGGCCTTCCTTCGGCGCCCGTAGCACCTTGAATCCCGCACTCGTCTTCGTCCACGTCATATTTGCGTATACCAGCCAACGCGTTGTCTTCCAGAAGACTGCGATGCCCACCACGATGTAATACCACGATTATACACGTTCACGCATATTTTACGACTTCACACGTTATTGCTAAAGCTTTCGTTATTTGTCCTCCCGCATCGCTGTTGTATGTGCATGTTAACCCAAGCATCCTTCATTTCTATCCATAGATTGTATTAAATAAATATCGCAAGCTCCAAATTATTCATCGTTCAGAGCCTGTACACCGATTCCCGTACCGTATTGACAGGCTTCCTCATACAAATATACCCGTGAACGAAATTAACGCAAGATACAGATCCGAAAGAGTGCTAGATACTACAAGGTACATAAATGGTAAACATAAATGAGTACAACCATCACTTGAGATTGAAGAAAGCAGGAAGACTCCGCCACAGCTCTCGTCGCTTCTTCTCTGCCATGGAACAGACGTCTCCCACGCAAGTCGTGCATGGGAGGTCGGTGAAGAGGGTATCCAATCGCGTGCAGTCATAGAGGATGTCCAGCGGATCGTCCATAGAGATGGGAGCATTCTCTTGGAAGTATCTCCAACACTCGGTGCGCGCCTTCGCACACCCCTTTCCGCCCCGCTGACATCGTAGACCGAAGATATCCGTTCCAATGTCCCGGGTGTATGCGGCGAGGAGTTTCTGTCCATGGACTAAACGCATGAGGTCGCGCTTGTCCAACAGACGCCACCGCGCCGTGCGCGCCCCGAACCGCAGATGCTTCCCCGGGTTCGCGCGATATGCGTCCCAGTCCGCGTCGGTGCTGAGAAGGGCGAGATGGTAGAACGCGGCTGGGAGGATGCTCGACACATTGTAGTCTGACGCGATGCGGATGGCAGACGCGGGCTCGGGGAGTCGGTCGTCGAGGTAGAGGCCGTTCACTTTGCCGGTGAATTGGAGACTGTGCTCTGATTTGAGCAGGACGCTTTCGACGCGGCGCGCATCCCACTGGGCGAGGGTCTGAGGCCAGTCAGCCTCGAGGTTCTGTACGATGCGGGCGCGCAGGGCATCGCACTCGTACTTGATCGCAAGCTTCAGCGTGCCCTGCACGAGCACTGGGGTATCTGGATTGAAGCGTTTGTAGGCACTTCCCCTTTCAAAGTAGAAGTGCGGATGGTCAATGTGCGTGCACAGCTACAAGATAACGTCACCAGAAAACAGGACATACAGGGGGTCGTATAACACGCCAAGAAAGCTTGCAAGATCTTCGGCACTGTCCTGCATCTGAACATGGACAACTCCTGCATATGTTTCCGCTATGATATCCTCCGAGTAGGAGGCTTTCAGAGGAGGGATTGCGAACATATCTGCAAGCACTGGCGAATGCCTGCATAGGATCGACTGGTGGACCCGGAAATATTGACGACTACCATCCTCTCTAGAAAGAGCGGATAAAACGACATTGCCGTCGTCGAAGTACAACGTCGGATGATGTTGTTCTGGATCGCAGGAGTACATCATGGAGTTCGTCGCCTGGAACGGAGGAGAGGGACTCGGAGCTATTATATGTTAGTGGGATCATGGCAGGATCATGAACCTTCGTCCATTCATGGTGAACTCAGCTGACGGTCGATATCCAAAAGGTCGGGACAACGTCGGGCACGCGCTAACTCGTTTCCGTGGAAAGCGCTCGCCGCTCAGTAGCACGCTCGTAGTTGGTCGCAAAGGCAGTGTATTCCTCTTCTGCGACAAACATAATAGTGTACACATAATTGTCAAAGACACGAACGTCCGTCCAATCACATTGATATTACAAGCTGCGCCCAAGTGGTTTGCTAATTCCCAAAATCCCTAATCCTCCTCGGACGATGAGCTCTCATACAACATCACGTATTCAGTCTCCTGGCGAGGCTGCGCAGGCGAAACGATGTCATGAGACCTGCTGTCCTCGTAGACGGCGTCGTCGTCGTCGTCAGAGAATGGTGACGACGGAGCGTCGATGAGTGAAGCTGACGAGTCGAAGGAACCGCTGTCAGAAGTCGGACCAGATGGAATCGTCACCGAGAGGCTGCGAGCAGTCGTTGAACGTTGCTCCACAGCGGGCTCCGAAGTAGAATGTGGCATAATGACAGACGAAGCCGCTAGGGACTCCTCCGCAGACGAAAGCTCCGAAGTCGCACGATTCACTTCAGCTACGGTGATGCTACGCAATACTCGTCGTCAGAATGCGGTTCGCATCACAAGGAAGGTGTACATACTCGACCCAAACACTGTGGCCGAACAGGTTGCCCTTCCCATCGTCGAGTCGCCAATAACTCACGTACTTGCCAGGGATCTCGGGAGCCTAAAAGACGATAAACAACAAACCCAGAAGTTCACTGAAAGCGAGGACAGACCTTCATTTCGCCCGCTACAACTTCTACCTCTGCACTCGATTTGACAGTGCCAACTTTCACCTTTCGAGGAGCATCTCCATGAGAGCCCAAACGATCGCCAGCGACGAACACCAACTCCGTCGTCTCAGGCCAATCACTCATGCCTGGATTGATCATCCGCCACGACTTGACGAACTCCGCACCAGGAGGAAACACCTGCCCGTCAGGGATATTGTTGTCCGAAATGAAACTGGCGAACAACGGTGCTTGGATTTCAGCCGGGACCGCGTAAGTAAACCCAGTCACCTCATTCGAGGGCCGCGGCATTCCGAGATAGTCGCTCAGACGGTCCCTATCGTCAATGGTGTCAGCTCCCAGAGGCCTGCAAAGCAAGGGCTCGCCAACTAACGGCGATTCTTCAACTGCTGCATGCACGTCCGCATCATCCGTCGGGCCCGTCTTGGCACTATCCTTGGGTTCTTCGACGTGCATCGCGCCAGGCATAGCCACTTCAGAAGCAACAGAATGCTCTACTGTCCCGGTAGGAGTCGGTGGCTGGAGGAGGTGCTTCAACATCGACGTCAGCTCGGGCCACAAATCTCGCCACTCATTGTTGTCCACGGGCCCTAGGCGAGGAACAGAATTGGTCGAAGTGTTAGATGCGGGGCCATCTGACGGTGTAGTGAGCCCGCCCAACGACGTCTCAGTGCCGATCTGCGATCCCTTATCATTTGAGTCATCGACGTCAATCAAGCGATCCACCAAAGAAGAAACGGGATGTTCCACGGCGGCGTGCACGTCACGGTTCGTCGCCACTTGCGCAGCGACATTCTCCAAAGGTGGCACATCAAGAGGAACAGAGTAGTCGACTAGCGCCACATAGGGGACACTTGCTGAAGACGCCTCAGGCTCGTAGGGGACAAATGTTACAGGAGATAGTGGAATCAAGGGCGGTATGTCTGTATCCACGAGAATCGAATCAGGTTTGTCTAAAAGCCCAAGCGAATCATCGCTTCCACGTTTATTACCATTCATCGCCTGGACAGTCGAGAGAAAGTGCGAGTCCAATGCATGCTCGGCAGCCGTTGGAACCTGGGCTACATGTTCCTTTGCAGTCCCCTGCTCGCGGTGTTTATGCATGTCCTGAGCGAGAGAGGTAAAGTGCATATTCAACCGCTGTTCTGCGCTCGATGGCTCCGCTTCAGCAGCATCGATTATAGGCGCCTCGTGTTGGATGCCGCGCATCTCTTCAGCAGATGAAATGAACTGCGCATCCAGCCGCCGCTCTGCGCTCGATGGTTCCGTTGCAGTGAGATCGATTATGTGCGGTTGCCAGCCCTGCTTGCCACGCATCTTCTCGGCCAACGAGAGGAATTGAGTATCCAACCGTTGCTCAACGCTCAATGACGTCGAGTCGGCAGCGACCTTTGTGAGCGCCTCCTTGGTGTCACGACGTTGCTGAGCGTCGGACAGAAAGACTGAGCCAAAGTGGCGTTCCGACGTTGACTGAGTGCTGTTACTATCAACTTTGGCGACGATAGGCTCCCGGTACTTCTCTCGACACGTAGTAACCTCGGGTTCTGTGCGAAAGGCCCCTTCAGCGAGAAGTCTGCGGACGGTGGGCACGGAGGTGTGAGGGTCCTTCATCTTGAGGAGGGGATGCGTGAAGGGATGGACTGGAATGGGGAGGGCCTCACAAGCCTGGCAAAGGTCAAAGTCTACGCAAGAGTCATGCATGCACTACAGAATGAAGTCAGTTACTTCTAATTATGCCAGAGACTACAAGATCAAAGTACTCGCCTTGTATCTGACACCGACGATGCGAGATTTGCAGACATTGCACGTAGCAGAATGAAGAGCTCCGCCGACGTCGCGGACCTAGACGTGGCTTAGTGCCCGAGACATAGCGCACATTAAGACACGCACCATGAGACAATCCGGCTTGCTTATCTTGACGAAACCGTGACCAGGATGCTGCTCCTCAGTAATCCTGTAGCTTCACGATGAGTCACCTTGTCGCTGCCGAACAACGAAGACTTACTGAAAGCACATTGAGCACGTGTCAAAGTCCGGGCAAGTTAGGCATTTCTGTGCGAAATGTCACTATTCGCACATCATGAAATCAAAGTCAACGGAGACGCACGTAGCGGTCGCCGCGAATGCGCGAGTCGCACAGATTGCAAACGGCATTATGGACAACCGGCTCCACAGGCGTAGTTGAGCCTCTCCTGGAAGGAGATCTTTGAGGTCGCGGTGGAGTCCACGACGACGGTGTGCGCTCGCCATGCCCGCTGAACACGGTATGCACAATGACTTCACCTGGGCGATCAATCGCGAAGAATTCATGCTGCAATGAGTGCTGAGCGCGGGTCTCTGCTATGTTGTAGCATTCACTGCACAAGTCGAAGTCAGGACAGTCCAAGCACTTGTGCCGCACTCCCACAACCTCCCGTGCGCACATGTCACAGATAACGTTTTTGTGTACCAAGGGCGCTGTGGTGGAAGCGGGCGAAGCGGCAACAGGAGCAACCTCAGCGCGACGTTGCTCGCGCGCACGGTTGTAGTCGTCTTTGTTCCAGGGAACCTCGATGGGGAAGAAGGCGTGCGAGAGAGAATGCTTCTCGCGTTGACTAGGGGCAGAGAAGCATGAGGAGCACAAGTCGTAGTCTGGCAGCGGAGATGAGTGCGAATAACATAAGATATCCAGCTAAAAAAAACTTACCAGCACAGTCCAAGCACTTGAATCTGACACCAGATATATCTTCATCACAAGCATCACACACCATACCAGGATGAATGGGATGGCGCTCAGCCCGAGCACGCGCATATGGACCAAAGTTGCACGGTGTATCGATTGGGAAGAATGCATGCTGAACGGAATGACGCCCTCTTGCATCCGGAGAAGACATGCAAGCACTGCAGAGATCATAATCTGGGGAACAGAAGGCACATGAATTGCAACGCGTGATGTAAGAGTCATTAAAGACGCACCTTTACAATCGAGACACTTAAACCTAACACCAAGGAACGCGGACTTATGGCATGCATCGCATGTAATGCCCACATGCCTCATTTCCTGGCCCGTAGTCTCCTGTGGATTAATGGGAGGTAGTGCAGGTGAGAATACCCTACGTCCAGGAGGACCAAAGCGTGAGGGATGCGCAACGAACGATCCTGGCATTGGCACTTCATCCACATTACACTCACGAGATGTAGCGGTTGTGGTAGGTTCAGCAGGTGAGAACATCCGAGGAAGATTAGACGTCGTCCCAGGGGATGGCGTTGATGCATGAGGGTAATAGCCACCTACGATATCTGGGTATTTGCCTCTCATCCGCAACCTTTCGTCTTCGTTCTGCAAATCGGACGCTTCACGGACGGAGATAGGTGAGTGTGGGAAGAGCGTGCGGAACTGGCGACGCCTCTCCAGTCTCTCATCCGCATCCTGCGCCATCGGCGTCGCGGGATCAGAGCCGAGGACAGAACGATACTCACGCCTTCTCTTCATCCTTTCCTCGTCGCTCAAGCCGTTCCAGATGGGTTCTGATAGCACAGGCGCGAGAACATTACGATAGACGTGTCTCCTCACTCTCTCGTCTTCACTCGGCATACCAGACGACAAACCGCAAGACCCATTCAACAGAGAGCGATACTGGCGTCTCGTTTTCAGCCTTTCCTCTTCATTCCCGGTATCCATCGGGACAGAGCGCACGGAGCTCCGCGAGGGAGCGCCCGATGCCCAATCGTCTCCGAACGCCGTTTTCATTGTGCGGTCGAGGTCGCTGATGAAAGTAGCCATTAAGTCCTTGACTTCCGTCTTCCCCTGAGTGACAGAGCAGCAATAGTTCACCGCAGAGCGAGATGACGTGGCAGGGATAGAATGTGTCTGTGAAATATACTGCGGAGGCGCTTCGGGCTGCTCCATCGATTGCTGATGCGCCACTGCGGGCTGCGCACACTCCGTCTGCGGCGTGAGGTTGGCGGAACGGACAGCGGGGGACGACATTATCACATCCGTGTCAACGCGATGGCCTTTCGATCCTTCCTGCAGTTGTAAGACACCTACCGAGGGGTAAAGAACGGGAGGTGGTGGAGAGGGCCGTGGCCATGGTGCAAGTGGGGGATCTTGGTACACCCAATAAGCTGGCTGAGAGGGGGCACTCATCTTGTCCACCAATCGAGGATAGCTCGACTCGCATCTTTCAGAGCCGTCATGACCCGCATTAGCGCCTGTAGGCAGCGACGTGACCTTGGGAACGTCATCGTTAGAGAGTAGGTCAAAGAGAGACGGTCTGAGAGGGGCGTGTGGTGTGGATGCAGAACTACATCGAGACAAGGGCCTTTGCGGCAAAGGCCTCGAGGACGACTCTGGCTGTCTGGGAATTGCCGACGAAGTCGACGGGGACGATGAGAAGGTGACACCGTTGCGACTCGTCGTACGCTCGCGGATTCTATCGAGGAGAAACTTGCGATCATCTCGCTCCTTCCGGGTGTTAATAAGCCTATCCATGGTCTCCACGAATGTAGTAGAGCTCTGGGCGCTCCCAGAAGGACTTGCACCGACATCGCTGGTGACACTCGGTACAAGGAGACTGCTATTGCTGGCGCTGGGAGACTTGTGCGGGGTCTCGTCGTACACGGAGAACCTCAGTAAAGCTCCTGGCCATTCACGCCCCTGATAAGGAGCAATGTGGGCATTGTACTCGTCGGCCGAATGGGCCTCCATCCCAATGAGAATGCGTTGGTTATTGGAATTAGGTGAGAAGAGAAGTTTAGATAAATAGTAAGAATGCGAGATAGGGAAGACCCTGTAAAGCTGCAAGAGGTATTGTGAGGCTGCGACTCGGGGGATAAGGGGTGATGACGACGCATACCTGATGAAACAGCTGTTCGAAAGAGGGAAATACAGCGGGGTCAGCAAAAGAAAACTTGCGGGTTTCGCTTCTGTATGTTGCCTTGACAGTGAACATGGTAGTGCACAGCAACGGGTCCGAGGGAGGATGTCGGAGTAAGAGGGAACCGCAGAGAGCGTAGACGCGCACGCGTCGTACTTATGATGCTGCGTAGGCGCCCGCTCCTATAATGGGCTGCACCATCACGTGCTCAACGCCATGTCTCCAGACTTCGACCTACTCTCTTCCATCCGCTACGATCACTCCTTGCGAGACCTACAGTGGAATACCCTCGCCAATGGAGGCATCCAGTCTCCCTACCTCCTCCTCAGGTATCATCTGGACAGGTTGCTCGATGCAGCAGAACAGCATGGATGGCAATTCCTGCGCTTTATCACGCATGATAGCTTGAAGATTGCTTGCGATGATGCCGTTCGCGATGCGTCCTCTGATCTCGCGGTGCCAAGCAGCACTTTCAAGGTGAGTACACCCTTTTCGATTATCCTTATGTTCTTCAATGTTATTGATGCGGTGACGCAGATCCGCATTATCGTCACCCGCGCAGGCGTCCTGAAGGCTTCAGCTGCTCCTGTACCGCCGTTGCCCTCTCTGGATCCCGGCTGCGCGTCGCTGGAGGCTGTCATCCACGATCCTCTGCCTTCTATATTTGAACCACTTTTGACCATCTGTCTTGATACCGAACCGACACCTTCAAGTGTCTTCACTCGGACGAAAACCACTCATCGGCCGCATTATTCCGCCGCCCGTAATCGTTTAGGAGTACCTCCTCTCCCATCTCCCTCGACGAAAGACGTTCTTCTTTACAATCCATCGGGAGAGCTTACTGAAACTTCTATACGAAACATTGCCTTTCTCCGTGGTTCACCCGCGCGATGGGTGACCCCCCATTCTTCGACGGGTTGTCTTTGCGGAGTGATGCGCCGATGGCTTCTGGAACAAGGGAGAATCGTCGAAGCCTCTGAAGGAGAACTTCGCCTAGGCAATCTTGTAGATGGAGAGTACGTGCTGACTTTTAACGGTGTTGAGGGTTGTCGCTTGGGTCGGATCAACATGGTGTAACGCTCTTTGTAGGGTGTTGCTGTATAACTGTAAGCTATGGAATGGGCACCAAAAATTGAAATACGTAAATTCGCTGCAAACATCCGAACGGTTTGTAAATTTATGACTGCACATCTTGGCGGTGCAAGACTCGGACCCAGGCCTGATTGGTTCACCGATTGCATCATCTCAATGGATCCACACTTACAGCGAGAGTAAGGTAGAGCACCCCCGTCGTAGCTGGTGTCGGCTACAGTTTGTCTTTCATAACCAGGGATCCGCGAGCTGAAGACGGGGGAGTATCGGACCTTCCGTACTTGATGCATGATGACAGGGACCGGGAGTTTGTTCCTACGAGCTACTGGCTCACCGGAGCGAATCACCAGAGCTGCGAGTCGTGGAGAGCGTGTCGAGCAGCGTCTGCTTTTTGAATGCTACTTCGGAGAATAATTGCATAAATTTTGCTGAGCAGTAACGAATATACAGGCTGCTGGACACTTACATTAAACACGCCCATCGTCGAGACATTTCAGGGTGCATTACATCGGTCGGCAGGCAAGGGGTTGGGAGCTCTTGACGTATGCCACTGTCTGTCCTCCAAAGTTATTATCATAGGAATTATTGTCTTGGTGAAGTATGTTTCCCATCTAGGACCATCCATGTCTGTTGGCAGGATTCTACATAAGATGATGATTTGACCGTGACGAAAGCTAACACAGCACTTGCCGTATCCGGCCAGAGGAGTTGGTGATCCATAATCTGGCCAGTACTTCTTGCGCCGGGGGACCAGCGGCGAACTGGCAGACTCTGTTCCTAGTGTTAAGCTACTCAAAACGACTTGCTGTGTATATCATCCTCTGCAGTGCTGCACTCTCAATATGGCGCGAATCAGCCTCCAGCGTTCTGATCTTGACATGTCTTTCCAATTTCGACTCGATAATCTGCGTGCATTCTTCCCTGAAATAGATGGGCATGCCGTCGTGCGCACTTTTGACAGCGCAGTCTTTGGCCCGGGGCTTTTCCTCCGCGTGCGTACCGGAAGTTACGTCGACGACGGACGTTGCTTCGGTTTGTACCTCCATATTGCAGCGCGTCAGGACGCCAGCGATACACCTCCATGCTGAAGTCGCCGCTCGCACACCTGCCGGTAGTAGCATATTCACTAAATCTCTGGAACACACTTATAAAAAGGGTGGAGACAGCAAGGGCTGGCGCAGGTTCCTGACATTGGAACGTTTCAAGAAAAGCCCAAGCATGCAGCGGGATGATGCCCTAGTCCTGGTGGCATCCATTAAGTCATCGCATCAACCGATTATTCGATCACCATTCATGTTGGACCTTTTGTACAAGAGTCTGGAGCTCAGCGACCTCTCAAGCCAGCCGTTCGTAGTCTATTCCAAACGCCAGTACCTCAAGCCTCAAAAGCTGAGTGGTCACCACATTCTGTATGCTCCCAGAAAACTTGTTGTACGCGCTTGTGAACATCTTGCCTGTAAATTTGCACCCCATTCTATTACTTTTCATACAACTAACTGGACATTTTTCATGCAGCAGTAAACGATTGCGTGACGTTGCTTGACTGGTTTCTTGATGCGCAAGAATATCCGGATGGCCTTGCAGTCTCCATGGTAGAGGATTGGGAGGCTGCGGATAGTGACTTTGAGGATGATTGGAGTCGTCCTGGATTCCAGAACGAAGAAGAGAAAGAAATAGGCTTTCGTAACCTCAGAAGATGGAGGTCCCTAAGGAAGCCTCGAGACCATTCTGAGGAAACAGTTACTCCAAGCAATCAAATGAATGTTGATCGAGGTACAGTACACACAACGTATTATTTGCGATGAGGATTCATCGTGGTGTAAATGAACATTGCCATAGCACTAGCACCTCAGGCCGTGTCCAACACACCAGAGTCTACAACAAATACAGTCGTGGAGTCACAAAAGATAATCGTTCTGCTCGACACCTCGTATCGAACGTACGAGTCTCATTTCGCAGGACATAACTAACATATGCTTAACATCAACACTACAGATGGCAAGCGCTGCTGTACTATCTGCATACTGGCATCATAATTTTCTCGCCACTATCTTCTGGTGAGGTTTTCGCCCGCGCCGAATTTTGTGAAGACTACCGACGTCGAAATCCGAATCGACCGATTCCGCCATCTTGTAAGTCTATATACCGCTTGGCTGATAAGGTGTGTGCAATTGCTCATTTTGTCATTCTTCATATTTGATGATAAATGCTAGCTCGGCTTACCCGAGCTGAAGAAACTCGCATTAGCTCATTTGCAGACTGAGTTGTCTTCAAAACCTGTTCTGCATGAGATCTTTAGCAGGTTTACTTCCGAGTGCGCGTTCCTTTGATCCACATGTATATCAGCCAGTGACGAGAATATGCGAACAGATATGAAAATGTGAAAAAAATCGAACTGCAAGTCGTCGTCTCGTGTTGGGACGAGCTACAGAACTCGCCTACTCTCGGTGAGAAGATGAAGGAAGTTGCTTCTGGTTGCCTCGGTCCTCACGCTGGCCAAATAATGACTGACATCCTGCTCAACGTTTCTCGCTCGTCGAGGTGGGTCGGCGAATATCCCTTCTTGTGGTTGGTGTCGCTGACGCCGTGCCAGGACTGGAGCACGATGAGTTGTGTGTTATTCTTCGACCATTTCTTTCTCGTAACGCTCAACCCATCTCGCCTTTGTACAAGTATCGTGAATCTATTTCCTATGGGATTACTGTCATATCACTTATCTCGTGCTCATTGCACTGTTCTCAGAAACTATGGTTGAACTTTCAAACACAGGTAATAGGCACAGGGGCCTTGGTGCAAGTCCTGATGGCTCGAAATTTTTCTCCTGCAGCTCTGATGAGCACATTAACGGAATCCTTACCCACCTACTCAGAAGCAGCGAATTCGCACTTTCAGACAGTCTCGAACCAAGGACTCATCGGCGTCCCGTACGTATACACCTGCCATACGCAGAACACCTCTTAGCGTTCTCCGTCTTACTCGGACTGCCGGGCCCCTATTCACCTCTATTCCCGCAAAACCACAATGGCAGGACGCATAGACGCACAACAGTCAGAATCCGAGCTTACGTTCAAGTTTAGGATCGAGAACCTGCATGCGCTCTTCACATTGCCAGAGGGGCAGAAAGAAGGCCCCGCCCTGAAAACCGATGAATTCGGGCCTGGGCTTTCGTTCAAGTTGCAAGTCAAACAAAAGGAAGACGAGCAGCCTGCACTTGGAGTCTTTCTGGTTATTCCCGAGAGCCTTAACACGCCCGCAGCGCGCATAAACTGCAAGCTGACTGCACACTCGCTAGACTTCAGAACCACGTACTTCTCTAGGACATGGGAGCATGTAATGCGAAGCGGTGGATCTGGGCGGGGCTGGCCAACATTCCTCACGTTTCCGTTTGTGCAGAAGACTCAGGAGGAGGCGTTGTGGATCCGGGCGGTGGTAAAGGTGTCCATGGGGGAGCCGAGCGTGCGATCGAACGCCACGCTCACCCTGCTGCACAAGGTGATGCATTCCAGGGAGGTCGACGCGTTACGCTTCGTCTCGTACGAGGCGCGCGGAGCGTCTGGGAAACTTGGTCGCCCGCGCTCGACGTTTGCGCCTGCGGACATCTTGACGGAGTCGTGCGAGAATGTTGACTGTGCGTCTACCCATGCATTTATGTTCCTCGCAATGCTTATATATGCGCTCCCACCAAACAGCTTTGGACAAATTCATGGAAATATTGCACGGCTTCGCGCTCGATGAAGAAGGTTATCCTGCCAATCTCCACGATACCGCAGCAAGCTACACCGGTTATGACAGCGACTCTGACGACTTTGACGACGACGACAGCGACGGCGCTGCGATCGACGGACGCGGTACGAAACGGAAATTCGACGCCATCGCGGATGCCAAGTCGGAGGATAGCGACGGCAACGGTAGGCCAGCCTGGCCCTTCCTCAGGCCACTGACTTCATATGTGCCCAGTCGAGATGGTGGACGAGACGACGGTCGCGACAGTGAAGCGAGAACCCTTCGAAGGTAAGGTCATCGTCTTGCAGGACGCTGCAGCGAGAACGTGAGTGCACGATTTCAATGAATGTACTTGGGAAGACTTCACCGCTCAAAACTCATGACAGATGGGAAGCCCTGCTGTTCTACCTCCAGACAGGCTTCATCGTGTTCGCGCCACTGAGCAGCAGTGACAAGCAAGCGCGCGACAATTTCAGAGAAAAGTACCGCGACCTACATCCAAACCGGCCTGAGTCACCGTCATGCAAGTCCATCTATCGGCTCGCCGACAAGGTGAGTCATGCAGTGCGCATTCAGCGCCCTGTTGACACCGGATTTCAGCTTGGGCTTGACGACTTGAAAAAAAGAGCGCTCCTGCACCTGGAATCGCAGCTATCACCGCAAAACATTCTGGACGAAATTTTCAGCGAATTCACGTCCCAGTGCGTTCTTCTCTCTCTCCTCACCTCCGGGTTCCTCACCGGCCGGTGCGCAGTTACGAGGAGGTAAGAAAGATTGAATTGGCGGCCGTCGTGAAATGGTGGGCCCAGGTGCAGAAGCAGCCTGCGCTAATCACCAAGATGGAGGAAGTCGCTAGCGGGAAGCTCCCGCATGCGGGGAAAATTATGATAGAGATCTGGAGTCGAGTGATGGTGAAACCTGAGGATGTGGCGAAGGCGGCTGCGGCGGACTTGCCTTCTAACTCTGGCTAGTCCGAGAACGTCGATGTGATATCGTGGTTCGCTTGGGCACTGGAAACTCGCATGTTTCTCCTGCCGGGACTCAAGTATGTGTGCCGCGTCGCTGCCATCGAATGAACGCATATAGAGTTTGTCGTGGTGATGACGCACTCACTGCGGCTAATTCTTGGTTTTTGCCTCATTGACCTGAAACTTTGGAAACAAAACTCCACAGATTCGCATTGGGGCCTCAGGTAAAGGTACATATCACCGAGCTGAGCGAATTAAGGTATCATCAGAATCGTGCATAGGCATTACACAAATTGTGCAAGCATCATGGTATCTCGTCAAGAAAGAACCCTCGGACTCCCCACCCCGGACAGAAGGCTCGGTGCTCAGAACCTACTTGACCCACGTCCGGACCTGTAGCGGTGGGTACCGGTGCGGTGTCTGCGACCACCAAAGCAGTTGCAGCAGAGGATGTCGACGATGACGTCAATAATGGTGACGATGATCTGCGGCGGGCGGTGAGTATAGACTGCAGTGCACAACGATGATGAGGAACAGAAGACGAACCATGAAGATCACATCGATAATGGTCATGATGATATTGGCGATGGCAGAGACGATGGCACTGAGTCCGTTGCCTATGGCAGAAAATATGGAGCCCTGGAGGCCCATCAGCGGGCGCCACGAACTAATAGAATAGGAACCGACCATGATGAGCGTGGTAGAAAGGCGAAAATTTAAATGTTTTAATCCAGGTAGACAAACTATCTGAAGAGTTGGGAGATGGATATGGGCTCGACGCGCCTTATAACGAGAAGGGGGTATGACGTCATGGAGGCGTAACTGGTCATGGGTGGAGCCTCTTCGACTATTCCACTCCACGCCCAGAGCACGACCGTGCGGCAGGCAAGATGCATTCGGGAGTGAAACTAACGCAGTGAAGAAATGTGAGTAGAATGTATTCGCAGACCAAAAAATCTAGGAACACGAGATCTGTATTGGCACCAATTCAAAAATATTTATTGACCCGGATTTCTCTGGAGAGCTGTGTGTTCAATCTTCCCTTTGACGTTTGAGAGAGCGGGTTGTAAGTACTGGTGGTTTCGTCCAGCAGATTTGTTCCTCCTCAAGTATGCTCGTTAACATCTTGAACTGCTTGTTCCACATTCGACGGCCTTCAGGTCCCGGACGCATGAATAGGATCATACTTGTCGATTAAACAAACTTAACTGTAGGTGTACGTGCGGTAAGTCAATCAGCCATCGTCGTAGTCAACAATCCCGCTACTAGTGTTAGTCATCGAGTCACTTAGACTGCTCCTCCTCCCCTTGCGCATCCTTCAAGGTGGGTTCACGCACCATCTGACGATTCCAATCATCAATCTTTGAAAACGTTTCAGCCAAGCAGTGCGCACAATAACCCGTTGTACAGGAGGGCGGGTCCACGTCGGGTTGTTCTCCCCCACCGGGTACGTTGCGACGACTACGAACCCGAACTTCTCATAGAACGGCGTTATCTGCGGTCTGGTGTATAAGTACGAGCGTCGTGATTGCGCATCCGCCTTCATCCTTCAGCTGAGTGCTCGTAAAAGCAACCACGGAAAACGGTGCACTTACTTGGCTTATGACCGCTTCCAACAGCACAGAGCCGTACCCCAGGCCTTGCTTGTCTGGAGTAACGGCGAGCGTGTCTATCATGAAGACATCATCGAGCTGGCCTCCATTGACAGTGTCCTTCGAAGCTTCATCCTGCTGGCGTGTCTCTTTCAGTCGCTAGCAAGGGAATAATACCCTTAGCACCAACTTGACGTGATACAACAAACTGGCAGGATGAGTGAGAGATCTCTTACATGATGCTGCTCCTTGGTGCCAGCCAACGTGATGATCAGGAAGATGACGACGGAGGCTATAGACTGCACCATGCGTTGGAATATCTTGCGCAGTAGGGACAATCCGTTCGGGGCAGAATCACTGTGCAAGCGCGGGGAAATTGCTCATGTTTGGTCCAGGCGAAGCAAGTAGGGTTGATGCTCACTATGTGATGAAACCGTCCCCTCCGTCGAGAGTGATTGCCTCCTTCTGGCTCACATAGTAGGCGTATTGGATGTAGAGAACGAACCTCGCACCGAGTTTGCTGATGCGGGTATACTTTGCGTCCTGTAACGTAGCACACGATGTATCGGCGTTCAACTAAGGACATGATGCGCAGAATTCACTCACGGGTGGCGGGAAGAAGACGTAGTTGAAGAACGGATCCGTGTCGCGAAGCGCCCTCTCTGTGACGTCGACTGTCCTTGCGATCTCCCCTGCGAGCAGACATCCAAATCAATCAGCGAGTGTACGTCCCCGAGCAATAGATTCGACGTACGATATCTCAACGGTCTGCATGATAATTCTGTCTTCCTCGCCATTATCGCTTCAGCTAAAGTTTTGCACTCACTCTGCACACTGGTCCCGGTTTTTGTACCATAGCTCTTCAGCGGTACCTGCCTAGGAACGTTCTAGTTAGGCCGAGTTTTGAGCCACCTCGAGCGCGCCGCGACGGCTATCGACTCATTCCATCGTAAGGGGCTGGTAAGGGGTACCGAACTAAGCTAAATCCGACATAACGCCTCGGAGAGGTGTGTGGTCGGCCTGCAAGTATAGGACTCCCACCTCTTAGATTTTCGCCGCGAGACATAGTATTCAAAAAAACAGCTTTTCTCCTACGGCTACTGCCATGCTATTATGTGGAAAAACTTAAGGATCTCGGAGGACCCTCTCCATACCAATCGAACGACTTCAGTTATCATCGGAATCGTGAATAGGCATTATGTGCAGGGATTATGACATATTCGGAACTTCATGAAGGAACAAACGACCTCCGCACACCCCAGAAGAAAGGTTGGTGCTCACTACACGCCTGTCCCACCTCCGAACCTGTAGCTGTGGGTGCCGGTACGACGTGTACGACCCCCGAAGCAGTTGCAGCATAGGATGTCGAGGATGACGTCAATGATGGTGACGATGATCTGTAGGTGGGCGGTGAGTATAGACTGCGGCGCACAGCGAAGAGGAACAGAAGACGAACGGTGACAATCACGCTGACGATGGTCATAATGACATTGGCGATGGCAGAGATGATGGCGTTGATGCCGCTGCCGATTGCGGAGAAGATGGAGCCCTGAAAGGGGATTAGCCAGTGATGGTGGTGCAAGGAGGCAGCGGAACGGAAGACTGACCATGGTGATGAGAGCAAGTACTTGGTAGAAAAGTGCAGGCAGCTGGTGTAAAGAGGTAGATGAGATGTGAAGAGATGGAGGGAGGACGAATAACTTGGCGTACTTTATACGAAGTGGGGGCTATCATATGACGTTATAGAAGGACGTACATTGGAGACGCGCGGGGAACAGGTGATGATGATGATGAAAATCTGTGTATTTATACTGCAAACAGGCGATCAAGTGCGTCAAGGCACAGTCTCTAACGTAGGTAAATACGCGCTGGTAAGGGGCTGTCGAAAAATAGAAGTGTCTTTGCTGCCATGAAAGCAGCGGTGTCTCATGAGTACTGCGTTGTTCGGGTGTGGGGAAGTGATGTCAACGGTGGGAGTCTATGAGGTGAAAAAAGGAGAACGGAGAGATAGAAAAAAGAAACCGAGAAAGCCCTTCACACCGACTGAACCTCTTGCCATCCTCAACATGTTCCCCGCCTAGCTCGCATTCACTAAACTCTACTCACCCGCATCAAGGCTCCATCCCGTCCTCCCATCGAACCTCCTTCCACGTCAGCGATTCACGGTTGGGACGAAGAGGGTTCGGCATCCCTGCTTATTACCCCTCCCCATCGGCGTACTACGCCACGTCGACTAAGGCCGCAAACGCATTCCTGCTATGTCGGGGCACTACTCCCGAGGGTTCATGCAGCCGTCTTTCGGCAAATGCTCCCGTGTGTGAATCGTGTGAGGCGGAAAAGTGGTGGTGGGATACCTAAAATGAAGACCTCGATTGAGGCAGAGAGATGGATGGCAAGTGCTGGATAGTGGATGCATGTCGAGGATGGACAGAGTAGAAGGTTTGAGGATCCAGGCTGGTGGATGCATCGCGATGAAGTCGGATGTACCCTGTCGAGTGAACACGCGGGGGAACGACTGCCGCAATGGCGAATCGGACGATGTCGAGTCGGCTGTCTGTCTGTTGGTGGCGTCTACAGTCCTCCCATAGGTGAGAATCTGCGTTGACTGGGAGCATCGGACGATGCTCCCTCTCTTTGCTCGGCGAAGAGCGTGGGAAAATCCGCACCAGGTGGTGGTACGAGTCCAAGGAGCCCCCGCGCGGGGAACAGGGCATTGCAAGGGAGAGCGTGGATCGTCCCTCGAGCTCACCGGGTGGAGCCTCTCCACGCTCCACGCAGTCTACGAGTGCTTGGCATGGTCAGTAAAAGATTCCACGTCGCCAACTCTGCCGAACATATCGGCACTCAGGTAGCCTTCAGTTTGTAGAAGCAGTTTGTACAAGAACAAGCTTAAAGCAGGGAAGAAAAGGGAAGAACAGGCATACACATACCGCAAGCGCCCAATACGTGTTCTCGGCAAATTCCGCAGTCCATACTCCTTCCTCCATACATTTCACAAGTCCTCGAGACCATGTCCACGTACGACGCTCTCCATCGACAATGCCGAACTCTTGAGTCACTCTTCGACACAAAGCTCACTTCCTACTCTCGCTTAGCCTCCACAATCACCCGCAACCAGGAAGATATCGAAGCCGGCGGCTCCTCCGAGCGCTGGAAGGACCTCGAGATTGAGGTGGAAGAGTTGTTGCAGAAGGTGAGCCTTTCAGGTCGTAGTGTGCTGATGGCATCCTCTGAAATGCTGTATGCCAGCTAGGAGAGATAAACGATGAAATGTCTGCACTGTCGAACGATATGGATAACCCGCCGTCACAGTCCATGCTGCGCGCTATTCAGAGACATAGAGAGGTATACCAGGACTATACGCGGGAGCTGCGGAGGACAAAGGTGCGTACTTCTCTTTCCCGTTTTGCCCACTTCTTGACCATCTTCTTGTTCATTTGACAGACGAACGTGCAAACTGCGCTAGACCAGACAAATCTGCTGAGCGGTGTCCGGAATGATATTGAGTAAGTCTGCGACGCTTGCCGCCGAATATTACAGGGTCGCTGACAATAACGCGCGTCTCATGCAGTGCGTACAAGTCCTCAGCCGCAGATTCGCTACTCGCAGAGCGAGGGCACATAGACAACTCACACCAGATGACCGACGATATCCTTGGGTGAGTTTATTGTTGCCCTGTGTCGCGCTGCGATCCTCGTACGCTCATGCGGTGCACGCCATGTTTACAGGCAGGCCTACGAGACCCGTTCAGAGTTCGCTCGTCAGCGCTCGACGATAGCGGGGATCAACACGCGCATGACAGGCGTCATTAGTATGTCTTCCCTTCTTTTGCATTCCCTTCACCGAGGTGCGCTAATCGTTGTCCCCATCTTCGCAGCTACATTGCCAGGAGTAAATAACTTGCTCTCGATGATCAAAACGCGACGGCGGCGAGACTCGGTCATTGTCGGCTGCTTGATCGGACTCGGTGTCATGTTACTGCTCATGTACATCTTCTAGGACACTCTTTTCTATCATACATGTCGTGTATCTCCGTTAATGGAAGGTTTCGGTTGGCATACACCTTCGTGTAGACCTCAATATCATTATTTCACTCGGCTAAATCTATCATTCAGGTAGTCTAAGTGTTCCCACTGCGCGGTCCTGCTACTCTTCGTGAAAAGCTGTTCAGCGCTCTTGCAGCCTCATGGCACACGGTCCTCCTCGTCACTCTCCCAGTCCTCCAATAATAACTTCCTGCGGGGTTTTTTCCGGTTCGGCTGATGGCCGCCCTTCTCAAATCGCCGCCAATTGGCCTCCAGGCGCCGCACAGCGCCCCACCGATCTTCATCCCCGACGCCATCCAGACCATCATTCCATGCATCCTCGACCGTCCAGCCCTTCACCTCCGCGACGGTACGCAACATGCGAACGGTGTACGCGGTCGAGTGCCGCACGTCGTGGAAGTCGGACTCGACGAGGATGCGGTGTGACGCGCACGCGGAGATGAGCGCTCTGTGCGCAGGGGAGCGCCCATTAATCGCAGTAGAGAGTGAGAGAAACACATTCGGGTGCTCCTTCTGCGCCCCGCGCCCTCAGCCTCGTCATCTCCCATAGCAAGACAAATAAACTCGCACCTGGATGTCCGCCCACGTCTGCGCGCTGAGCCCGCAGCTGTGCATGTCAACAGAGACGTGCACCCACGCGTCGCCGTGGCGCGCGCGCATGCGGCGCAGGAGCTCGACGGTTGCCTGCTGGCACTTGACGCTGTGCACGCTCACGTTGCGCCGGAGCTCGACCGCGACCGCGAGCTGGGCCTCGAGGACCGATAGCTGGTGCGCCAGCGGCGTCGTGAACGGCGAGAGCTCCCGCGCCATGCCGTCCCCGTCTGGGCCGGCGGGGTAGGGCGGGTCCGCGGGCGGGACGAAGGGGATGCGGCATGCACGGTCGACGCCGACTTCGCCGAGCATGGCGCTGGGGAAGGCAGTCAGGTTAGCGCGGAGCTCGGTGAGAGCCGAGGCGAGCGGCATCGGCTCCGGGAGCTCTGGGAGGAGACGCTCGAATGCTGCCAGGTGCTCAGTTTTCGGAGACGCGTCGAGGAAGAGCGACGCGTAGTGTGCGCGTTTTGAAGGCGCGGGCTCTAGCGAGATCCAGTGGGTGAACCATGGATGATACCCTGCGAAGAGCTACGAGTTAACTGCCATCCGGGAGCACAGACAAGAAGCGCAAGAAGATTTGTGTCAGAGAGAAGCAGCAACAAAGCATGGCTGGACGACAGAAGCGAGATAGACAGACAGACCGAAGCACGGGGTGACCTTGTCAGGGTGCGCGGTAGCCAGATCCGCGACGAGGCGCTGGTCGCTCTGCCTTGTCGCCATAGCGCAGATGCGGATGGGGAGCTCGGAGATGACCTCGGAGGACGTGATGGTGTCGGTGGGGTGGCAATGGACGTCGACTATGTGTCGCAGCACAGATGGTGGGGGAAGCGCATCGGGGCTGCTGGATGCACGATCACTCGGATCGCTCAGACACATGGAGATCGTTAACAAGTTCACGAAACAGCCCTGTTCTAGCACGGGAAGAGGGGTCGATGGACAGCTTTATTGAGCCAATAGATGATACCTGGATGGTAAATTTCTGCAGTCGAAGGCGAGCCTTCAGAGATAGTTCGCGGGTTTGTGCTCGACGATTGATCGTCGTGGGCCCCGCCGAGATGTTGGAATAGGACAGAGACCTACACCGTCTGTTCCCAAGCTGGTTGCAACAAGGTAGAGAAGAAGAGAGAAGGGCGTGGACAAGTGAGCTTCGAAGTCCAGTCACGCCTCGCCTTCTGCGCCTCTCCAACCCAAAAAACCATCTTTATAATAATCCTCATGCACGCGATCCCCCGTCTGCGCCCACCTGCACATCCCACTGCATCGTTCTCTCGAAGACTCGCCATGTCTATCCATAGTCTCATAGACACGTCTCCGCCCATTCATCGTGGGATGGTCGCCCTCGACAGGGATGCCTTCCACAAACCCGTCCCGGTCCTCGCAGCCAAGATTACGCCCAAGATCACCGGAGTGTTCATCCGGGCACCCACACTCAAGACGTACGTGGATTTCGTGTCTGTGCGCGGTGCGTTTATATGAATCGGAATAGGTTGCTTATGGATCTTCCGAGAGTGTTACCCGTTCACAAGGCGCCGGACAACGATCGCCTGGTACTCTTCAAGTTTTCGGATGAAGGTGCGTGGCTTTCGTGTCACTGTGCAGCAGCCAGATGTATTCACCGGGTTGGAAGCCAGCTGATCTGACTCCCGAGGCTGCCGAGTTTCTCCAGCAGCATTCTGCTCAGCTCGTCAAGCATACTTTGCATTTCCACTATGATGACTGGAACGCTGGTACGTTGCATTATTTCCCTTCTCTGGTTCATGACACTGTATACGCAGCTTCTAGATGAAATCTTGAATGCTGTTCTGCCCGAAGACTTGTCTGAAGGCGCGCCGCCCTCTAGTTTCGCCGTTTCAGGGCATATCGGTATGCTAACATTCGATCTTAGTGTTACCATCTTACGCTAGGTTTATGCAGCTCATATGAATCTCCGTCCTGAGTATTATCCGTACAAGTACTTAATTGGCCAAGTGATCTTAGACGTGCGTAGCACCACTATCATTCCCGCTTCTGCAGCCGTTCAGCCAGCCAACAGAAGAACCCGGGAATAAAGACCGTCGTCAACAAAATAGACAACATCAGCAATCAGTTCCGCATCTTCAATATGGAACTTCTGGCCGGCGAGCCCGATTACAAAGTCGTGCACGTATGTGACACGCCTCCACATGCCAATATCCTCCCTGACTGCGCCTTAAGCACGAGGCCAACTGCCGGTTTACCTTCGATTTCACGCAGGTGTACTGGAACTCGCGGCTGAACCACGAGCACGAACGCATAGTACAACTGTTCAGTCCCCAGGATGTCATCGCAGACGTTTTTGCCGGCGTCGGCCCCTTTTCCATCCCGGCGGCAAAGAAGGGATGCGGTGTCCTCGCGAACGATCTCAATCCGAAAAGCTATAAATATTTACGGCAGAACATAGATGATAACAAGGTGGGTTTCGCACTCGCATATCTGTAAAGGGCTCCCGTTGACATTCACCGACGTCCGTCCACTTGATAGGTGACGCAGCTGGTGCGGCCATCCTGCGAGGATGGCAGAGGATTTATCGGAGATGTGTTCAACAACATCTATGACCTCCCGCTGCCACCAGTGCTTCCATCAGAGCCGAGCAGAAGTCAGCTCAGGCGGCTCTCGAAGCAACAGAGAGGCTCGCCGCACGCAAATCCCGCCCCTGTAGATGCGGTACCGCTAGTCCCGCCCCGCAGACGTATCACGCATTTCGTCATGAATCTGCCAGACTCGGCGATCGAATTCTTGGATGCGTTTAGAGGGGTGCTACGACCTGTCTTCGGGTCGCGGGATTTAAGCGGGCTTTACTATAGCACGTCGAAGCTGCCGATGATCCACTGTTATTGCTTCGCGCGAGAACGAGAGCCAGAGAGTGCGGAGTCCGATATCCGGCGGGTAAGGGTTGCATGTCTCTGGTGACGGCGCCGAAGCTCACGTTATTTCCGCAGAGAGTGGAGGAGAAACTGGGACATGCACTGGGGCAGGAGATGTCGTTGCACTTTGTGCGCGCTGTGGCCCCGCACAAGCAAATGTACTGTATTAGCTTCCGTCTACCGTACAAAGTGGCATACGCTGCCTGAGACTCAGAACCTTTTCACCCTTCTTCTCGTTGTGTGATGAGCAGGGCCCAATATAGCAGGTGCTGCTGAGTCATCGCGTTTATGCCGCAGCAGCGCTCCGACGCGCGCGTCGCAGTAAAAAACGTTTTCAGATGAACACCTTATAAGTTAGACACTGCCTGCAAACCGCCACCTCATCACTGGCGGAGTCTCCCTTCCCCGCCTCCTGGTCTGGTTTGCCCCTAGATTTCTTCCTCACGACGCTCGTTATTCTAGAGGCTCCGCTTGTGCAACACCTAGATTCTTAGAACGGCTGTACCGCTGCTATACCCTGCTAGACGTGATTTTTTAGACAGTTCAGACGCTCAGACGCTCCACTTTATCTTCCAACACCCACTGACCTCACCATGTTCCCGTTTTTGCTGCCAAGAGTCTTCCCTACCGTGTACTGCGAGCCCGACGGCGAGGTCGGGACCTCGCGGACAGTGTCGGCATTCAAGTCGGTCAAGAGCGTGATGTCTGTGCCAGAGACCGAGCTGAAGCGGTGGAGGAGGACGTTTGACGCGAATGTGACGACGGTTGTGGACGGTCAGAAGTACGTGCCACAGATTCTCAAGTTCGATGTTTACCTAAGCAGCGATGCTCGTTCCAGGTTCTTGAACAGCGAGCAGTTTGTGAACGCGATCGCGCCTAAGGGAGACCTTACTAGAATTGGCCGCGCGCAGTTCGCAACCTTGTTCCGCGTTGCAGACGCGAGCAAACGCGGGCTCGTGTCCTGGGACGACTTCGTGGTGTTCGAGACTATCTTGAAGAGGTCGGATGCCGATTACTACATAGCGTTCCAATACTTCGATGTGTACGTCCATGCTGTTGTCGAAGAGGTGGATCATCTCTCAACTCAGACGTAAACCTTGCAGAGATAATTCGGGTACCATTACTTATGACGAATTCAAAAATGTATTCAAGGCTAATGTCGGATCTGACGCTATTCCGTTTGACTTCGAATGGTGAGAAAGATAGTCTTGTCGCTTGTGTGTTCTGACATGCGCTCGATGACGCAGTGACTGGGTGAAGTTATATCTCGGAAAGAAGAACGGAACACGCGTTCTAGGATGTAAATGTCATTCGCTATCTGCTGCAGACCGCTTGCCTGACGCAACTATGCACAGATAACGAGTTCACGCAGTTGATGAAGGGACTTCAAGGCGAACGGTTGCGCCAGGCATTCAAGTATCTAGATAGAGATCAGGATGGTTTCATTCTTCCTGAACAGTTTAAACAGATAATTCTAGTGCGATTTTCTCGTGATACACGGTAGTGGTTTCTGATGTCCTCTTTCACAGGAGATTGCAGGTCATAAATTGTCAGATGCTGTTATAGAGAGACTACCGACTCTGACAACCTTGTCACCGGGGGGACGGATATCGTACTCGGAGGTCATCGCATTCCACAACGTGATTAGAGGTGGGCAAATTTCAGTTATCTATTTACATTTTACACACCATACAGACATCTCATAATAGAGATGGACATGGTGGAGCGGTGAGTTCTGCCTGGTGAGCTGTTCTGCATGTGCTGAACAGTCGCGTTCGTCGTGAAGCATGATCCGGGAAGCAACCTCAAAGTCAAAAGACGGTCGGATCGACCAGTCAGATTTCCTCAATCACTGCGTGTCGAGCTCGCGCTACTCGCTCTTCACACCCATGGAGGCGTCTATCATCTTCCACTTCGCGGGCCGTGGTAATGCGACACAACGCCTCGCGCTCATCGACTTCGGACAGCTCCTGGACCCGCGATGGAAGGCGCCATTGGAGCGACCTGAGGCGAAGACGATGGCGACTACGGCGACATCGGTGCTTAACGAGGTTGCGCACTCGGTGTACAATTTTTCGCTAGGAGGTACGAGGGGTTACTGCGATTGATTTGCTCCGGTACTGAGTTGTCCTCGTAGGTATTGCTGGGGCATTTGGGGCGACTATTGTATACCCGATAGATCTTGGTGAGTTTGTAACGGTCGTGTTTCTATTCGGTAGCTAACCGCTTTCTTAGTCAAGGTGAGGCTACTTGCGCGGACGGTAATATTATCACTGATGCAATATCTTGTCGTTACGCTTCATGATAGACCCGGTACGCATGTCGATTGCAGTGCCTTGCATGTACTACAGCTATAACTTGATGACAGGATGCAAAACCAGCGAAGCTCCGTGGTCGGCCAATTGCTGTACAAAAACAGCTTCGATTGCATACAAAAAGTATTTCGTAACGAAGGGTCCATTGGGTTTTATCGAGGACTTGGTCCCCAGCTAATTGTGAAATGTCTCACATCTGCCATGGTATATCGAGGTGCTGACTCGTCTCAATGAAGGGAGTTGCACCGGAAAAAGCTATCAAACTTACTGTCAATGACTTCATCCGCGCACGAACCATGGATCCAGAGACGGGTAGAATCAAGCTCTTTTGGGAACTTGTTGCTGGTGGTTCAGCGGGCGGTTGTCAAGTGGTAAGGCGGCCCGCTGTCCGAGTTAGATTTACGTGCCTGACGTTCCGTCATAGGTCTTCACTAATCCCTTGGAAATTGTGTATGTCAAATTTTCGCAAGACAGATCTTTGACCTGACCGAAGGTCATACAGAAAAATCCGCCTTCAAGTGCAGGGAGAAGCGGCAAAACTAGAGCATGCGATACCGAAAGGTGCAACACACATCATCCGCCAGCTTGGTCTGCTCGGTCTGTACAAGGGTGCAAGTGCATGTCTGCTCCGCGACATCCCGTTCTCGGCCATCTACTTTCCTGTGTATTCACACCTCAAGAAAGATGCGTTCCATGAGGGATACAATGGGAAGCAACTGTCATTCCTTGAGACCTTGACGGCAGCCGCTGTTGCGTGAGTGTGGTTGATTGGACAGAATCCATCTAGCAATGATTGACGTCGCTTGGACCAATGGGTTGCTGATGTTTTATATCTCTGTCCAGGGGCATGCCCGCCGCATATCTGACAACGCCTGCAGGTACGGAGCCTTTAAGTCCCGAGTGGAAAACTGGCTTACAGTAGTGCAGATGTCGTGAAGACGCGTTTGCAAGTGGAGGCCCGAAGTGGGCAGACTCATTACAAGGGTTTGACAGATGCGTTCGTGAAGATCTGTGAGTTATGCGTGGACGTTGCACAGAAGTTGGGCTGAAACCACTGGACGTGTTAGACCGCGAAGAGGGCTTCAAGGCTTTCTTCAAAGGTGGTCCTGCGCGTATCGTTCGAAGCAGTCCTCAATTCGGCTTCACATTGGTCGCGTACGAGTACTTGCACAAGGTCAGTTTCTCTGTTCACCATAGAGACCGGAAACCTGACCATGAGAAAATCTCGCCTAGTTCTTCCCGGTAAGCGTGATTACCACTTGGCCATCCGCTCTGCTGATTGGTTCGGCAGTATCCATTCAACGGCCATGGCAGAGAGGTGGAAACGGCTCTCACCGTACAACCGGAAGACATGTCGAAGATACGTGCGCGCAATGCGCTCAAAATTCTCCTGGACGTCCACGGGGACTTCGGTCGCCGTACATCATGATGTGCGTTCGCTACTTTTCGTTAGTACGTTGGATGGACTACATTAGCACTAGTAATCGTATATTTTCCCCGGTCGTCGACGTTGGTATCGTAAGTGAGAAGAACACTGCCATCGGGAGGTTTGTCGAGGGAGTGCCACGAGGAGCCAATGGCAAAGCAAAGCCAATGAGAATCGTCTCTAGGGACACGATCAACGGTATCCGAGCGGTACGTAGGTCCGGACTAATTTGGTATCTTGGATCGTGGAAGTGTAGTATATTCCCAACCCCTCATATACAGCACGACCATGGAATTCTCGGCCTTTCACCCCGTCTCTTCACCTTCGTTCTTGGTCTACGGACCCCCTTCCCTCTTTCCTTCCCCTTTTTTTCAGCGGTGAGTGGTTTTGTTTGAGAAATCACAGTATGTCTGGTACTCACTGCTATTCGCCAGAGTGCTTCGCGTTTATCGCCAAGCTTCCCGTACTTTCGCTCCTGCTAGACAGTCTTCGTGCAGCGTAGACCGCTTTCGTTCATCCATCCGGCTACGCCGTTACTCCTCAAGCAGGCCCTTCTTCGTTCGATAATCCCTTCATTATTTTGACAGTTTTGACAACATGCGCTCAATAATCTACGCTCTCTCGCTTGCGAGCGCCGCAGCCGCTCAGATGGTTGTAAACGGTGTGTCCATGGTCCCCGCCAGCGCGGTATGGGCTTCGGCGTATGCATCACCCTCGAACACGGGTTCGAGTGCTGTCTCCGCACCCCCTTCTCAAATCACTACACCTCCATCTGCATCGACAATGCCCTATTCCTCGTTTACGGCTGGTGGTTATAAAAGTTTGGCGTGTGGATATGGATATTCGAAGGCCAGCGATGGTTCATGTCAGTCGGAGTCTTGGGTATGCATGTCAGTCGGCTAGGGCGGAGGATTGTCGGATTGATTGGCTCTGCTCGCAGTGGCAAACACAAGGATGCTACGAGACCATCATTATCAACAAGTAAGTCGTGTTTTTAATGAAGGAGTATGCCGACATTCATAGATGTGCACAGTGAAGGGGGGTACGGAAGTTATGGCTACGGGAGCTCCTGCGGTGATGGTTACACTGTGACAGCAACTGCTACTGCGACTGTTACCCAGACTAAGACGGAGGTACATGCATCCTGTGTTCTTGTATGCATCTATATCTGACAGTTTGGGGAATTGCCAGACCGCGACTATTCCCACCACTGTTACTGTGTACCAGACCGTCACTCAGGTGAAGACCGACGTCGAATCTGTGACCACGACAGATTTCGTGACATCCACTAAACTGGTCCCCACAACGCGCGTCTATATCTCGACGGACGTCGTCAACCAGACGAAGACGGTGGAACAAACTTTGACTGCTATAGAGACAAGCACTCAGGTCAACGTGTACACAAAGACTGATTTCCAGACTCAGACGGCCACAGCTACGAAGACGGAGCAGGAGACATTGACTGATGTTATTACTGCTACTGAGATCAGCACGCTTGTTGTGCCCACGACACGCACTCAACTTAGTGTGAGCACTCAGGTTATTGACAACGTAGGGTCGCCCATTCTCGTACTCGGATCTTTCTTATCTATTTGTTTACTTTCAGACCAAGACTGTGGAATTGACCCAGACTGCTACTCTCACCGATAACATTACGGTCGTCCAAACGGCTACACGTACGGAGGTGTTGACTGACATGGTGACCATCACTAAAGTCAGCACGCTCATTGAGCCGACGACATTCACTTCCGTGTTCGTCAGCACCAAGGTGATCGACGAAGTATGTTCAGGTCTCTTCTCATCAGATGTTGTTGTTGTTTATCGGAACCTGTCCTGCAGACGAGTACCGTGGAGAACACCATTGTCTCGACAGTGGTGGAGAACAGGACATCTGTCCAGACTCAGACAGTGGTATCTACAGCAACTGCAACGGCCACAGAGACAGCGACCAAGACAGACACAGCGACTGCTACTCAGACGGACGTGATAACTGACAGGGTCACCGTTACGCAGGTCAGTACAATCGTCAAACCTACGACTTTCACATCTGTTTGGGTCAGCACCGAGATCGTGGACGAGGTATGCTACCATCTAGTGAGTCTGCTTGATCGCGTCGTTGAATCTGCTGCTCTGTAGACGAGTACTGTCGAGAACACTATTGTCTCGACGGTGGTGGAGAACAGGACATCCGTGCAGACGCAGACTGTGGTGTCTACTGCCACTGCTACCGCCACGAAAACAGCGACTGCGACTCAGACCGACGTCTTGACGGAGATGGTGACAGTTACCCGAGTTAGCACGCTCGTGGAGCCTACGACGTTCATTTCGGTCTTCGTGAGTACGCAAGTCGTGGACGAGGTGAGAGTGTGATGCATTCAATGTGAAGATGATTCTTAATTTTTGTCCAGACCAGTACCGTTGAGAACACCGTTACAGCAACGGTAGTGCAAAATAAGACTTCCGTGTTAACTCAGACGGCCGTGTCCACCGCTTTCGCGACCGCTACCAAGGTTGAGACACTGACTGCTACCGCCACTAAAACCGACTTCATCACCGACATGGTCACTGTCACGCACTTGAGTACTGTGGTGCAGCCTACGACGTTCATGTCGGTCTTCGTTAGCACTGAAACGGTGGATGATGTAAGTTTCTCCAAACTCGATGTTGGCATTCGTGCTACTGACTTTTGATGCTGCAGACCAGCACTCTTCTTAAAACGTTGGTTTCGACTGTAGTGAAAAATATGACTTCCGTGCAAACACGGACGTTCGTGTCCACCGCGACTGTAACCGATGTCGTAACTCAGACTGCGACCCAAACGGCTAACGATGGAGCATTAGCGACCTGCCTTAGCAAGGTAGGTGTTATTGGCTAGCGAGTGGTATTCTCACTCAAAGCGCTCCTGTGCATTGCAGTGTAAGAGCTTCTGGTCACTGACCTCCGGCAATAGCAACAGTTACAACACCTACTTGTCGGCCCCGACTGCGAGCCAGCAACCGTCCAGAGCTGCGACATCGTGGCATAGCGTGCCCACTTCATCGTGGTACAGTCTGCCGACAGCCTCTTCTCCTCATACCTGGGGTAGCGGTTCGAAGGCAAGTGCCATCGCCTCCTCGTCTAGCAAGTCATCTGGCGGCAGCTGGTAGGCCCCGAGGTCATCCGCGTACATTCATTGTGATTTCGGGGAACGTCGAGCGTGTTTTTGCGAGTCGTGTTTGCACTTCCGTTATTAGGTTGTAACCTCCTCTGGACATGTTGGACTCGTAGGTATACGACTACAGACTCGGACTGTGTATTGTTGTTGATGTCTCTGCTGTCTTACATACACTTCGCCTTCTTATTCACACCGCTCTCGGAAATTTTTATGATAGGTGGATCGTAATGTAGAATTTAACAGGCCCTTCACCCAGACGCAATCCGTTTCATCCAACGAACGCATGATAGATACGTATACGACAGATTGCGTCTCTCTGAGCAATAATCACGTTGGACCATGACCGCGGTCAATCAGATGATTGGTGGTCAAGCACTGGAACCTAACTTGTAGCGTCGACGCATGGTCTTCATGAATCACATCATAGAACCATAATGCCTCTGCATGAAACGGAAGATCTAGCAACCCTATCCTTGTTGCGAGAAGTACAACAGGACTTTGTGATCTTTTACTCTTCCCGCGATGAAGGTGGAGAATTATGGTGCCCGGTAAGGTTTTATGCCCAGGCAGGATGAAGATGACTGCGAACTGATGACACCATCTTCTAGGACTGCAGGGCTGTGGATGAACTTATTCAGAGTGCATTCGGGCCAGACACGGGGCATTCAGGTCTAGTCGTTTTCGTTGGACAAAGATCGGAGTGAGTCAATCGTCTTTTTGACTCAACACGAGACATCGTGACATCTTAAAATTAGGTGGAAGTCACCTTCTAACCCCTTCAGAGGAAACCCGTGGAATGTACAATCTGTGCCTACGATTATCAGAATTCGAGATGTGAGTCGCGTCGCACACGAGTGTCTGCTAGACGCCTAGCGCTGATCAAAATACACTGCTGGACCACTAGGGTGCAAGACTCGTGGACACGGATATCAGGCACAGCCTTGCCGCATTTCTCCAAGAGTAAATGATTACACTTGTCCTGTCTGTGTAGAATCACCGGCGTCCAGCCTTGTCCGAGTGAAATCGATGGCTTGGACCTCCGCGCGAATATAAGCGCGGTAATTGAATGCTGCGCGTCTAAAGGATGTCCACTGCCCGACTGACCGTCTGCACAGCAAAAATCAAAACTGACCGGAAATCATAGTGCCCTATCCTCAGCCCATCGCATCATGCCAGACACCATCGATTTCTACAGCTTCTGACGTGGTTCTTTGGTATGTGGCAGGCAAATAGAGCAGAATACCCGACTCAGGCTATGCATGCTGCGTGCTGTGTAGAGCGCCGGCTAGGATTGGCTAACAAGATAGCCCTCCCGCGCCTCGAAGAGTGGCCAATTCTATCTCCGTCGACCCTCTACTTAAGCTGAGCACTGCCATACCTGCACCGTGCCTGCAACCCCCTCTGGTCCTCCGAGTCGACCTCTGTGGACTATGTCACCTGATGGTGACTACTGCCAACAAAACGACGCGTCCGGATACAAGGAGACTATGATCGAGAGGCAGCCTGATTGGCAAGAGATATCAGCTCGAAAGAGCAGGGATCGTCAAGTTCTCCTGGACCAGTACCGAGAGTGGCATCTACCGCAGAGAATACCCATATCCCGAAAGGATGTCTCCACGATCCCGACATCTCAGCTCAGCCCCCGAGAATTCGAAATTGTGCATCAGGATGCCACTTCTCTGGTACAGCACCTTCGTAACCGCCGTTATACTGCTGTTGAGGTCACCAGGGCTTTTTGTCACGTCGCAACGGTTGCGCAGGAGCTTACCAATTGCCTGACCGAAGTCATGTTCACAGAGGCCTTAGAGAGGGCAGCAGAGCTAGATGAGCACCTAAAGGCAACAGGCCAGGTTGTTGGGCCTTTGCATGGCCTTCCCGTGTCCATCAAGGATCATGTCCTTGTCAAAGGTCACGATACCTCGACTGGGTACATAGCATGGGCATACAACACCGTCGCCACAAAGGATGCGGTAGTTGTCGATGTATTACGCAAAGCTGGGGCTGTGCTATATGTAAAGACCGCCAACCCGCAGACGTTACTGGTTTGTGTTGATCTGCATGATTTCATACACGCACCGTTGATCATCGTGAATGCAGTCGCTGGAGACAAACAACAACATATACGGCAGGACCCTCAATCCCTTCAACCGCAGTCAGTCTTGTCATGATCTAACACACCTAGGTCTAGATGAACTGATCGGCATTGATGCGTCCAGCTCTCACTCCAGGTGGGAGCAGTGGAGGAGAAAGCGCACTCATTGCTCTACATGGCAGTCCGATGGGTTTGGGTACCGATATAGGCGGATCGATTGTAAGTGGTGTGGACGTTGTCACGACCGCATCGCTTGTCATAACACATCCGCAGCGAATCCCGGCTGCCTACATGGGACTTTACGGCCTGAAAGGTTCAGTTGGTCGAATGCCTCACGCAGGTTTAATGGGCTCTCATGATGGCATGGATGCAATCATCGGCGCACTGGGTCCCATCGCTACGTCGGCGCGAGACTTATCACTCTTTTGCCGTGTAATGCTCGAGTATTCGCCATGGCTTGTTGAACCACCACTTTTTGAAATGCCGTGGAAGCAGAATGTCGTGGACGGCGAAGGGATCCCGAAGAAACTGTCTATTGCAATTCTATGGGATGATGGCGTCGTTGCCCCACACCCTCCAATCCTGGACGCTCTGAAACACACCAAAGACGCCTTGGTTGCTGCGGGACATGAGGTTCTTCCCTGGATACCCGTTGATCACCAGGAAGTTTGGGACCTGATAGTGAGTTCCTACAATGTGTGTGGTCAACGACGGCTGACAGTGTCATTCAAGGTAAAACTATACTTCCTCGATGGAGGGGAAGAATACAGGGAGACCATGAAAGGGGAGCCTTGGGTACCGCAGACGGAATGGATCATGTCGCAGGTGCCCAATGAGGGCAAACCCTTCACAGTCGAAGAGATCTTCAAGTTGAACCTCGCACGAGAAGCGTTCCGTTCCAACATCGCCTCTCACTGGAACGCGACGCAACTGCGGACTACCACAGGAAGACAAGTTGATGCCATCCTAAGTCCGGTGGCATCCACCCTTGCCCCACCGCACGACACAACCTGCTGGTGGGGATACAGTTCATATTGGAATCTGTTGGATTTTCCCGCTGTCGTGTTCCCCACGGGACGCTTCTCTTCGCAGAATTACACTCCTTCAGATGTTTCAGAGGAATTCATTCCTCATGCGGGAGCACGGAACAAGGTGGAGGAGATCGTCAGGAAACAGTGGTCCCCGGAGACGTACGACAATGCCTGCATCGGCCTGCAGCTTATTGGGAGAAGATTGAACGAGGAGAAGCTGTTAGGAATGCTACGCGTAGTCGAAGACGCAGTGCGCACTTTTGGCGCGGAGAACGTCTGTTAACGTCAATAAATTCTTCTAACCGGCCCAACCGCCCACCGTGTACGGCGCTCGCCTGGCAGCGCTGTGCAGGTCACTGCATCAAGACTCGAAAAAGCGCCCCATGTTCCGATGGTGCCGCAAGATACTTATCCGATTGACCCAGTGTTCTCAGTGAGTCATGATGATCAATTGTTAAGAATGATGGTCCGCAAAGAAACACGATTAGGACCCAACTCGGATTCAACAGAGAGGCAAGGCCATCGCAACGTAGAGCGAGTTAAACTCACTTGCAACTTGCGAAACTTGTGAGGATTGATACCGGCACACCAAAGTGAAGTCAATTTGCCACGCAGTGGCCAATGGCAAAAACAAAGCTGATGGAGGCGTGGCACTGCTGAGGTTGATACCCAATCCTTCTCGTCCAGAGATGAAGAATCTTGATACCGGACCGTGCCTGAAGCCTGAGTGTCAATCTGTTGCAGTGCGGTTGACGATGCAACAAACGTTCCACTGTGTATTATGGCATGAGCCCCGATTCTCCGCACACAACGTATGTGCACTTACTGACTCAACAATATTCAATCCGCAGGCACACTACTAACACCGCCATCACTAAGTGGGACACATTCGAGCCTTGCTAAGCCGTCCTGAGCTGTCGTCTGTGTCGACAGGTCCTCAATATTCAATCTTGGAACTGAGAATGTGCGGCCGTTGTGACCCAAGCTACGGTAGGCCTGACTCATACTTGGATGCTGTGGTTTGAGGATGAGTCACCTCGGGTATTCCTCTTTTCTGAACGGGGGAAATTCTTGCGTGTTTCCGGGGCAGTTTGCAGGCAAACAGCAGCTCCATCGACGCGGCACCGTCTGAGTGCCCGGCCTACGAAAGATTGAGGATTCGGTTGCCGAGCCTCCTGCGACCGGAAATGACTTCTGATTCCGATTGAAGAACAAGGACTTGTCCTCCGTACGCTGTAAGTACTTAGTACGCGATACGTCCACTGCCGCTATGTCTGTCCACAAAATATGACTCACGACTAAGGCCACTGATTTATGTGGTTTGCGAAGTTGTAGTTACAGTGTTCGACGTCTTCCACTAGTTGCGACACGAGGCAGCGTGGCGATGTACGGAGGCGCCGTGCGCGCGTGCAGTTCGGCCGCGTCGAGGCGGCTCAATTCAATACAGCGTATTTTGCGCTCAATCAATATTGTGCCTGGCGTTACGAGTGGCACAAGTGGAACATGAGCATCGAGGACCACCGTGACTCCACCGTAATTCTGCGCCGCGGTTTGCTAGTGGTTTGCTGCCGTCGGCTCAATGATTGACCCTCAGCCGCCAGCGGAATACCGCCTTGGCCTTTCCTGGTGTCGGCGAGCATTTCTTGCTCTGATCCTGTGCGAACGTAAATCTGCTTGGAACCTACACTGATCAAGGCCTAGACATTAGGAGTCCATTTGTGAACATCCATTGGCAGGAGCTCGAGGTAAATGCCCCTCGGAGGTAACGGAACGACTAGCAAACCATGAAAGAAGGTAATGGCGTCTGCGCGGAGATGCCATCTGAACCAGGGCAGCGCTCATCTTGTGTCTGACGAAACCATGTCGGAGTTGGGTGGTTTAGTACCTGTGCCCCCGGTACCGGCATTATAGCAGAGGGTTGGTGAGGCGCAGCCGACGTCCATACGGCAAATTTCCACTGACTCTTCCGAGCCCGGACAGCGATTCAAACATGGCGCAGACCGCGCATGAGTCCCAAATTTGTCACGTCTGACAGTAGCAGTCACCATTATATCTCCTGGGCGTATAAAAGGTGCCGTTGCATGGGTGTCGGTATCGCCCAGTCCCTCCTGCAAACCCAGGTCTTTTGTCGTGTTATAGATTATATCGTGCTGTCATATAATACAGTACGTGGAGGCCTCTTCAACTGCTCACGAGCATCACTAACCACGCAACCTTCAGGTTCTGTCATGCCTGGTCTCAACGCAGCTCCTCGGCAAACTATTGTTTTGCAACATGATACAGCGAACGATTTTCTGGCGTTGGCGTATCCTACCTTGCGCCGCCATGAAGCATCTGCGAATATAGTTCTTGCGCACGCTCTCAAGCGTGTCAGCGCAGAGGCTGCCTTGAGTGGCTACCAGTTCATCTCCGACTCAGACGTCGAAGCATGGCTGTCTGCCACCGATCTCTCGTCGATGAAATCTCATCGAAATTGCGACTCCTTCTGGCTCACAGTGTGGAGCGGCACATCATCTCGCCCGACGCTTGATCTTGTCTTGTCTTGTATCAACTGGACGCTCGGAGACTATCCCATTTTCCTCTGGACGCCACATCGTCGTACTCTGTCCTCCCCCGAATGGCTTATTCCGAGAATCATACAGCTTGTGGAGCAGTTGCATTTTTGCGTGCCGCCTGAGCGCGTTTTTTCCGTGTTTGGCATGACACCCCTCGTGAAGACATTCGCTCGTTGTTGGTCAGACCTCACCGGGTTTCTTATTGAGCCCGAGCCTTTCTATGCCGCATACTTCTCGCATTGTACTCCTGAGACCTTCAAGTACTCTGATGCAATGTTACCACAAGGTCATGTGCTGCGCAGGGCGACCGTTAGAGACGTGGAGCCGGTTGCTCAGCTCTGTAAAGAATTTGCGGATGATTCGGTCAGTGCGAACCGAGCCTTGTCATGACATCACGAACTAAAACAGCATCTCTGATCTTAGGTTTACTTCCCTTTGACAATCGAGGCCGCTCGTATCGAAGCACGGGAACTTATCACCAAGGGTCAGATCTGGGTGTACGATGCAAGCGGAGATCTAACCACCATCTGCGCGGTCACACGAAACTCGAATCGCGTGTCCGCCATCACGAAAGTGTATACTACTCCAAGGTGGAGACGACGGCGATGTGCCGAATTCCTGGTGCGAGATGTCACAGCCAGGTATGTGGGCAAATGCTCCCGCGTCATCATGCCGAACTCTCATCGGGGTTATTTGCAGACTTCTGTTTGATACCATGAAGGACTCTGTCATTCTCTACGTCGGGCATGAAAACAGCGCACAACGCGTATATGATCGCGTCGGCTTCGCTGGTCTTTGCGGAAAGAATAAATCTGATTCAATCGAGGATTCGCTGGAGCTTGGTTTCGTTGGGGCCCACAGAGGACACTGGTAAACCTCACAGAATAATTCACGCATAATCTCTCCATGATACCCAAGCCTACTGTATTGCTAGCACATCTCAGCTCATCATCTTTATTATCCCCATGGCTCTCCGCCCCCGTTATTACCTACTGTATTTACTGCGCAGACTTGTTACTACTCATCAGCTGGCAGAACTGGCAGTCTAATCGATATTATTTACTGCCCCTCTCTATCTCAGATCTGTTCTTGAAGCTTGTAATCATCACCACCACTACAGTGTATCAAGATTCGCATGTATACATGCACTGCTGGTCCCTTGATTTGCCCTTGATTGAACTCACAACAGTTGGAACAGTTGGTGCAGATGGACAGGTTTAGGCTGTGCTGGCCATGTGTATGAATTACGTTTGATGAGCTTGAAACCTTGACTAACAATCTCATGATGCAAATGAAACATACGAACAAGTGTATCCGTAAGGACGTCATTCTCGAGTAAAGTCCCCGCCCTTTCCACCTTCCTTCCTCGATACAAAGACATCTCCGATGACCATTTCCTTTCCGGCGACTGCCTTCAGCATGTCCCACACAGTTAAGAGCCCGACCGACACCGCAGTCAATGCTTCCATCTCAACTCCAGTCTTGCCTTCGCACGACACTTCAGCGCAGCATAGGATACTGTATTTTACCTCGGATCCAAGGGTAGATCGTGAGACGGCGGAACTTGCAACAGCGTTCAAGCTATCTGCGATGTCCATGGGAACGGGACTGGGGCAATGACGAACTTCTGGATGCAGGGTGACAGAAATATGAGATAACTGTAAAGGGTGACACAAGGGAATGAGGTCCGCGGTTCGCTTGCAGCCCATGATGGCGGCCAGCTGCGCGACGGACAAAACGTCACCCTTGGATCGAGCCTTTGCCTTCACAATCTCTGACGGAGATTCGGTGAGAGAAGGTGTACCGCAAACCTTGTCAGCCGAGGGGAGATATGTCGAAGTGACGAGTTCGTAAGCTATCTCGGGGATGTAGATCCGCCCTATAGCCACTGCAGTGCGCTTCGTCGCTTCCTTAGCCGATACATCCACCATAGACGCGCGCCCTGATTTGTCGACGTGTGTAAGCCGAGGAAAGGACTGCGCGGAATCCACAGTTGAGCTAGTAGAACTTAAACAACGCCGATCCGTCGCGGAAGTAAGGAATACCGGAGATGCGGAGTGCAAAGACAATTCACCCCCCCGACGCTTCAGTCGAAGAGAATTCATTGTGAATACCCTATCGGCGAGACGGGTTCCTGAGCGAGTGGTAGACAAATCAGGACGTGAATCAGACGGGGCATACTTGTAACGAACATGCACTGAGGAAAAGCACTCAACCTCCAATTAGGATCATGGGTCGATTTTTCACGACGTCAATTGCTTCCATGCCTGCATGTTTCTCCCGTTTTCCCCGGACAGTCTGGCCAATGGTCTGCAACAGTTCTTCATCGGTTTCACTACTACGCAGTCCATCACGGAGAGATATCTCTTTCGCGTCAAATAAGCAGACCTAGCAGAGTATTGCTCAGAACAGACTTGCACGAGCCCAATAGAGGAAGCTGTACCTTGATCTGCCCATCCGCCGTAAGCCTGAGGCGATTGCAGGAGCCACAAAAATGATCAGACATGCTACTGATGAACCCGAAGCTCCCCTTATACCCTGGGATAGCATAGGATCGCGCAGTATCGTTCAGCTCGTCAGGGGACTTCGTCAGAGCTTGATGCGTGCTTCGAATACGAGCTAACAATTCAGCTGATGGAACCATCTTGGCTTTATCCCATTTATTTCCTGAGTAATTCAGCTAAATCACGAAGTAACAATATTTCCGGAGAGCGTACCTGTGAACGGCATAAATTCAATGAAGCGGACAGACATATCTCTGTCTCTTGTCATCTCCACGAAGTCAAGAATCTCGCCGTCGTTGAGCCCCTTAATTATTACAACATTCAATTTGACCGACTTGAGGTTGGATGACATTGCTGCTTGCAGGGAGCGAAGTACCGCTTCATGACCCATACGGCGAGTCATGATTTCAAATTTAAACGGATCCAGCGTATCCAGACTACCGCGCATGATGAGTTAGAACAAAGAGATAGACCAGCTAATGGGACGTACCTAATATTCAGATGTGTAAGTCCCCGCTTGACGAGCAAGGGTAATTGTCGCTCCAACGCGATGCCATTGGTGGTCATACCAATCGAGTCGAGACCATATACGCGCAGACCATTCAAACGAGCTGGGTTAGGAAGTATCATAAGTCGAAAATGCTTCAGGCGAACCAGGAGCTAGATTCATACCTACTAGATCGACTAAGCCCTTTCTCACTGTAGGTTCCCCTCCAGTGAGTCGGATCTTGCTGACACCGCTCTTCACAAATAGCGTGGCTAGTCGTATTACCTCGTCATCAGTCAAAATGTGCTCGCGCGGGGAAAGCTCCACGCCTTCACTAGGCATGCAGTAAAAACCTGGAGGTCATTTCGATGGTGCGATCAATCGAGTTCACGATCAACCTCTAACAAATCGGAACCTGCTCACATCGCAAATTGCATCGTTCTGTCAAAGAAATCCGGAGGTAGTTATGTCGCCTGTTGAATGAGTCCACTAGTAATGGAGACTCTGGTCTCTCGGAGTCTATCCGTGCGATCTTGTCCTTGAGAGTAATTGAGGTCAAATGAGTACTCTAACTCGCTCATATCATGAGCAGATATACCTTGACGCGACTGCTCAAGTCGTGCACCACAGGGACGACCTGAGCATGTTCCGACGCAGGGAAAGTCTTGATCCCACAAACAGGAAGACTCTGATACCGACGAGGGTTGATGTGTGGTCGTCGGAACATTGTGACAACATTAACAAGGGGTTAGCAGGTACCTCGAGGATTTATCTGAGTTACATGATCTCTCCTTGGGCATCAGTTCTCACCCAAGCTGAGCACACCGACTGAATGTCGGACTGAACATGTCAGAGGAAGTCGCTGCGAACTTCGAAGATCACGCATGTGCACGTGTCGTGTATGCCTTAGCTACGAAAATCGACTAAGGGACGAGTATCACACGGGCTGTCCTGATAAGTATACAGAAGAGCTCCGATGCATCTAAATCTCCCCGTCAAATACCGTTTACTTCAACATCGAGCATCTATGTTCATAATCACAGCCCTCTCAACCATATCTCGAAAACTGCCCATCCCTCGGGCTGGTCTTCTTCTAGCCGTACTCTGAAATATCGGCCGGTGGCGCGCAAGTGCAACGCATCGGACGCCACGAGCATCTGCACGCTGCACTCGCGCAGGTACGTTGGCGTATCTTCTGACGTCAAATTGTCCGAAGGAAGTCTAAGATCTGTGTCGTTACAGATTGGCCGCTGAGACGCATGATGCTGTCGGGATGTGTCGAAGTCAATCTATGCCTTCAGCTGAGAGAGCAACGGAGCGTACCCAAACGAGCTGGTCCATGGAAGACTCAAATGTACAGGCATCGAGAATCGCCTCGGTAGCTGAATCGACCAACCATGCCATTTCCACTATTGTCCACTCGTAGGCCTCGCTAACATCGGCTAACAAATCGATAGAAATAATGTCGCCCTTCTTCGCACCTGGAGGGATATCTCAGTGACGTCAACGGGAATAATGGCGAAGTAAAGGCGCACTGCCTGGGCTCCGAAACGATGTGTCGGTGAGAGTATCCACAGCATTTGAAGGTGCATAATCGATGTAATGCTGTTTGGCAGCCTCACCCAACAGTTCTAGATTGTGTTTCTCCAGATACAGCATATTTTGAATGCTGTCACCGGTGTGCCCTATGGTATCTGGCAATAGGTGGATGTTCGTCTCTAGGACGCATGAGGAACCTCTGCATGCTGCACGTTGCCACGTTGGTGGCGGAAGATAGGCCTGGAAGGAGGTATACGGCAGCTTCGCACGGGCAGGTTTCGCATCTACAGCAGAAGTGCAGGAAGGAGCGTTGCAGTGGGTGATAGATTCCAAGTACTGGGTTGCCTTCTGCTGTCAGGCAGGAACAGCTATTAAGAGGTTGTTATGCAAAGAAAGAGGTCGACTAACAATGTATCTGTTATTCCTCTCGTCTCCTTCAGGACCGATGGTGAAAGGCTGGCCGCCCCCAAGTTCGAACTCGCGATCGAACCATATTTCCGGAACGCGATTGCTCAGAATAGTGAAGAAATTATCCGCCATCTTCATCTCATCGTCCGACGCACGAATGCGTCGCAGAAGAGAAATAAAATCTATGGCATCGGAGCGATGGATAATTGCACCATATCCCAGCCAGGTAAATGAGGCATGAATATCCGAGAGGTACGAGGATTCTGGCTTGGAGACACGGATCTCGCGCAGAGTTGAGGTGAGATGTTCGCGAGGCGGAGTGAGATAAATGCCATAAGACCCACTCGAACTTCTCATTCGCTTATGGAGAGCGTGCACAATCTCCGACCGCACAAGGTAGTCATCATCCTGGACATACAATCGATCAAGCTGACGAAGAGCATAAGTGAGATGTCGTCATACCTGTACAAAACAGTATGGTGTACGTGCTTGAGCACAGCCCATAAAGCGGCCCTGAAAATACATGTTCGCAGGTGCGTTGTATATTCTTAACCTGTCCTTGGGACAACCAGTGTTCTTGAAATCCTGTTATAGTACAGTCAGCAGCAAGAAGACAGATGCGAAAATTGTCGTACAAACTTCATACGTCAGTTGCCGCGGGTTGTTGTTCCAGATAGATACTTCTACGATAACGTCGCCCAACCAGTCTCCGCACAAGAGAGACGTGATAAGCAAAACATTCGGGAATCGTGACCAGTTGAGAATAACAGCAGTGGTGTCAGGCACGCTAAATGAGACATTCTGAATCCGTTCGTAATGCTTGAAGTCATAACCATCCAGACGATATGTCACTGGGAATGATCTTGGGACGAAACCGATATCAGCGAGGATGGGCAGATACAACGACGGGGGGAGTGTGTTGTCATCTGACTTGGGCACCAGATATTTCACGAAAAGACCAAAAATTACGGGCACTGCCAGAGTCTGCACGAACCGGAAAATCTCCCGCAGAGTGAACATTGCAACGTTACGGGTCTAGTTCAATCGTCACGTCGGTAGGTGGCAGCCACATTTTGAAGCGCTCGAGTCACGTGGTTAAGTGTCCACGTGGCCGTTCCCCGCTTACGTCAATGGGGCAAGCGCAAACCACAACCTCTTGAGTCGACTTTTCAACCATCTAGTCCTGCATCGGCCATGCTGCCCCGACTCAGTGCTCGAGCCTTGAGACCGCGTCTGGCGCCTGAAGCTAGGAGAGCAATATCCGTGCAGGTGACGTTTCCTGTCGACGAGCTGCCTGAGTTGCTCCCCGGAAGGACCTGACGCGTTGTTCGACTATTTCATGCTCGATGTGAACTCTAGTCGATACTTCATGGGTCTCCCGAAGCGCAGCAGGAGGGCGAGGTGCAAGTCTTGCAGCATTCCAAGCTGATTGCACGAGGCAAGTATATACACGGCTTTGAGGGTGAGTCTTGGCCGCGACCTCGCGTCACGATTTCCGTTCTGGCTATATGTGAATCATCGTCATACCACAGTACATCGAGTGAAGCCGGATGCTGTTGCGGAGTATAAGAAGGCAGCGTAGGTCCTTCATTTATGTTAATGTCGGGATTCTCGAGTTACGTCAGATAGCGAGAACTACTATGCTCCCATAAAGGACGACCCGGAGTTGCACGTGAAGTTGACGGGAAGCTGGGAGGCGGTCATTGGAGAGCAAGATACCTTTTGTGGGTCCCCACTCCTTCCCCTCTCTCCTTGTCATTGAGCGAGCTAGGAATTCCAGTTCACATCCTGGAGTACGAGAACTACAATGGTTATGACAGTACCACTCAGAAGATCCGGAAGTCGGACGTAAGGCAATGGCACACTGGTTTGTCTCCTTAGCTAACACTGAGCCATTCGCGGTTAGCACGCCAAGGCGTACCAGGAGATGATACCCCACCTGGTTTCTCGCTCGTCTCAACTGTGTCAGGAGTTTGCATTCTTGCCAACCGCTCCTCCACACTCTGAGGGTGGTATCTTCGAGTTGCGCTCGTACCAGTTGAACCCGGGAACATTACTGCAATGGGAGTACACATGGTCAGTCAGTCGTTCGGTGGTGCACTCACCTCACCATAAGCATTATCCGTCTATCTGCAGGCGTAAAGGTATTGAAGCTCGTCGGAAGTTCGTCGAACCTGTGGGTGCATGGTTCTCGCAAGTTGGGCGTCTCCATCAGGTCCACCACTTGTGGCAATACCCGTACGTTGATTTTGACTGATAGTTAGTGGTCCTCACCCTTTGTCTATCTGGCAGCAATCTCGAGACTAGGAAGGAGACGCGCGAGAAGGCTTGGAAACTGGACGGGTGGTCCGAGACTGTCTCGAAGGTATGACAACCTCCCGATCGTCGTGTGCGACGCTGACGGTTCCCGATGCAATCCGAACCGAAAGACGGCCGAATACTCCAGGCTCATGGATTCGATCATTCTCAAGTCCCTTCCGTACAGTCCGCTGAAGTAGGATTGCGACGCCACCACCCACAAGTGGTTAGTGTGGAAGTTTTGATTTGCAGCTGGATCTGGGAGCGACGTCGCGTATATGAACTCGTTTGATGACAGACACACCGGAGGATGTATAGCTACTTCAACCAGTGCTGCTTTTATATCGCTCGAGTCACTTGGTTCTATTGAGAAATGATGAGGGCGCATAAATAATTACCTCATGCTATTGTAGGTGCTCGCTCGGGAAGAAGTTCAGCCGCGATAATTGTCTGATGTGGTTGCTTGTTCTTCGGAGTAGTCCCTTGTTTGGTTGTCGGCGGAACGGTTGTGTTCGCCTTGTGTATCTGGTCGCGAGGGGGTAAATCGATAAGAAAAAATTGCGTAGGATATTAGGAGAAGGTTACCGGAAAAGACAAGCCACGTTGTATCAATGTTTAGAATCGGAGTGTCGGATCTAGAAAAGCACGAATAAGAGGAGGACGATAGACGCGTTCCATGATGGACCCACAAGTGCAATCTCCACCCCAACTCTTGCCTTTTCCCTACATCCAGCCACTATCCTAGATTGACCGATCCTGTCGCGCCAGAATGTCGAACCTCAACAACCTCCTCAATCCGGAGACGAGCAACGAATACAATCTCAGGTATGCTCCGACACGTTTGGGGCCCCCCCCTCGTCCCCTGTGGGCCTCACCTGCGTGTCTAATTGCACTCGCACAGAGTCCAGAAGTCCCGTTCTCCCAGCAGCACTTCCTCTCCCATAGAAAATACCGACGAGCAAACTGCCACAGAGCCAGTGTACTATACCCCAACAGAGATTACTATTACGCCTCATGAACCACATCTAAACTGTCCCAACGCTCTTACTTGTCTCCAAGAGACCGATGGCCGACCACAGCACACACTTCCTGTCATTTTACGCTGTGCTATCCTGGGCAGCCCAAAAAAGCGTCTGACCATCCGGGAGATCTACGCCGCGATGGAGAAGAAATACCCGTACTACAAGACCGCAGGACCCGCCTGGAAGGTATTTCTACACCGCAATGTCCTATTTAATTCTATCACATTCTAAAAAGTGATTTTCATGGATATAGCAATCTGTCCGACACCATTTGTCGCTGAATCGACTATTTGAGCGCCAACCCCGTCCTGCCACCGATCCAGGATTTGGCTCTTACTGGACTGTCAACCTTGATGCTCCACCTGGTACGAAGCGGCCGCGCAAGAGAGGTCGCGCTAACAAAGAGGTTCCTCCCGGAGGTGCTCCGGTAGCGTCTACGTCGCAAAAGCGCGTAAAGCACCAGAAGTCCAAGGAAATGCAGGAGAAGCTCCCCGAGCCGACTTATTCACCTATCGCGACTTTGCGTCCCGTCGATAGTCGCTCGTTTAGTCAGACGTCAACCGCACGCGCCAAAGCGCAGTATGACGACGACGACGACATGGATTATGCGTCCGGCGATGGCACTCACCCATCCGATGACTACGAGAGCGACGACGACATTCCGTTCCAGTTCGATCCTCGGGTATCATCCACAAGTCCTCTGGGCACGTATCCCAGCCGATCTGTTCTCCACGGTGCGTTCTCAAGCTATGGGAGCCAGGAACACCCAGAGGTTGTCGTTGAGCGGCTCAATTTGGAATTGGCCGGCTTGCGGAGACAATCGCGCGATGCTGTGTCTGCGAATCTCCGCCTGTCGGATCAGCTCGCTGAAGCGCAGGCCGAGTCGAGGAGGACCAGGACAGCGCTGAGAGCAGCGGAAGCCAGGTTGGAAGAGGAGATCAGGAGAAGAAGGCAGGCAGAGCACGCTGCACATGAGGAAGCACACTTGAGACGAGAGGCTGAGGACGCACTGATGATGCTACACTCGCAGAGGAGACCTCCCGGTTATTCAGGACCACGCACATGATCAACGTACTGCCTTGTACGTTGCGGCCCTTCGCACTCTCTTCCGCCGGGGATGCTTGCTGATCATTCTCGCCTTTCCAGCTGGAACTTCATTGCCAATTTACCTCTAGGGGGTCGTAGGTTATCTTACTTTTAAATGCTTTTTGTCACTGGGGTATAACTAGGCCAAATATTCGGTGTACATGTGTACCGGCAGCAATGCGGGCGGGGTTCGAGTTGGAGGCAATGCGCCAAGCGTCAAAGTCCTGACTTTCTGCGCTGCGTTTCGCACGACTGCAGCACGAATTGGTCTCCGATACAACTCACCGCAAGATTCCATGTATGCTCGTCCGACGGTCGGCAAGGTGAGAACGATGTTGGAAATGTTGACGACTCATGGGACCAGAAGCGGATCAAGTGATAGTGCAGCACGTTGCGGTTGACTGAAGCTTGTTTATTTCCGCCATTCTTCGAACTGTGTGTAGGAGATGGCTTCCGATATCAGGCGTGCTTCTCGATGATCTCTAGATAGGAGACAGCGTCACAGTATCACTCAGTATCACTCTGTGTCCTTGTTGGGGCCAGTAGGGCCATTCTCACAGCCGGTATCGTTGTAAGACCGGCTTCTGATTCCATTGGTGGGAAGCAATGATAAGACGTGGGTTATAGAACACGTACATCCGGGCATGCGTAGGCCTCACGGAATACTCTGATGAGCCTGGACATGAAAACAGCCTGGCAGGGTTGTTCCCCTGGGCCACGCCCGATGCGATCACGCCGGAGGAGTAAGTGCGGTAGAGGCCTTTGGACAACATGTACAAACAATGTCTGGAAAAGTTAGCGGCGCCTCCGCCCATTGGCCCTAGTCTGCCAATGGCTTCCGTTGCCCGTCCCAAGCTTAAAACCGCGTATGCATGCTCTCATAGCCCCGCTTTCAGTCTAACTTTCAGTCTTTAGGTTCAAAAAAGCTCGAGTCATCGCACCATTGCATACTGCGGGCCCGGTCGCTATAACTCAGGATGGAACTAGACTTGTAACTTGCGTGGGCGAGGAAGCTTTGTTGACCGACTTGACGGCAGAACAGGAGATATGCCGTTTTTCAGGCGTACGTACCTTCTCTGTGATTAATTCTCAGTAACCGGCTGAGTCCTCTCCAGGACACGGAATCTATCACTGCATTATGCATTACACCGGATTCCACGCACCTGCTACTGTTCACGTCTTCCCTGTCTCTCCGCGTGTACGAGATCCCCTCGTCAACCATACCACTCAGCAAATCGGTGCACCCTATCCGCGTAGTACCCCGCGCGCACGACGCGCCGGTCCACGTATGTAAGGCAGATCCTACATCCACATACCTCGCTTCTGGTTCTGCGGACGGGGTCGTAAAGGTATGGAACATCCTGCGCGGGTACGTAACGCACGTCTTCAAGGGGCATGGGGGAGTTGTCAGCGCTCTGGCGTTCAACTACCCCTTCGATCCCTCGTCTGTCGCCCGAGAGCGCAAAATGCAGCTCATCACTGGGTCTGTCGACACGCGGATACGCATCTTCGACTTGTCTGCTGCTGCTGTGCGCACTGGCGCGGGACTGAAGCCTGAAGCTGTACTCGAAGGGCATGTATCTGTTCCTCGCGGTCTTGATGTCTCTCCAGATGGCAAGTGGTTGGTGAGCGGCGGACGAGACTCTGTAGTTCTTGTCTGGGATATCTCGTCCAGAGAGGTATCAGGCACCAGAAAGTCGAAAAATGACAAAGGGAAGAACAAATACGTAGGGTTCGCCCCCGTCCTCTCCCAGACTATACCTGTTCTGGAACGCGTGGAGGCTGTAGGACTGCTCCGTCCTGACGAAGACCTCGCTGGAACGACATCTGGGCCGAACAAGTTGCGCTTGTACACTGCAGGAGAGAAGGGCGTGGTGCGCATCTGGGACGCCCGGGAAGGCACCGTCCTGTTCACTCTAGGGCAAGAACAACAAAGTTTAGGTGAGGGCCAGGAAGAGCAGAGACAAATTGTTGACGCCATGTACGTTCTTCGCCCCCGATCGTGCACTCCTACTGTATTTATTTACTTTTCCTCAGTTATATACCATTTACATCAACTATCGCATCCATACATGCCGACCAAAACATCCTCTTCCACTCCCTGACGACCCAGTCGCTCTCCCGTCAACTCATTGGATTTAATGACGAAATCATTGACGCAACATTCCTTTCCCCCAACCTTCCCCTCCAACCCAACCCCTCCCGCACTAAGCTGACTGATACTCACATAGCACTGGCCACGAACTCCTCTCTTATCCGCGTCTACTCTACCGCGTCCATGGACGCGCGCCTGCTCTCCGGGCATTCGGAAATTGTCCTCTGCCTCGATCACGGCGCTAGCGGACGCGCGCTCGCGAGTGGAAGCAAAGACCACTCCGCGCGAATATGGGCGCCCTCACACCATAATGATCCAGACGGAGAGCCCACAAGCTCACCTGCGTCAGACTGGGGATGCGTCGCGCTCTGCGAAGGACACGCCGAGAGCGTCGGTGCGATCGCGATGTCGCGGAAGGCATGTGAGGCGGGATTGGAGGGCGATGCGGGCCTGCGGTTCATGTTCACGGGCAGCCAGGACCGGACGATCAAGATGTGGGACCTGTCGGGCGTGCCGCTGTCGTACGCGGGGCCGGGCACGGAGGTGGTCAAGTGCAAGAGCTTCACGACGCACAAGGCGCACGAGAAGGACATCAATTCGCTCGACGTTGCGCCGAACGACCGGATGCTCGTCTCAGGCTCGCAGGACCGCACCGCGAAGGTCTGGGCGGTCGACTATCTCGTCACTGGCGGCGCGGCGCGCGGCGAGCTGCGCCTGCTCGGGACGTGCAAGGGGCACAAGCGGGGCGTGTGGTGTGTGCGCTTCGGGCGCACTGAGCGCGTGCTCGCCACGGGCAGTGGGGACAAGTCAGTCAAGTTGTGGAATTTAGACGATTTCACATGCGTGAAGACGTTCGAGGGGCACACAAACTCTGTGCTCCGGGTCGATTTTCTCAATGCGGGCATGCAGATAGTTAGCGCGGCCAGCGATGGGCTGGTCAAGCTGTGGAATGTACGAGAGGAGGAATGTGTCGCGACGATGGACAACCATGAGGATAAGGTTATACTTCGACTACGTTGCGTCATATGATGCTGACATTGTATTCTCGCTAGGTCTGGGCCCTCGCGGTTAGTACGGACGAGTCCACCATTGTCTCCGGCGCGGCCGACTCTGTCGTCACCTTCTGGCAAGACTGCACAGAAGAGCAGGAAGTCGAGAAGGAGACCAAGCGCGCCGAGCTCGCTCTCAAGTAAGTCAACCTCCCCTCGTACCTGCCCTCGCTCTCATCCGCGCTGACTGCACCCCAGAGAACAAGACTTCCAAAACTACCTCCACTTGCACGACTACCGCAGCGCGATCCAGCTCGCGCTCGGGATGCAGCAGCCCGGGCGGCTCCTCGCGCTCTTCAAAGCGCTTCCTGCCTCCTCCGCCGGGGACGCGAAAGCACAGAGCATCACAGGGCACGCGACGGTCGATGAAGTCCTGCGCACGCTCCCTGGCGTCGACCTCGCACGCCTGCTGCGCTACGTGCGCGACTGGAACGCCAACGCGCGCACGAGCACCGTTGCGCAGCGCGTGCTCCACGCGGTCGTCAAGCTGCGCCCCGCAGACGAAGTCCTCTCCGCGTTTTCCGCCGAGGGCGCCCTCGGGGCCCTTAGCGCGAACGTGTTCCCCGTGGAGGCAGATGCGCACGGGGGTTCGCGGAGGGAAAACGGCGGTGCGACGGCGCTGAAGGAGTGGATTGACGCGCTGATTCCCTATACAGAACGGCACCTTGCGCGGATGGAGCGCCTGCTGCAGGACAGCTACGTCGTGGACTATATGCTTAGTGAGATGGACGACGGGATGTTCGAAGTGGGTGATGATGATGCGTACGGTGATGAGGGCGGCGTCGATGTGCCTATGCAGGTGGATAGCCTCGTGGATGTCGCGGCATGACAAGTACTTTAGTACGTAAGGGGACAAGTACGTTGTAATCTTTTAGCCGACGTTGCTGCAACTCATGTTGCTCGTGATCACTTATTAGCCTTCACGGCAGCTGCATGATCGAATCCGTGTCTGGTGTATTCTCGTTGGAATGGTACACGTTGCGAAACAGGAGAAAAACAAACACTAGAGGAACCACTAGGATAACATAAGAGCCGACATAACGGAAGGACTAAGCGATACACCCAATGCGGAGAATAACAACACACAAAAAAGCCCGCCAAACTCAGGATGATCGTTCATGAGCATGAGCCATCTTGAGCCATCTTGCATCGTTCATGCGAAGCGGACCTTTTCGCCAGGCCGACCTTCGGAGACGAGAACAATAGCCTGCGTGGAAGCGATGTCAGCGTCAAATTCACACATAATGAACAAGAACACGCACGTATTTGCCGCTGATCTTCCAGCCAGGCTCAGCCTTATCGAGGCGCTCAGCCAGCGCATCGCCGTCTTTGCCCAGCCCAACAACGACATCGCTCTTGATCGTCCGCATGCTGCAAACCTTGGGCGCGCCGCTCGCTGAAGCCATAGGGCCGATGGCGACCTCGAAATCAGTGGACGGCGGGGCCGCGCAGTCATACGTCAACTAGCGCCATCAGGGAAGATCTGTGAGCCAGTGAACTACCCGAGAAGAGGCGAAAGGCGAACCTTGCGGTGATTGAGGTCACCCTTGAAGATGACCAAGTCGGAGCGAGAGAGATGAAGGAACAAATCAGGCGCCTCGCTGTGGAGATCCCAGTAGGTGTACCCGGTGCACCAGAAGGGGTGCTGTTCATACACCCACTTTCCTTCCTTCTCGTATTGCTGCAATACAAGCGCATAGAGTCAGCACTGGCACGACAATGAGATGCGTCAGGATCGTTACCTTCCAGCGCAGTCCCAGCCTGTGTAAACTCGCTTTTTCCTGGTCAGTGGCCTTGGGGAAGAGGTGGCCGTAAACCATCGAGTTCAGGAGCCACTCCCAGTCCTTCTTCGTGACGTCGGAGACAAACCACGGGTAACGCTTGCCGTGGAAGCGAACTTGGTTCACGAGTCCACTCTGGATCAGGAAGTCCGCTGGAGGATAACAGTGTCGGCGCTTGTATCATACAGTGGAGGAAGCTCCGCGTACCATAGACACAGTCACAGTACAACTCGAAACCAGCGTTGTCCAGGATGAAGTCAACCCTGCCACCAGTCTTACCCTTGAGATCGCGCACGACTTCCCACAGGCGAGCCATGTCGTTGCCCAAAATGTTCTTCTCAGTGGCGGCCAAATTCTCGCCTCCAGTCGACTGGAGTGACTTGATCTGCTCCTCGGTCATGTTGATGAGAAGCGAGAGATCAGTCGAGTTGCCCCATAGACAGACTATATGCGTGAGTTGAGCAAGCTTCGCAGACGAGAGAAACAACTTCGTACTCTGCGTAAGCTCCATAAACATCAGCCGTACCGCCTCAAGCTGCTCCGCGGGGGACATGCCCTCCTTGTGCTTAAATGGCTCTGCAAAGCGCATGGAAAGCTCGAAAACAGCTTCGTTGGACCGCGCGAACGTATCGCACTGCATATATGCGCTTTAGAATGAGCGCAACCTGCAAGATAAGAGCGCACCTTCTGTCTGAAGAAGACATCATAGGAAGTCCAGTATTTGCTCACGCTGAAGCATTCACGAAGACGTCGGTACTTGTATGCTTCGGCGAAGAGCCAGGGCGCATTCATGAAATCCTTGCCTGCGTAGAAGGAGCGGGGTCAGCGCGATCGACGATGACCGAGCGGGACACGATCCAAATCGGGTGAGGTTATTACCGCGAACGGACGCGATGACGCGACACGTCTTACGAGCAGACGCATTACTCACCCTGGAAATATTTTGCAATCTCCTTGTTCCAGAGGGCGACGTCGGCCTCGCCGTCGTCGACGATGGGGCGGAGCTTTGCGTGGGCATTGAGCTCGTCCTTGAGCTCGTCCATACGCTCAATGCACTTTAAGAGGTCGACGATGCGGTCCTCCGCGGACTCCTGGTTGAGCGTCTCGATGACATCATCGATCGCTTTGCCCAAGATGGTGGGCAGACGGTGGCCCATCGTGGCGTAGGCAAACGAGTAACTGTTGTCATGGAGGGGCCCCTGAGCGTCGGCCATGGAGAGATAGCGAGAAGCGACTCACGTGTGATAGCCACGGAACGCGGGCCATGGCGGGTTGTTGGGGTCAATCTGCAGCGCCGAGCAAGTCAACAACGTCGAGACACGGTCAACGAGACGCGACGCGTACCGATGAGGGCGTCCTGGGATAGACAGGCTTGATGTCCTTCTTGCTGGGCAAGTGGGACAACTTGAGGGACATCCTGTTGGGCATGCCCTTTGTTTTGGTGGGCTCGTTGATGGGCGGCGCGGCGCCGTTGGGGATGATCTCGTTGGACATATCTGCTTCCTCTGTCTCGTCGGGAGGTGTGGGTGGGAAGTAGTCGCCGCCATTGTGGGAGGGAACGTATGAGAGGTAATTGTCGTCGTTGACGGGGGTGTATGGGAAGTATTCGTCGATAGTCATGGCACGTCAGGAAAGATAGAAGGGTGTATGTTGAAGGGAGAGGTCAGTAGATAGGCTGGACGGGGAGAGAGGGAGGACGCACCGTGATTATATACGGTGGGACGAGCGGGGAGATGGGAGAGAGCGACAAGATGGTTGCCGGAGCGCAGTTAAAGCCCTTCAACTAAGCAACAAATTGTGGCGGCTCGGCCACCTCCCCGGAATGGGCGACTGCTCCTGACGTCATTTCTCTTATCCCAGTCGGTCAATTCCCTTTCGCGGCAACGTAGCCCACTTCCCCGCCCGGCGTCCCTCCGATAGCGCACCCTTCTCCCGGTCCGGCGCCCGTCCATCTCTCTCGGAGCAACCGGCCTTCTCTCGGCGGCAACGCCTCCCGCCAAAGTTATCTCTCAAATCTTTCCCCCTCTTTTTTTTTCATCCCGTTTTCGTCAAAATGCTTTGTTTTCCAGATTTCATGTTGTCTGCCGATTTTTACCAATTTGATGTATGTCGTGACTGTTGTCAGCTTTCCAGTCGAGTGGTCGAGGACAACTGGACACACTTATATCATCACGATTTCTGCCAATGGGGACCTCCATTGGAAGCCGTCGTGCCGACCCAATGAGATTGTGATCACAATCGCAAACTCTAGTACTCAACTTCTGCTCCACTACGGCGTAGAAACCTTCGTTCTTCCAGCCCCAAGCCTCTTCAGCAGGTCCACACCAACGTCCAGCGCATGATGCCTGCGATAGCGAGGAAGCCTCGCCAACGACCCGAATACAATACTGCGCGGTGACAGTGACTTGCTTTCTCTAAGTATGGTCTGCTACTTACATCGATTTGTGCACCATACGCATGGAGCAGAACTGTTGACGCCCTACCTCATTGCAGCCGATAGCCGATCTGTTATCAACGCTAGCTATAGACATGCTACTCAGCTAACCAGGCAGTCCACTGGAGATCATGAGCAGTGAGTGTCTCAACCACAACCAGCCACTTCAGCTTACCAGCAATGCAACTTCCTCATCCGATCAGGCCTATCTCCGCCCGTCCAGCTTCATACTGAGATGCCTGGCATGGTATTGACAAGAATACGTGTCGGAAGGCCAATACAGCGTAGCTTCAAAGAACGTGTTGTGAGTAACGAGTTCATGGTCACCAGCGGATCCATCTCGTGAAGCCCACGAGACCTATACACAGGCCACGTGAAGGCATCTCCCCAGGCCGTATAGCGTCCTTCCAATTCATTGCCTCCCACTGCAGCGCCAGCGGACTGAATACGATCGCATACAGCGCGAGAACCCCGCGCGTCCCCACCTGCTCTTTTCGTAGCCCGACCGCGAAGATCTGTCCTGTTTCGTCGGATTGGCATAGTCGCATCAGACTGTTGCGCGATTTCAGCCCCATATCTCACTGACATCCTTGCTCCGGGGAAGCTGTATCGCCCCCAGATGCACTTCGTTGAACTAGCTGCCACCGTGGGTCCGTGTTGTTGAATCGGCGCGTCACGGGGTGCCGCGTGTATAGTGAGACCCGCGTCGGACCAGTGTTCTATGACTATACCGTTACGACAACACAGGTCGTGGTGTCTGATCCCACCTTCCTCGTGAATGGATGTTACCCACAAGACTGTGGGTTCTGCACCTCGGTCGCCCTGCATGTACAGCTGATATGCCTTCTCCTTCAGATGTAGCCGTCCGTCCCGTCTTCTGTGCCCTTTGATGTCCTCGTGCGTCTACCTCTCAGAGCACAACGCACAAAAATACGGCGATTCACTGATCCCCGCATGCTGATCGCGACAATCACACTGTAGCCATCTTCATCCAAGCCATTATAACTGCCCCTTCGTGCTCACACACAGCAGCCACGGACGCCTACAGCGCTTCCAGTCTAGCCATCCAACCCCGGACGCATTCACCCTTCGCGCCAGCATTTCTCCGTCCTATACAGTAGCATCCCCGCAAAGCCTCCTCCCATCCACGGCCCGCGCGGAGGCACCCCAACGCCGATGCAGCGCCTCTCCCGCGGTCTCGCGTCGGAATCCCTCGCTCCGGGGACCCAGCACCCACTGTATACGATGCGACGAAGTACTGTTTATAACCACGATCGGTTCACGAGATTGCCCTGGCAGAAGCCTGCATGTTCCTGAAGACAAACGCGTTCCTCGGCCATTATCTCCATGCGTCCTCATTCGGCTCTGATTCTCCTGGACGAGGACTCGGTACTTTGACTTGAGTGTGATACCCTGGAGGCACGTGGCTGGCCTATTCAGATAACGGGTGTATTCCTCGATGGTCGTCTTAGGTAGGGGTGGTCTCGCTGTGCCGCTGTCGCTGTCAGTACTGGTCACTTCCCTTCTCCCGCGACGTCCAGATAGAATATAGTTTCCCTACAAATCCAACTGCCGCAGTTGGACCTCGTCTGCCCCACGACCCCTCAATTGCCTGCGGTTACACGTAACACGCAGTCGACCTCTCGAGCACCTGACGCCACCTCGCGAACACCTGGAGTATCTGCCTGCTCGACATTGCAATCGTGATAATTTGCGAACCGCCCGCCTGGGCCCGGCACGATCTGGGGTGGGGCACTGTGGCGAGTGGATGCAACTGAGTTTTACGCCGGCGGGTCCGCTGGCATCTGCGTCCGCTCCTCGCTGCAGCATCTCCCATTCTGCGTCATGTGCAGCACGCAGACTAGTGTGTGCTCCGAGTCAGGGTTAATAGGAACGACTGTCTCACGCTAACTGGAGGCTGTATCTATGAGTCTACTCAGAGTCCTTGGTTCGGACGGCGAGTTCAGACGCGAAAACGCTAGCCATATCTGACTCCCTCATCCCGCATGTCTCATTGCACGAGCTGCTCGTGATAGCACTCACTCTTCGTGAAAATAGTCCCCAGGTTCACTGGCTCAGGAGGACTGCGGGAGACTTGGAAAAATATGATATCATATAGTTACAATTTTTCCTGTTAATCCGATGTGGTGTAGTGGCTAACATTATCGCCTCTCACGCGATAGCCCGGGGTTCGATTCCCCGTGTCGGAATCTGTACTTTCCTTCCTAGCTTTTTGTGGTTGTTCTTTTCTCCATTCCAATAATGAGTGGATACGACTAGGGATTGAATTTTGTGCGCTTCTCATCAAAATATCAAAATCTAGTAATTACATCTTCACGTTGCATCATGCTTCCCGATCAATGTCTTTACACGTCTTGTATAAATATGCGGCCCTCTACGCTATGGGGAATGAAGAGACCAAATGCACTCGACCCTGAGAACCTCGGTGAGCATTATAAACTGCTGCCTGGCATCGTTTATGCTCATGGACCACAGAACACCCCACTCACTAGGCTATCACAGCCAGGCTCAGCAGAATACTAATGCAGAATTCCATGTCAGCGACGCACATATGGAGGTGCACCACATGGAATCCCCTGCATCTCACACGCGTCTTGAGGCAGCTACGGTCGCGAATGCGTGCAGCCATGTAGAATATCAAAGTAACCCTTGCGCGCATTTGGCGGCCAATCACATGCTGTATATTCAGTCGTTTCACCAGTCTGTTCTTGCCATGGATGCGGCCAATGTGGCTGCTGCTCAGGCCCTGACTGCGAACACAGCTCATACTTCCCAACCTCTGGTTCCAGACAGAATCAGGTCCGGCTACCATGACAAGGATGTGAACCTCAGGGTTGCAGCAAATATGGCCCGTATCATGGATGACCCTTTTGCTTTTGCCGCTGTTGACTCGGGGTATGCACGGGCCTTGGCCGGAGGAGCTTTTGACTCCAGGTCAAGTGAGTGGTACTTCGCTGTGGTTCACCGGGCATGGCAAAAGGGAAAGTACGCCGGGCTATCACAGTTGTTCAGTGATATCAAATTTATGATAGTGGGTTAGGGACACCTGAGCTATACGTGTGATTTGTTGTCTGAAGTCGGGAAGGAGAGTCTGCACAATACAGATGGGGAAATGTGGGGGGGATGCCTAGCAACCGTGTGTGAGGGCTTGCCTTCTGTCTTCTGATACGATGCCTACAACCAGTGCAGGGCTTAATGGGTTTTCTTATACGAGGCCTACAATCGGTGCAGGGCTTTCCGAGTCTTCTTCGTCTTCTTATCCATGTGCCTACATCAGCAAAACCCAACTTTTACTTAAAAGGGTACTTAAATGACTTAAATGGACTTATGATCCTTATTTAAGGGTATAAGGTCAAAAAGGGGCCTAATGCATATTACATGAGTGTCTGAAATCAGACTTATAGACACTTATTTGAAGACTTATTGCCTTAAATAAGGGTTGTAAGACCGAAAAGTCAAAATAGCTCTGTAAGAAAAAGTTGGGTTTTGCTGATGTACAACCGTGTGCAGGGCTTACCGAGTCTTCTGTGTTCCTATCCGAGTGCCTACAACCGTGTGCAGGGCTTTACTGAGTGCGCGTGTCCTAATACAATGTGCCTGACCGATGACTTTCCTACGTGTTGTCCGAGAACTTTCCGAGAACAGTTTGAGTATCTAGCAACCGTGTGCTAGACTACCCAAAAGAAACGATATGAGAGTGTAGTAGTTGTGTTCATAACAACTCACTGCCTGCGCTGAACTGACTTCATCGGGATCCTTTTGATTACGAGTAACAATGTTACTGGGAGGAGTGGAACAAACTCCTATTCTTTTAGTTTATTACTTGTAGGGTAAGCTACAAGCAGAGGGAGAACTCTTCACTTATAGGGGTGCTACAAGTGGGGAGAGAAGACTTATGCCATCATCATGATCTGGCATATTCCTATACATCTGCATCCTGTCTGTTTCCGTGCTATCCATGCTATCCATCTGTGTCCTGCTCATCTGCTCTGCTCATCTGCTGGTGCTCATCTGCTGGTGCATCCTTTGATTCATGCACTTGTATGTGAGTACAAGTGGGAGGGGTGCGACTCCATTCCTTTTAGTTTTACACTTGTAGGGGTCTACAAGCAGAGAGGAACTCTTCACTTATAGGGGTGATAAGTGGGGAGAGAAGACTGAGGGTCGGGGCGCCTCGGGGGTCCTTTTATACCCCTTGGGTGTCACCCGTTGTGACTGTTACATAGTTGTGTTACATGGCAGATTGGCCAATAGCAAAATAAGAGCATCACGTGATCAAAGGGGAAAGTAGGAAGGAAAAATGTCTTAGGACCTTCATGTCCAATAGCATAAAGCGAGCAGGGAGAAACAGGGAAGACAAAACTCTTGGGACCTCCATGTCCAATAGCATAAAGCGAGCAGGGAGAAGTAGGGAGAGAGCACTTTCCGAGTTTTTTCCACCCAATAGCATAATGTGAGCATCAGGTGACACGCTCGGCCAAACGTTCTTGGGTTCCATCTTAGTCATGTGACTTCCTCGTTGAGCGCTTCACCGGTGGTTACGTGTTCACAAGCCAAACACTTTTGATGCGTGACACCGTTCTGATGGAATCGCTGCAAGAGTTTGTGAATGCAGCCGATGAAATGGGGAGCCAACAATCACGTGAAGAACGTGATCAGATGATGGTCAGCTGGGGACGTATGTTGTACAGGTTTGATCCCTCCTTCCCAGAGGATGAATACTGGCACCGCAAAACTCTGATATGGTATGGGATGCATATCCTCTACTACAAGGTGTGTTTTTCTGCAAGCATGCTGCATGCATTTTTCTGCGAGTGGGCTGCATTGATTTATCAATATGCTCCTAGGTCTACCATACTCTCAGTACACATGACCAAGAGCACATCAAGGTGGGGACACTCAAACTCTGGTTCTCACTCCTCGTCCACCTCGTGATCAAGTACACATGGGACCTCGAGACATGACAGACATGCGGGATGTCCATCCTGATGATGAGTGGGATGTTTTCTGCATTGGAAGTGCAGGTCACTTGGTGTAAGCACTCCTTTTGTCTCTCATCTGCCTAGTATACTAAAGGAGTCTTCAGTCATCGTTCACTTCCAGCTTGAGCGTCATCCGGATGTCAAACAGTATTTTGGATGTGACGAATGACTGCTGCTTATGCAGTTTGCACTTTACCTGTCTCAGAACCCGAGTTCACGCCGGCGCCCTGGACACATCCAGACCATGTGCCAATGCTTGATCACAGTGATGGCTAGTACTCATGCCTTGAGCATGGGCGCAATCAACCTGAAAGTGCACGAGAGAGGACTGGTCAGTGGAGTCTCATGCAGAGATGACACGACTGACATTCTCTGCTTAGTATCCACACATTGGTGATATCGAGATGTACAAGGAGGCTGGCATGCTCTCAACACTAAGGATGAAGTTCCACCTGAAGGTGTTCAAGGTATGCTGAAAAGCCATTCATGTGTGTGCATACTAACCTTGCGTTAGAATAATATGGAGACCACTGGCCATGAGCAAGACCTCTGGTTCGATCCTGTCCTCTTTGCACATAATATCCCATTTGAGAATTCCCTGTGGATGTTTTGCCATCTGTGAACATGAGGGGTGTTTGAGTATGCAGTGAGTTCAGGACTTGTGAGATGAAGATGGTCTGATATGTTTCTGCAGGATCTGGACGAGTTTTTTGCCTCCACAGATTATAAATTGAAAATGTGTGAGGACATGCTCAATCACCCCCTGTGCGTGGCTCTCTCCCCGACAGTTGGGGTGTAGTATATTGACCATGAACACAGCTTTGTTGTCTCCACTGGCAAAGGGTTGACTGAAGAGCCAGCACTGGCAGATTCGATTTCTGAGGCCATCCGTGGCCTTGCTCGCCATGCGGGTCTTCCATCGATGGGGCTATATGCCTTTTGATGCGAGACTGCAAGTCATGTGAGCACGGTTGTGCCTGCTTTGCCTCGTGTGACTGACGTGTATTAGTGTATTAGTATGAGGTCAACTACGAAGTGCAAGTCACTTCCTTGGTAATGGGTCATAAGCAGACCAGCTCTGTCAAGTACTATTGCCGTGGTGTTGGCAATATACAGCTAACTCAGGCTCATCTGGGCGAGATCAGCTCATCTCAGAATGAGCTGATCAAGGCTTGTTTAATCAATGTTCCTATCTTGTACATACTAAATGCACGTTCCAGATCTCCCAATGCTGTCAGAGCACACTTTCTGCGGCAGTGGAAGCATTGGTGATGCATCCTGACATCCTGGCTGAACTGCTCACAACGTCCAAGAAGCCGAAGCCTCCCTCTGCAAGGGTGAAGCTCGACGATGACGAAAAGGCGCAAGTTCTCCAGGTACCTTTTTTCGGCCTTTATCATGCAGTAATTCACATGGTTTGTAGGAGACGAGGAATACCAGTCTGCATTCCAAGAACAGTAAGCTGCATGGGACAAATTTGTAGGACGCTTTGATGAGAAGGCCATGTTCTATTCCCGGCATCAAAACCAGATCAATTATATCAAGGCTTGCAAGAAAGTTGTTACAACTGCAGATGTTGCTGAGGTAAAGTGTTACCCCTTGTACTGTCATGCATACTGAACTCGGCAGGTGGAGAAAACGCTCAGAGCAGCCATTGAGAAGGTGAACAAGTGGGGTAAGCAAGTGAAGAAGAAATCGATGAGGAAGGCGCAAACTGATGCTGAATGGCAGAGGAAGAATCAAGTCTCGGGTTCAGGCCAGGACCGGGAGGAGGCAATCATCAAGTTAAATCAGGTATCTCTCAATCTTTTGAAGGTATATGAAAGCAAGGGTAATCTCGGTGCGAATCACCACATGTTAAAGGGAGTTACATCACTGATGACTCATTGCATTAGTGCCATCGTCTGCAGCATCTTTGTCTACTGCACCATCGTCGTCAACTGCACTGTCATCGACAGTTCCATCGCTGCTGCCATCTATGCCCGGTACATGATGTCTTCATGCACATGGGATCTAGCTCACAACTTTTTACAGCTCCAACCCTTGCAACTGAATGTATATAAGCAGTCCGACATGGATGAGACATTAGCTGACATGGTAAGATGCAGAGCTAATCAGAGGCCACATTATTCACAACACTTTGCCGGAGAGTCCAAGCGCAGATGCTGATATCACCAAATGGGAGAGGTACCATCTCATCTTATCTGGTATTCAGCAGCAACAGGCATGGTCCATGGATGATGATGATGAGTGTGATGACACCAGCGACAAAGTGACGCAATTGGCATTTGACAAGGCATGCCAGCAGATGAGGCGGAATATAGGGTCAGCAACAGCTGGCTCCACTCTGGTGCTAGATGATCCAACTGAGGGCTTGGCGGCGCCTACTGAGGTCGAGGATGGATCACCAGGGGACCATGATGACTGGTATGTTCAGGCTCCTAGCAACCGTGTAGCATGCCCCATGGTGGATGCAACATGCACAATGGACAATCTCAGGGACTGGGAAAAGGACATGGAGCAGCTGGTGCATGACTGTCTTGTACCGCAGTAGCTGGGGCTAACTATGAATGCACAGGAGAAGAATGGCAGGTGGTTATGCTATCAATGCCCCAAGTTCATTCACAGGCCTGAACAGCGAGGTTTCTCGCAACGTTCCCATTGTGAACGCCACATGTGAGTTATGTTCACTACTGTGAGGTATGATGCTGATCTGCTGGCAGTGAGGTGTGGTATGATCTCGAGCTAGAGATGCTGAAGACGTATGCCCAGAACAAGCTATTTCACTGTCTCAGTGCCCTGTGTGACTTCACGTGAGTATACACACCCCCGGTGTGCTCACTGCTTGCTGACTTCCCCACTGTCAGTGAGAAGACGGTAAAGGAAATGAGGCAACACTGCTTGTCAGAAGACTGTCCTGAACAAGATCGCTTCGTTGCATTGAAGGAGCAAAGCGAACAGCAGGAAAAGCAGGTCAAGAACAGGCCCAAGGGTGAAAGTGTCAGGGAGAAGATGCGTGCACTGCACCAAGTGGACTCGGCTAGCTCGGATGATGATGGAGTGCCTGCGGCAGCCTTTGAGGCTGTTTTGCGTAATCGTGGCCAACTGGAGGCGGGGTTTCAGGTGAGTCATTGGTCTTCATATCTGTGCAATGCTGATACATGCACTCTGCAGAACTTGGGTCTTGACGGTACCACATTGTCGACTTCACTGGCATTCATGAGTGAGCTCACACAGATGCAGTATGACCGTTATCTCATGGGCGATGTGACACTTCATCAGGAAAACCCAACTTTTTCTTAGGGACTTATTTAAACTTTTGGGTCTGGCAACCCTTATTTAAGGCCATAATTGTTGAAATAAGTCTCAATAAGTCGAATTTCAGACACTCAGGGAATATGCCTTAGGCCCTTTTTGTCCTTATATCCTTAAATAAGGACCATAAGTCCATTTAAGTTATATAAGTGTTCTCTTAAGGAAAAGTGGGGTTTTCCTGATGCTTCCCAGTCTTGAAGAGATTGCGAGTACCATCGAGGACAATTGAATAATACTTGTACAATGATGTGTAGCTACATGTGTCAAAGCAGGTATATGTACACTACTGCCAGCCCAACTGAGGATTCTGGAACCCCGGGAGACCATAGCTGGCGGAAGAGTTGCTGACAGAGCAGCCTTGTGCCATGGCGAAGGCAGCAGGACTGGCAAATTCTTGTGGGGAACTGAGCCCGAAGCTTTGAGGGTATCCTTGGGAGGTGAACACTTGCTGGGTGAAGCTGAATCCTCGGCCAGGGGGAGCAAAGGCACCGGGGGGAGCAAAGGCGGGGATGAATGCTTGGTTGCCGACAAGATGAGGTTCCTGAGCCTGCATATATGCAGTATGGTACTGAGTCTGAGCCTGGTTGTAGCTGGCATAGTGAGTGCTGATGTCGGTGCTAGCGACATGTGGATCCTGAGCATTGTACATGCCGACATCCTGAGCACAGTACGTGCCGATGTTCTGAGTGTTGTATGTGCTGACATCCTAAGCATTGTATACGCTAATGCCGGTGTGATTGCTGATACCAGTGCTGGCGATGCTTGGATCCTGGGCGTTGTACGTGCTGACATCCTGAACATTGTGTATGCCAATTCCAGTGTTGATGGGCCCCTGAGTGATGCTGTCAATAGGTTCGACAACTTCTTGGTGGCAGGGCTCCACGCTGCTGCTTGGTTCCTAGGATGCCTGGCCATTGGTACGGGAGAGGACCTGTTGCTGTAAGCAAACTCATGATATAGTTGACAGGGCCTTGGAAAGCTTTTTCGGCCTGGAGTCTGGCAGTCTCAGCCTGAAACCTGGCAGCATCTGCTTGCATGTTTGCAGTCTCGGCCTTGAGGAGGGCTCTCTGGGCCTGGAGCTTGTCCATGGTGGCCCTGTCGGCATCACATTTCATGTGCCTGGCACTGTGGGTGAGCGTGACCTGAGTGAGAGTGGGCGGAACATACATGTTGAGTAACTCCAGCCTCGCGATATACTCCGCCAGCTTTGTGGTCTCTTCAAATGTTGCTTTCACCACTTCTTCGAACAGTCTGCAGGCAATGACATGATGTCCGCGAGTATGAGCATGCACACTTACTTGTTTAGCCCGTGCGGTTTTTTGGCCTTGCTGGGCTCTCCCGTCTCTTCCGTCGTGGCAGTGCATTTGCGCGTGTTGCACTTCAGTTTGGGCTCGACCATTGTGGATGAGACTAAGGAGCGCAGTCACATCACATGCACATGTGCACTTTACGAGTCCCACTACGCATCTGAAGGAGCGCGTCAAACATGGCATCTTAGAGTCTATGTACGACACTTGGCATTCAGATGTTGTCAGTATGTGTTATCTCTTTTGCTACGTCTTAATTCCCAACTTAGATTCAAGTCATCGAGCTCTTCAATGAGCAACCATGGCCATGGGATGAGGTGGGATTCTTGGAGGAATTAACGTGTCCACATCATCACCCTCCCCATGATACCGCGGAATCCCATCCACACCGATTTCTACCTTGGGCGGGGTCTTGTCCAGGTACTCTGGACTTATGTCCAGTGAGGCGAGCTCCGGTAGCTTCGACGGTGCCCTCAGCCGGCCTTGCTCAATGTCTTCCACCTTGTAGTATGATATCAGGTGCCGCACGACTCCGCCGATGGTGAGTGAAAAAGTCTGTGATTTATTCAGCGACAATCTTTTGAATTAATGAGACTGCTCATGCACCATCCCGCCCAGCTTGAACTTATAGCTGTTGGTCAAGCTGCCGATGAGGCACCATTCAAGCTGGCGATCAATGCTCATCCTGCTGGGCTCACTCTTGGGCCAGCTGAGGGACCTGGTGCTCCTCCTGAGCAGCAGCATGTGATAGAACATGGTGGCGGTGAGATTGCCTCACATGTTGGAAGGACTCACCACTGGGTAAGTTTTTGTTCTGGAATATACATCCACATACCCACACGATGCTTGCCAAGGTATCACATACCTTATGAAAACTGCCATTCTGTCACAAATGGGTCATCGAATATCGGTAGATGTGCACGTGATTCAATCTGGGCAAGTTTTTCATGCCCAACGCTAGGCTCCATTTCATTCCGGAATTGCTAGTGCGAATCTGCACACTGACAACACTACAATGGGCCTTTTGGCACTGGCATTGCCGGTGCGAAATCTCTCCTCACTACTCGCCCCACCATGCTCACTCTTACCACTGCTTGTCAACACTGCTTTGCTGCAAAATGCGCGTCACCCACCCCATTGCCTCCGCCATCCTTGTCCCCACTATGCTCCTTGCCATTATCGCTTTGCTGGCTGCCGCCGTCATTGCTGCTTCCTTCCTCGTGGTCCCAGATGATGTGATCGACGAGTTGTAGAGGGATCCTCAGGCCATCTGGAGCACAATGTAGCCATCCTCAGGATAGACCATGTCATGGAATAGGTCCCGGGCATCGGGGGCCCCATTGCACTAGAGGTGGAGGGTGCCAATGTCATGGCAGATGTGGTCACTTGCAGTGATGACATCAGTGAGACGGATGATGTTCACATAGCTGCCAATCAGCGAGAGCTGGACGAGCTGCGGAAAGGCGAGCCGCTCGAGAACGTCCAGCCAGGGGCCGGTGCCGGTGCAGCGAGTGAGTTCGAGTGTGTTCAGGTGCGCAAAGTGGATTCGTGCGAGCATTCCGGGGTAGGTGTTGAATGGGGCCGACTCGAATGTGAGCCGGCCCATCATGTCATCGCAGCTGCACAGGAGCCCGACGATGTGGGTCGTGAGCACACGGTCGGAGCGCCGTGGTAGCTGGTATGACACCGGCTCTGGGCACATGTCCACTGTTACCTGGTGGTGACATGCGGTGGTCGAGACGCTGAGCTTGTGGGCGGAGACCTTGTAGGGGGGCATGCACACGTCGAGGGGGGAAATGCCGCCGGCGGTATGCCCTTTTATGTGGCCCGGGCCTGCACAGCGCGAGCTCGAACTCACGTCAGGACGCAGCGGGAACTCGTACCTGAGTGTGGCACTGGGCAGGATCTCGCATGGGGGACTCAAACCTGAGGGGAACCTTTGTGGGTGCTGGGCGGGATCTCGGAGTCACGCCCGGTGGGACCTTTGCACATGGCGGGACCTTCGCACATGGCAGGATCTCGGACTCGCATGCGGCGAGGACTTGCATGCTATCGCATGCGGCACGAGGCGGGGACTCGGACTTGCGCACGGGGGACTCAAACCTGTGTGTGCTATCGCACGCGGCGCTGGCGGGGACTTGGACTCGGCGTGGTGATCTCGGCGGGGACTTGCATGCTATCGCATGTGGCAGTGGCGAGGACTTGGACTCGCACGTGGGGGATGCACGTGGCGGTGACGGGAACTTGGACTCGCACGTGGGGGATGCACGCTGCAGTGGCGGGGACTTGGACTCACGTGCGGGGGTGGCGGTGGCGGTAGGCATCACACCCATTGCTGGCGCATTCCGCGAACCGGCACCCGGCTCTCCTCGCCTGGCGGCGAGTCGAGCCAGCACCTTTTCACATAGCCTGGGGTTCGATTCCCCATGTCGGAATCTGTACTTTCCTTCCTAGCTTTTTGTGGTTGTTCTTTTCTCCATTCTAATAATGAGTGGCCGACACATAAAAAGTTGGAAAATTGGTCGAGTAAAAAAAGATTAAGTAAAACCACCGCACCCAGGATTCCCGCGTGGTCCCCCACCGTGGTACTAACTGGGCGGCACTTCGGTTAACTGCGCAGATCGGACGGGATGCGGTGCTTTCGAAGTCCTATGGCCGTGGATGATTTTGTCGTATTGCGAAATGGTTATAAAGGGTCAATAGAAAAGATCCTCCCAGCAGTGCAACTCCCTATGAAGGTGCAAATATATTGCCCCCCGAGCATGGTTCTTCCAAATGCACAGTATTAGTCCATTGTTGCAGAAACATATTTCCGTCGAACTCGTTGGTCGATATTCACGCTTGTTCAGGTGCGTTGAAATATTGGGATGGGCTTTCGGTGTAGTACAGCACTACTAGTCTGTTAACCAGAGCCCCAGGTCGACACCCGTCACGAGCTCGTCGGCCCTTGATCATCGTTCAGATCCTGCGGCAGTCTTACGTTGTAACTTGTCGAAGACGACAAGCGAAGGAACCTGGATCGCTGCCAGCGACTAGCGGTCGATCCTCGACTAACTACTACAGAGGGGATCTCGATCACATCTGGCTGCATTATACACGGGCACAGTACAGCAGTACATATAGAACTTCCAATACACAGACACGGCACGCAGGGGCGCAGGTCCGACAGCAGGGGTGCACGATGCTTGAGCTTGAACGTTCTAGCTGGAAGCGAAGAGGAGGGTATCGAGGGTACACAATGAACCCTTGTAATTTCTGCTTGCTTCGTCGAGCACCTCTACTAGTCACTAGTTGGTTTTCGCCGGGTACATAACCTGGCTATCGCACGAGCTGGATGAGGGCGCATCTGAAAGACCACGTCAACACCACGCTTCCACCCAAATTTCAACGCAGACGAAAACACGCACCGACGGGGTCGAACTGGCCGTCGATCATCGAACCCTGGAGGTTGAAGTAGTAGCTGATCTGGTAGATCGTATTGTGGTCGTTGCACGAGAAAATAGGAGTCGCGCCGAACGCGCTCTGGAGCGCAGAGACAAGGTCCGACAGCGCGTACTCGCTATCGCCCGGCGTGATCCCTGCCTGCTCGAGCCACTCGTACGTGGGTAGCGACTATGGAGATGTGTCACAATCAGTGTCTCCAGTAAATGAAAAACTTCTGCACACCTGAAACAGGTTCACCGCAGTCTCGAAGAATGCGACAGCCTGTTGAGAGGTCAATATATGCGGTGTGTAATGAGTAACAGGTGGGCAAGACATGCCTCAGCACCGGTCGGGCTGCCAGAGGGAAGACACGAGGGGTTCAGGGTGCTGTAGCAGGTGCCATGCGTGGACCACTCATGCTGCAAATGTGCATCCTTGTCAGGACGATCGACGCGAACGTTGTATGCTTTTTTCTCACCTCCCAGAAGGCCTCATTGGACTCGTCGTCGCTGATCCAGTACTAGATAGCATAAACACTCAGCGACCGGAGCACGTATGCGCTGCCCTGCAGTGTCTTACCGTCTGCATGAAGTCCAGCGTGGAACTGGCGCCCTGGTCCTGAAGGAGCTGTGCGGGTATTGGCGCATCGAACAAAGCGAATGGAGACAAATGCGACATACAGAGGTTATATCACTATAGTCACGCGACGGGTCGCAGTCCTCGCTGTAGCTGCCATCGCAGCTGGGCAACACGCATCAGCCTTCGGGCCAGCCGGTCGGTCATGTCAGGGAAATCTCACTTGTTTGGCCATAGACCTGGGAAGGCAGCATACAATCAGGATTCCACTGCCACACCAATGCAAGGGAGCCATACCATGAATTGTCCAGTTAGTCGAAGGTCCAGTGGACGGGTTGGTGTCCCAGAACTACCACGACGGGAAGATGAGGTCATGACAGACGCGCCGCGGAGCAGAGGGCGACGTACCTGGACCTGAGATATCCAACCCTGCAAGTATCGGAGGAACATGAGACGATGCAATGGTTAGTGAAGTTCAGCGGGCGTACACCAGGAGCCTCGAAGCAACAGCTGTTGGTCTCAACACTGCTATTTTGGCAGGAGGGCGTGAGGTTGGTGCCGCAGCCCGAGCTTAGGCTGGTGGTGGCGAGGGACAATGGCGCCTCGGCTTGGGCAGCAAAGGCGGTGCATGCCAGAGCAACGACAGCGAGGGGAACGTATACGTACTGGAACATCGTTCAATGCGATATAACGGAAGAACAGATGAGGGGAGGGGGTAAAATGTCAAGGACGGGGCTTGCGGGATAGTCAAGACATTATATACGTTGATTAGAGGCGTGGAAGGAGTGTCGCTATCGCTGGCCAGGATACACAGCAGCTCCGCAACTTCGCTGCTCGGCCGCAGGGCTGATGTGCTCCATCGAAGCCATGCTGCCACAGCAGGTGGATTCTCCCAAAGTAAGCACACGCCCCTGGGGAGACACGCGTGTTCTATTCCTGGCACCTCGCTGCCAGGGCAGAGGTGATATCAACGCACCGCAGCTTCGCCTGCAAATCCTCCGCGCATGCATTTCTTCAAAGAGACGTCTAGATCTTCCATCGCGCCCGTCACGCACAGAGCCTGGGTGCATCGGCTCCGTGCTGCATGGAAGTGGGCCCTGCACGAACGTTGCTGGGGGACGTGCGCAGAGCACACATATGGAAGTGGCTACGTGCAACATGGGATTCCCGCGAGAAGTTGCGTGAGAGGCACGTTTGACGCCAACATACCATATCGTCGCCTGCCTTTTCGGGCAGCATCAGCCAGCAACGCGCCACCATCGTCGAGACGCGCCACATGCAGGAAAATCCTCCTTGATGATGATATCACGGCTGGCCATACGGTCCCCATCTATCGTCGCATACGTCTTATCAGTCTGTTACGCCTGCCCGCCGTGGCGGTGTTGCGCTGACTCTGATTGCTTGAATCACTGGCCTGACAATCGCAAGTAATTCAAAAATCCAGGGATATCATCCAGACGTCCGAGCACACCACCACGACTAGATCAGTAATTGTAGATATACGCACGAGCACAGCATCTCCTCTGCCATCCGTCATCCCGACACCTTGAACAACTGCACCAGCGATCGTATGCGCGTCCGCCATCCTTCGGCATACAGGAACCCGATCAGCCCACTGACGAACTCCCTGTATATCCAAGAGGACGTCTATCAAAACAGATCCAGCTACGAGCAAGGAACCCGTGGCGCACCAGCTCTGCACGTTCGACCGCACGGGGTAGTCTAGCGGCTTCGGGATGGATGTCTGCACCAGCCACCCGAACCTGTCCCAGACGATCGCCTTCGCGTTACACAGCGAACGTAGACCTTCCGGTCCAGCTTCCCAGGGGGCCAGTTCAGCATATATGTGCACTAACTCGCAGGAGGGGATGCTCACCGAATCTCCCGTATCCGCTATGCCCAATGCCCCCGAACGGTAAATCCTGGCTGCATCGAAGATCAACATATGGCCTGCACAATCAGACTTCATGAACCTACTTCATCTAGACGCGGCGTCAGCGTATTTCACACCACAAATGAATTGACAGCACTCACATAAAACACGGCAAAGTCGTTGATGGACACCATCCCGCACCGCAGCCGTTTTGCGGCTTTGATACACTCCTCCCTGTTCGGACCAAATACAGCCGCGCCGAGTCCGTACCGCGTTCCGTTTGCGAGTTCGACTGCCTCGTCGACCGTCTCGTACTTCATGATCAACCCGATGGGCGCGAACACTGCCAAGACGCGTCAGTTCAGCACCTCTCGCTTAGCAGCGCACAGGAACCCCCTCAAGAAGCGAGACGATACTCACTTTCGCGCTGTGCAATCTCCGACTGCGGATCGACGTCACCGACAACGGTAGGGCTGAAGTAGGAGCCGTCTTTCATATACGGGTGGTCGAACGCCGTCCCGCCAACCTCGACGCGCGCACCACCGTCCCGCGCTGCGGCCACGACGCGCTCGAGGTCTACAAGCCGGTCCGCATTAATCATCGAGCCGACGTCAACGGCGGGAACAAACCCATCGTTGGGGTTCGAGAGTGCCGAGCCTTGGCGCAGCTCCTTCGTACGTTCGAGGAACATCGCGTAGACCTCTTCGTACTGTGAGGAGTGCACCAGAATACGCTCAATTCCGATGCAGTTCTGGCCCGCGTTTTGGCTGCAGATGAGTGGTGCATGAGGTGGGAGCGCTGGTGCGGGATATGAAGAAAGTGACATACAATACTCCGCGCATCCAGATGCTCCCGTATCTGCTCAGGTCAGTGTTGGGTAGGATGATGGTTGGGTCTTTCCCGCCGAGCTCGAGCGTTACCGGGGTTAGATTTTCTGCCGCTGCAGCCACGACCTACGGAACGCATTCATTCACCACAGCAATAACTTCCAGAGGAATCATTACCTTCCGACCGACTTCCTCAGAACCAATGAAGGTAATGTGTTTGATCTCAGGAGACTTGGTCACAGCCTCGGCATCCTCTGGATAACAGCAAACGAGCTGTATTCGCTATCACTTACGCAGTCAAGCGGAAAAGTAGGACATGAACCAACCTGTACAAGGTCTGAGTTGTGTCCACACGCGCGGAGACATTCCTTGATGACAAGCACGAAAAACTCGGAAGACCAGATGACATGTTCGGAGCATTTGAGCACGATGGCGTTGCCGGAGAAAAGAGCAGCGAGGATGGGTGACCACGCGTTATGAAGTGCTATCGACGTACGACGAGACATCAAATTTAGTTGTAATTCGGAAAACAATTCAGGGTGAACGGGAACGAACGGTAGTTCCATGATACGAGCGCAGCGACGACACCCAGCGGCTCCCAGTGTACTTGGGATGTCTTGTACGACATCATGAGACTGCTCCTGCGCGTTTCTGGCCTTAAGACCTTCTCTCCATGGTTAATAAGCCACTCCATTTTAGCGCACGTAGTCATAATCTCGCCAAGTGCAGCATCGAGCACTATGGGTCGTCAGACACCACGATGGCTGCAGACAGACGCAAGAACTTACGTGTCTTGCCCGTATCCCGGCACGCGACACGTGCACAGACCTCTTGGTTGTCCACGAGCCACTTCTTGAGACTGCGCACGACGCGCCGGCGGTCCCTGAACGCGGTATTTCGCCACGTCCGCTGCGCCTCCGCCGCGCGCCGGATCTTCTCCCCGATCTCGACACTGCTGTCCGCGACGAAGGTGCCGATGTGGTACCCAGTGGAAGGGTCGAAGCTAGTGATGTAACGTCGGCCTGGGACAGCGTAGGGGGGCATGAGTTCCTCATGGCGCAGGTGAGCCTCGAGGTCGGGGCGCACGACGCTGAGGCCTTGAAAGTTCGGGCCTATTTGCTGCGGTAGACCATTTCAAAACTTGCAGCGAGGTCAATGTGAGGTGCATAGATGAGATACGTACGTCGGGGGAGCGAACGAAGAAGGGGACGGCGCGGTTGTGGATGGTCTGGAAACGCCAGACGACGAGGTATATCCCGAGGGCGAAGGTGATGGTGACGAGGTAGAGGACGTCCATGCCGCCCTCGTCGTCGTGGTCGTAGCCCATGTCGTTAGTCGTGTGCGGCCGTCAGCCGGGAACTCTGCAGCAGTGAAGCAGAAATAATGGCGAGTTGAACATGCCTCACCTACGTGGTCGCGTTGTTGGCGCGTATTTGCGTTGTGGCTGGAACAAGTGCACTTGGCATCTGGGCTTACATCATCAACGTCATCTTGTCTGTCTGCTACTGACCACCACCTGAACACCAGAGCTCATCGCTCAACACACGCTCGACGACGCCAGCCATGTCGACAAGAGAGCCAATGTGGTATTGCCACGAGGTGCGCCACCGTTGTACCCGTCGTCCCCGTCGCCACAGACATCGCTGACAACCCCAGTGCCACGCCGAGATGCGTCCGCTCATGGTCAGTCTCCCTCATCCTCCCATCCCTCAGCCACAGTGACCGTTCCGCAGGTCCCAGATCCCCATTGTGCATCCTGCAATGGGACTTTTGTTGAGAAGGTGCGTCCGCCGCACGCCAATCCTAGCACCGCCCTTTGTCTGAACCCACCGCAGATGGACAACCCCACCGACGACCCGCGCGAGTTCCAGCATGTGCACGAGGACGATGAGGATGGAGCGCTCCCTGGGGACATGGATGATTTCCTAGGTTGGTCCTCTCCATTCCCCAGCGTGTTCATCGGACCTACCCTCACCGCTCTAGCAGCCGGCCTCAGCACCCTGCTGAACACCCGCTCGCCCGGCCCAGGCCCCGGGGCAGGTCCTATACCATCTTCACCCGGCCAGCAATCCAGTCGATCTGACCGCAGGGGCTCGGTTTGTCACGCGTATTCTGCGCTGTTGCCCCCAACTGAACTCTTGTTCGTCTGTAGGGCTTCACGATCCGAATACAGAATGGTGGCCCCCCTGGCATGCGGACAGTTATCATAGGTGGATCCCCGCGCCAGTCCGGCACGGACCAGATCCCCTCCATGACTGAGTAAGAGTACTCCCTGGATGCGGTGCGTGTCCACTGATCTGGATGGTAGGTATAATACTAGGAATCGCGACACGATAACGGGCCCCCTTATGGCGCAATATCTGCTTGCGATGTTGTCACAGCGAACCATGGGCGACGGAGGTACAAACCTATTCCAAGATTTCTTAGGTGTGTTCGGCGCTGGAGGTGAAGGAGGTGGGAGTGGGAGATTGGGCGATTATGTATTTAATCAAGAAGGTAATCCATCCACGCGAAAGTAGTCAATCCATGCTACGCATTGCTGAATTTTTATCAAGCGTTGGACCAGATTATTACCCAAATCATGGAAAACTCGAACGCGAGCGCGCCTGTGCCCGCCACAGAGGACGTGATGGAGAAGCTTCCGCGGGAAGTTTTGGAAGAGGGCTGTACGTCGACTTCTGTTCACTGCCACTCGTTGCGTCATGATTCTCACGGACGCTCTCGATATAGCACCACTACTCGAGAAGGACTGCGCCGTCTGCAAGGAGCAGTTCAAACTCAACACCGAAGATCCCGACGAGCAGGTCGTTGTCATACTCCCCTGCAATCATCCCTATCACGAGCCGTGCATCATCCCGTGGCTGAAGTCCAGCGCGACATGTCCCGTCTGCAGGTACGTTTGCATGTATATCTCGATGTTAGCAGTCTCACCCATACTACCATCCCTTTGCAGATTCCAGCTCGTCCCTCAACCCGAACACCACGCACCTGGCCCCGGACCCCCTCGTGGTTCAGGCTCAGGTTCGGGCGGGCCTTCGACTGGGACAAGTCCTCCGCGCGGAGGCTCAATTCCCTCAACGTCCGGCGGGTCCGGGTCGCAGCCACACACCGGCGCCGGCGCCGGGCTGTTCAACTTGTTCCACTTTGGCGGGGGACACAGCGGCCAACAGCCTGGCAGCACCACCACCAACCGCCGCCCGGCCAATAACACCGGAAACGCCAGTGTGCCCCCTCCCGCTCGCAACACCACCCAGCATCCGCATGAGTTCCCTGGTGGCTGGGATTGGAGCTGGGGCGACCAGGTGGACTGATGTCGTCGTCAGTAAGTATGGGGTTGGACGTCGTCGTCTGCGTGGCTATCTTCACACATTCTACTAGATGTATCGCTTTCTGTATGTGTACGCCCCACACTGTAGTGTATTCCCTGATTCTGTAGCACCAAACGGATGCGGTGATAATACAAAGGATGTGAGTAAGGTCCGCATTGTCCTACTTACTTCCAGAGAAAAGGAGCAACTACGACGCAGGAGTATATGCGAATTAAAATAAGGAGGCGCACAGGGGTAAACACATCACTAAGCAGCACATACAATAGCGTCCAACACCACAGCGTTCTTGCGCAACTCCAAGATCGACTATAGAGCCAGCCGTGCAAGCCGTGCGCAGGCAGCGCTATGCGACCGCCATGTCGACATCCCGCACCTCCTCGAGCACTTTCGGGCGCACCTTGGGCGTCCCGAACTTGCGCTGGTATTCGACGTTGATCGACACGAGCAGGTCGCGCAGGAGCCGCGCGTGCGCCTCGCGCTGCGCGGGTGAAATGCTACGGCTGTCGCGCGCGAGCTCGATGCGCCCAACCGCGCGCGAGAGCTGCTCCGACGCGGGCTGCGCGCCTGACGTGATCGCACGTATGCTCGGCAGGATCGGCGGGGCGCGTGTGGGCGACGGCGAGCGCAGCGGGGTCGAACATGAACTCGCGCTCGAGCTGGGCGTGGGCGTCGCGGAGTCGTCGCGAGAGCGCGCGTGCGAGACAGGATGGTGCGGGGTCGGGGAGAGCGTGGACGCTCGAGAGGGGATGGACGGGGAGGAGAGCGGCGGGGAGGGGGAGCGGTAACGCAAGCTGAGCGGCGGGAGCTTGTACCGGACGTCACCAGAGGTGATGAACGGGTAGAGCGGACAGTCCGTGCGTGATGTCGAGGAGGAAGACGCTGACGTGGATGGGCGCGAGGACGTGGACGATGAGGAAGATCGGCGGAGCGCGAGCGAGGCGGGCGAAGAGAGGGAAGACACCGCTTCTGCGGTGAGCTTTGCGGGCGGGCCTCTGTGCACGCTTCCTGTGCATAGCTTGGGCTCGACAGGTTCTGGTCGACTGGCAACGACACTGCCTGGCACGCTCCTCAGTGGGAGCACTGTGCGCATGCTCTTCCCCACGTAGTCCACCGGCCCGAGTTGCACTACGGGGGGTGATGGGCGGTTGGGACGCAGGTAGTCGAACATCGCAGCGGTCTCGGGAGCGATAGAGAACATCGGAAGACTCAAGTGTGCATTCGGGGGCGTCGCGTTCGGGGGAGTGGACGTCGACGAATGTGATGAGAGCGGCGACGCCCCGGGATGTACTCCACCCTCAAGCGGCGGCGTTATGTAGTGCGCATATGCATTCGGGTGGGGAACCGCCTGAGGTTCGATGGGAGCACTGTATGCGGCGGAAGTACCGACGTAGCAATCGTCCGACCCAGATGACATGCGCTGTCCGCGTATTCTCGGGCCCGAAGGCTGTATAGCAGGATATAGAGAGGAATCCTGGGCATTCGGATACGTCTCGTATTGCACGGACTGCACGGACTGGTGGGACGCCCTACTAGGGTACGCAGGCGGAAGATTTTGTGCTGAGAAGTCCACAGAGTAGTATCCAGACTCGCCGTGATACTCGGCACCAGACCCCGGACCGGGTGCAGCAGGAATGCCAGGCATACCAGCAAGACCCATTTGGCTGAGGCTCGCTGCATCGAAGTATGACTGAGCGGTCGAAGAGACGCCTGAGGATCCCGTAGCATGTGACAACGATGGCAATGGTGCGTGTTGCTGCTGCGACAATGGATGCTGCACGGTTTGCTGCCGCTGCGCGCTGCCGCCGTTGGCAACGTCCCGCCCAAGAGTGATTAGAAAGTCGTTGACAGCGGCGAGTTCTTCAGGGCTACGGATATCGAAGGAGACAGAACGGGGATTAAACATGGAACTGCCGGGCGGCAGGGAGCCGCTGTGAGAACCCTGAGCGTTCGCGCTCACGGCATGCTGGTATGCGAGCGTATTCAGACGGTCTGCCATACCTAAATCAAATCGTGACAGAGAATGAGGTCAGCACGGACTAGCCGGATAAACTTGCCGATAACATACGAGGGTCGTAGGCTGGATTGACACGGCGCTTCTTAACGTCCGTGAAGAAGTCATCCATATAGTCGCCGTGGCTTCGTTTCGCACCACCGCTGGCTCGGGCTGTGGTGCCATCAGTTGCGAGGACTTCCCACGTTGGGAGCGTGTTCGGCATGTGATAGAGGTGGCGTTTGGAGTCTGGGATTTCGGTCTGGCGGTAGTGAACTGGAGCATGCTCAATTTCTGGAGAGGGCGTGGGCAACACAGCGAAGTCTGAATAAGGATCAGTGGGAGAGGACGATTGAGGAGTCACGTTCTCACCAGAAGAACGCTCGGAAACGGATACGGAACCGGACTTGGCTCGCGCGACAGGAGCATTGTCTGATCCGCGTGAGTTTGCCGGGGAAGGAACCGCTTTAGGTTTCTCCTCGGAAGGCTCACCGAGGACGCGAGACGAATACGTGTTGTCGACAACAGTGATCGCTTTGGAGTGCTTGTGCTGGGCGTGATGCTCCTCGGTGTGGATCTTCTCGTGTTTCTTGAGGTCCTGAGGACGTTTGAAGGGTTTCTTGCAAATTGTGCACACATGAGGTTTCAGAGGTGTATGGACTGTTCCAAAGTGAAATCACATCCAGAGAAACAAGAAATGCACGAACCTCGGAGATGACTGGTAATGTGGTCACGCTTTGCACAGGTGGTGCCGCACTCCTTCCACTTGCAAGTCAGACAGAGATTGCCGGTGCTTTTGCGACCGATATGGTCGTTGCACAAATGGTTGTACAAAGCCTCGGGATCAGAAAAAATACGGTCGCATTCGATCCACTGACACGGATAGGACGAGGGTTCCTCTGGCTGGGGTTGAGCCTCGGGAGATAATGCGGGGGGATCGTCAGAGGACTCTGGGTTGGGATCAGACGCGGGGAGGGATAAGGGGACGTCGGGCGGTAGGGGCTCGGGCATGGATGGAAAGAAATAGGAATTGTCGTCGAGAGACAAGTCGTAGGGGTAGAGGTTGCGGTAGAGGGTGGACTCGAGGGTGGTGAGCGGGACGAGAGAGGGGGGATGGTCGTCGTGTGGAGGAGACATGGTGGAGGGGGGAGAAGGCTTATATTCCGCCTGCTATCCAGCTCGGTCAGATCTCTTGGCGCACTGCCAAGCCTTCCCTTGGCGGTCTCTTGGCAGAATTACACCGTTCTCTCCTCTTAAATCCTGCAGCGGTCTACCCCGCCTTTTTTTTCTCACGGTCACTCCCTCACCCAGGCACTACCCAGACCCTTCCCGCTACCTTCCGTCACCCATCTCTCCCCTCAAGGCGTCCGCTAAGCCTTGTGCTCAAGATTTTTAGGACCCACACATTTTGCCAAGGCTGCCAAGCTGTTGTCCATGACGTGTCCGAACAGCTCGGAAACCACCCCGAAGGCGCGCACACAACCGATCAACGCTCTCGCTGCACTTGCGCTGCATGGCCGGTGGTAGCAAACATCGGCGGCCCTCACTAATAGATGAGTAGCACCGAGCATCGTGAGCACATCGATCCAACGGAAATGAGGAGCAGAAGAATCAGGGCGACGGGTGTACTCGGAAATCGTTTACATGCAATGCTGACTGGAGCGGATGACCCCTTGGGAACTCCTTGTGCCGTCGTTCAACATTACTTTCTGCGTGCGTCGGCGGTCCCAATAACAACTCCATGCGTACAGAACGCCATGAACGTCGCCGAAAAACGGGAGTCAGCGAGCTACTCTTGATTAGTAGGTCTGAATCTAGCTCGGAAATTCAGGCGCTTTGACAGGATTGGCCAAAGACACCCGCCTTCTTGCCTTGGCAATCTATGCGATTATCTCTGAGCCGCCGGAGTGCACTTCGGGGCAGAAGACAAAGTGGTGGAAAAAGCTGCGCAACGCTAACCATTGGATCACCGTTCCGGCTTTCAACTTGAATCTGCCAAGGAACCATACACAGCGCCAGTCAGCTTCTTTCCGATGTGGTCGATGTATTGCAGCATTCTCGACGTCCAGCCATACCTTCAGACTGCAACTGATGATGACAAAGTGAGTCTCGGTATGTGATTCTGTAAGCCTTACTGTAGGGTCGTCCGGCGCCCGCCCGCTCGTCTGTTCTAATATTGGCTGGATCCCCTGGCGATCACTCCGTAACATCTCAAGTCGACACATACAAGATGACTCAATGCAACAAAAGTGTTGATGACACATCGTCCATGGGAAGGTCCCAGCATGAGTGCATGGATACTAGAGTACATTGGTCCACCACACAATTAAGCCGGCATCGAAGAGACGACGCTCGCAGCCCACGACGAAGCACGTGTCAATGACTTCGCGCCCATGGACGACCAAACGGTCCGTTGAGCCATGCACCTCCGGGCTCGTCACCAATTCGCAGAAGCACAGACAGAACTCACCGGACCCCGGGTTTATGCCCGCGTTCTCCCGACTCGGCATCAGCATTGTGTGCCAAGATTTCGAGGAAGACTGTATTCGACGCCTCCCGTCGGCATGCAGAAGCGCGATAAGGTTAGGTTGCGAGTGTATGCACTGATAAGGGCAAGGACGAATGTCTATACCATTGGCAACGCTTAATGCTGCCCAGACGCGAGGCTGGGTGGTATATGGCATGCATGCAAGCTTCAAATTCAAATTGACAAACGGACTCTTGGACATGCGATTGAAACGTAATACTATGCAGCAATAGCTTGTCGCGAAAACCTGGGCAGGAAGCAAAGAAGCAGGTCAGGATTATCAGATAAGCAGGAAGTTCGAGTGACATACGAAATCAATCAGATATTTTCCATGGTTCCGAACTTCTCTAAGTAGTGGCCAGTGGCTGAGTGAGCGAGCTACGGAAACCAATGTTCCGACGTATCAGAAATGGTTGAGCTATTGCGTGTAAGATGTACGCGCGAATACACGATCTGGAGCCTGACCGTCTGCAGAGCGAGATATCCTGTCAAACGCGAGACGACGGTGCCCATGCTCTCGCGGACCATGGATGCATGTTCGTAGCCTCGGCGGGCGATGATGTGAATGTGAATGATGTCCAAGATGAGCACGAAAGCAGGTCTCGCGCACGCCAGACCAACCAGGACTTTGTCCAAGTCCTCCCAATCCACACGCGAGAGTTGCACCATCCTGGACAATTCGTATGTGATCTTGACTTGTGTGAGACGGTTCAGAGAAAGGGGGAGTCGGGCCAGGATCTCGTGTGTCCACCGAAAGTCAAGATATTCGTGAAACAGGGAGATCCTACCGATGTGTAGTGAAACCAGCTGCGTACTGTGTGTGATATCAGGACAGTGATTCTGGAGCAGTCTCGGGATAGAGTACGGCTTGACCATGGTCAGTGACAGATGTTCCAGAGTTGACGTGGTAACTCGGATGACCTCTTGCACCATGGACACGTGTTCGGGATCACACGTTACCCCGAATGCCCGAAGAGCCAAGTCAAATGGACCTTGCATCAACCAGAAGCCGTAGTCCGGGAGAGCATACGTATACAGACCTTCTATTCTGCGTCTCGTACCTGGCGGTTCAAGAGTAGGGAAGGGGAGCCTGTCTGGAATCGTGTCATAAGAGCCAGTTGGGTCCGAGTCGCCGAGTAACGTGGAGCGGTCGATATGGATGACAGACAGTTTAGGGAACGCGCAGAGCAGCGCTGCAAAAAGAGAGACATCGAAACAGCAATGCTCGACGCTGAGCGTCCGCACCGTGGGGAAATATGAAAGGAGTGCTTCCTTGCTCTCCTCCGACATCAGGACGGTATGCCAGCTCTGGAGAACCAGATGCTCGATTCTTGTGAATTTGCGCCACGGTAGGCTGATGGAGACCAATGTAAGATGACGGACGCACGGTGCAATGCCAGGCGATCCTTCGAGAATTTGAGCGAAGCGCAGATCATCTGCGGCATTGTCGAGAGAGACTGTGTTGAACAGATGAAGACGAGTGGTGGGAAGCCACTGACGATACGCGAGACTGCAGGCCGCGAGCGTTGGAACATCGTCCCAGAGATGGTCGAGGATGATGTCACACATCTCTGGAGGCAGTCTCGGTGAGGGACGGTTCATTGCAGTAGCTTGAAGGGTACTCGTGAATCAGGCTGTGTGTCAGAGATGCAGATTGTAGTTTGAACTTGGCATCAGCAAAACCCAACTTTTACTTAAAAGGGTACTTAACTGACTTAAATAGGACTTATGATCCTTATTTAAGAATATAGTCAAAAAGGGGCCTAATGCATATTACATGAGTTACTGAAACTTATTGAGACTTATTTGAACACTTATTGCCTTAAATTACCTTGTTACCTTGCTTGCACCTTCATGATTGTCGCACTTTTTTGACTCCCCGGTTCTTTCCGTGCATATATATGAATAGTCGTGACCCGGCTTGGAAAATCTCAAGTTCGAATCCGCGCGGTGGCAAATTTCGTAAGCAAGGTCTCTGCCACGAGGAGGTGGAAACGTGGAAACGTGTATAATTGACTGACTACGCTAACAAGTAGCTCAGGTACGTAATAAGCACCTCGTCAGCCACGGTGAGTAATTGAGGGCGTTAAAGTGAAGTATAGTAAAGTAAAATAAAGTAAAGTAAAGGCATAGAGTGGCACGATGAAGAGTAAGAAAGCAGTATAGTAGTAATAGAGCAAGTAATAGGTTACAGACAAGATAGGAGATGGTGAAGATGAGGGGGTAGGTTGAGAGTGGAAGGAGTATACGTATAGTCTGCTTTCTGACGCGCCTCCTTGTCGAGAGGTCGGACAATTTAGGCGGAGCCCAAACTTTTGTAGCGTTCAATAACACGGAGTCTTAAACCTTTGTAGTAACACGTGATGCACGTGGCGCGATAAATCCGTCGAAATTCACTATTCTTCCTGATGCTTCAGCTCCACCCCATTTTGGGCACATCGCAGGCGTAGCGAAGTGCAGTAATAGATATATGATAGAGGTGTATTCTCCTTCCGTGTGAGACAGAGAAAATGGAGAGATTCCTACGAGACCCAGACATATTGTACCTCTTAGACCAATATGGAGCAGATAGGACAGCAAAAGTCCCTGGAACCAATCTTAAATAATACTAACATTGGAAGGTACGACGAATAGATGGCGTGCAGTAGAACGGGGACCCCAGGGGGACTTCTTGTGCTCGAAACACGACGCGTTCGACGCGATTTACAAGCGCATCGCACAAGCACGTGATGTGCCGGGACGGCAATCACAACCGGTAACTGACACAAGGCGCATTCCACCTTTTTTCCTGAGGAAAAACCTGGGGAAAACGACAAAGTAAGTCTCCGGGAAATATCCGGGAAAAACTGTGAGAAAACAATAGTGTAAATCCTGGGGAAAAACCATGACCCAGAAAAAGCAACAGATTTCTTGGAGAAAAAACCTTTGTTTCCAAATCGGGATTGCAACATCAGGAAAAGTCAACTCTTGGTTAGCTCCTTATTGCCTTGATTAAGGAGGTCTGCTTCCTTATTTGGCCAATTAAGGTGAATAAGGAAGAATAATAATGAGGATCTCCTTAAAATTTCCTCGATCAAGGGAATAATCTGGGTAAGCAAGAGTTGACTTTTGCTGATGAAGAGGTATGCGGTCCGAGAAATCTTTGCTTTTTCTGGGTCACGGTTTTTCCCCAGGATTTACACTATTGTTTTCTCACAGTTTTTCCTGGATATTTCCCGGAGACTTATTTTGTCGTTTTCCCCAGGTTTTTCCCCAGGAAAAAAGGTGGAATGCGCCTTGTGTGACCTCTTAGTAAGACCCCACTTATAGAAAGCAGACGTCAGACACGGATATCCGAGGTACGAGGTTGAAGTAGAGTGTCTACCATCTGCCTTCGGGAGACTATATACGTAGGCTGATGTGTCGGACGTACGCGACGTTGTAGTCACCCCATATTCTGCCCGCAAGATGAATACCTGTAGTGTGCCACATTTGCATGATTCGGCTGGAGAGGCGATCCCTCGTACAGTCAGTCGGTCTTGTGATAATTCGTACGCAGATTATCGGAACAAACCTGGGTGTTGCAATTTCAGCAGCGGCCGCAATCTCCGCACAGCATAATAACGTACGTTCTAGTGTTGGTGGTTGGGTCTAGTGGAGGCAGGAGTCATATATAATATCCTAGGCCAGACGTCGACGCAGGCAGCTGCTCGAACTTGGATGAATCCGAAGCGTTTTAGCCGCGAACCCTTCCTTGTAAGTAGTCGAAAGGAGGGTGAGTCCGACATGCCCGACTTGCGGAAACCCGTGCACGAAGCACCACCCTCTACATTCCATGCATTCAGTGAGCGATACTTCTGAGCTAAAAGTACATGCGTAATAATTTAGTGCTGTAAGGTACGAAAACGCTCTATGCAATTGCAACACAACAAGCACAACTTGAAAATGCGAGTCCAAAACACAACAGATCTATGACTTCTTCAGCGTGAGCTTGATCTTTGGACCTGACCCGGACGGTGTAGGTGGCCCGTCGTCATCGTCATCATCCATCGCCATCATAGGCGGACTCGTTGCAAGGGGAGACGGTCCATGGCTTCCCAGTCCTAACGACTGAGTCGGAGGACGCAACAAGTTTCCTGCACCGGGGGTAAAGAGGCTGTCTGAGCTTCCAAAGCCAAAGCTGCCTGACCCGCTAGGCGAAGCGGCGGAAGGGCTAGCAATGGAGGGCAGAGGTGGAGCGCCAGAGTTGAACTCAGCCCAGCGAGGACATTTGCGATTGGTTTCTGAAGGGTGATGAGATGCTACTAGCGTAACAGAGTACGGGATCACTTACTCATATGTCCCATTTGACCGCAATGACCGCAACGCCGCTGCAACACCACGTTAGATGTGACCTTCCGACAGAGTTAAATAGACCCACTGTGGTGTCAGGTTTTACAGGGCGATTAAGTTGCATGGGAGTACCGCCTTCCTTGACGATCTTGGCATTCTTCCTATGCAAACGACGTTCCTGATTCTTCTTCATCCTAGCGATCTCCTCCTCGAGCCTAGACAATAATTCGTCAGCGGTTGAAACGCGTTATGCCATAAATCACTTACCTCTTCTTCGCTCGTCTGTCCTTGTCTGCGTCTCCGGTAGGTGCCAGAGCATCAGCGGTCAGAGCATCCTCTTCAATCGCTTGTCGTCTCTTGACGTACGCATTGATGACGGCATTGTCACGGATAATCTCTGTCTTCCATTCCCCGTTAATCTGTGCAATAAGTCAGTGAGCCACATAACAAAGACTGACGAAATTGAGGTACGAACCAGACGCTTTATCCTTAAAACTCTTTTCTGGGCTTCAGGCGCAAGACTGGTTTCACGGTCACGAGCAAGCGAAGAGCCGCGGCTAAAAGTGGGGGACAAAGGACCAGGTGTCGGATGATAAGCTTCACTCTGTATCTGGGGCTTTTTCTCTTCTCGTTTTTCATCTTCCTCGGTTAGCTGAGGCTCATCTCTACGGCTGAGGGAGTCAAACTGGGACCTCCAGATGCGCTCAATTTCCGACTTATAAATCTGTTGCTGCTCCGCAACGTTGTACCGATGCGCAGACTTTGGCCGACTCTCAGCTTCAGCTGAACAAAAAAGTGGATGAGAAGTCTGTTCAGAGATAAATTAGTGCGAGTGAATGGACATACCCAGTTTCTGCTCATAGTCCTCTCCCGCCTTGACGAAGATTTCCTTCATAGAAACACGAATAAAGCTGAATGCCTCACCGCGCCCTGTTGGATCTCCCTCTCCATGCAGCTTGAGCATAGCCTTCGCCTGCGTAGCAAACAAGAAGTTCTTCGTCGTTATCCACGGCGCGAGCTGCTGCTCCACTGACAGATCACCCTCATCGTCCTCGGCCACCTCACCGTTGAAACTGTAACCAGCATCTTGCAGATGCCGCTGTCCGACCTGCATACTCTCGGAGAGCACGACCTGCTCCGGACTCACCATCTTCAGCATGTCTGCATCAGATGGGATGGTCCAGGTTGATTTGAGGCGCCAGAAGCCCTGATGCGGGCCTCTTCGGTGATACTCCATAAATTCCTATGCACCAGGTCAACAAGCAATTGGTAAATTGTTTTCCACTAGTTTACCTTCAGCCGCTGTCTCATCTGCAGCTCATTCTGATCGGGGAAATACTTCATCAATCGCGATATCTTGAGCCGTTCTTCTGCACTTTTCTGAAGAAGCTTGAACGCGATGATCTGCAGCCGGTGCTTGATAGTATTTGTGATTTTTCTCGAATGAGGACCAGGAACCTCGGTAACAGGGTACGTTTGCCCCACTACAAAAATGTTCTTGATTTCACGAAGGAAATATTTGGTGTCGTTCTTGGTCGTGGACCTATAGATGCAGGTCAGACCGAATTTTCCCAGGGCAGACTACGTACACACCTCACAACCAGGAAATCTGTAGGATAAGCTTTCTGTCTGAAAAGGGGTGCACGCATCAGGTTGTTGTACAAGGCATTTACTGTTTGTCCAGGGTAAACGTAACCAAACTTCATGAACGGCGACTCGTCTTGTGGCTCGATTACTATGGGTTCTCCAAGGTCATACTGGAAAGGCCATTCAGACATAAGCTAACCCAAGTCAGGTTCCAGGTCACGGACGCACCTTCGGAACGTGCTCATCCTTCTCATTCTTCTTGCGGTAATAATTCACGAGAATACTTCCCATACCAAAGTTCTGGATGATAGGTGGATGTTCTTCCTATTATCCAGAGTGTCAGTTCCATAACACGAAGAGAGGATACCACTCCACAACTGACTGAGAACTCCCATAGGACAAAGTTGCTAGTGTCCCGAAGACTCAGGTCCCCGGTCCTATGCAAACCCTCACCAACATTGCCGCCCTTTCCCACCTTCCGGCCTGCTTTGTCTTTCTTCTTTTTCGCCGTGCGAACCTTGCTGAAATGCAGTTCAATGTTTGAAGGGAACTGCAGCGCTGGACGGTGGAAGGAACGCGCTTCTTGTTTGGAAAGCCGCGTCTTGAACTGTCACGCCGGGATATTCAATACTCCAGAGACGACGAGGATAAAAGGAAACGTACGAATGGCAGCTGGAGCTTCTGCGCGGGATACGCATGTTCGACAACAAGCTGTCCGAATGTCTGTCGGACGCGATGACGACCCCCGTCTTTACTGACCTCGTAAAACTGGTCATTCGACAAGTTAAATTTGTCTCGAGGCTGCCCGGCGTCACTTCGAAGGCGTTTCTTGGGTCTGACGGTCTCGGCTGTCGAGACAAGCTCATCAGCATTCATGTTTTTAGATAGAAGGCTCCCGCAGAACGTACATGGTGGTTTCTCCTCCGCAGCGATGTCTTCATCGTTCATTTCTAGCTGAGTGAAGTCGCGGAATGGCGCTCGAGGATTCCATATGATGCTCTGAGTCCAAACTCCCGACTCCAAAACCTTATTTTGAGGTGTAGTCAAGTTGGTCGGAGAAGTCGATGAAGGTGCAGACATATCATCTTCCGGCTCATAGATGATCTGGTCCTCCCAATTAGACAGTAGGACAAGATCAAACGAGCGGTCATGCAAGGGAAATGAAACGGGCACATTCGAATTCTCCCGCTCCTACAATAGGGCGATATTAGTATACTGAATTTGAAGATATTCATGAGGTGTACCTCCATTGCCCGTCTCAAGTCATGTTCCACACTGCCCGAAGCAACCACCTGTTCCACGCGTTTACTCTCGACTTGCCTCTCCGTGTCACCCACAATTGAGGCTAGAAAACGCCTAGGAACTTCTTTCTTCCTGGGGTAGATAGTTTCAACTGTAGACAACGAGCCGAACGGATAATTTCACATCTTGAGTATATTAAGGGGCGAGCATTGAAGACTGAACGCACCATGGAATGGTCTCTTTGATATCCGAGACTTCTGTACAGTGAAACCCTTGAAAAGCTCTGTGAAGTCAAGAATCTTGTCCTTCTCAAACGTCGGAAATCGTTCGTACACTGTCTTGGGTCTCTCAACTCTGCGATGTATAACTCTCTTGCGCTTGCCCTTTCGTGTCATCTGCTTAGGAGATTCGATCTCCATCTTCACTCGTGCCCCGTCATCAGACTCTTCCGCCTCCAACTCTCTGTCCACTTCGTCCTCCCAGTCCTGCCCCTCCCCGGGTCCAACAGCGTCCGCATCATCCCACTTGTCGTTGTAGATCTGCCCCGCACTAAAACCTGAGAGACCCGAGATACCAAGCTGGTTGGTAAGGCCAGGTCCAGTGGGCAGGTCTAAACCGTCGAGAACGTTGTTCAAGGAGAAACCTGTCAGAGTTGCAATGACATCAGTTTCTTCCTGCAGCATCGTGAGTGCCTCTCAGACCAAGTCGCTTTACATACAGGTAAACTCACCGCCATTGCTGCAATTCAACACTGAGTGGTCGACTTAATAATTAAGTTAATTAATGATGCCCTGAGGTTCGTTAGGTGTTATTGTTTGTAGCAAGACAGCCTTATGTGGGTGAGCACGAATGGGATGCGGTATGTCTAAGCTTCACGAGATGAAGAGCACATAGAGACACCACTGTCAGTGTACAGTGGCACAAGCAGGGGTCGTTACTGCATGTGACTATGGCGCTTACGCGACTGTGCCCGTGACGCGTCGGCCACAAGCGCTTTCACCAACTCGGCCAGCATCTGTTGCTTCTTGAAGGAACTTCTTGTCTGTTTTCAACAGACTTAGACATACGCTTTTACCTACCTTTTGATTTCAAGAGTAGACGCAGCGCATATAGGGAGGCATGTCTGGGAAACAAGGTGTGGATAAGGAGGTCGCGCGAAAGTTAGAGGTGAGCCAAGCTTGCTTCTTTACCCTTACATGTTTTATGCGTATCGACATCCAGGAATTCAATAAAACGGCTACTGATGTTGCGAACGACATCGTGTTTAATGTCTTTCCAAAGAAAGTATGTACCGTCATTTTGACTTGAATCTATTTCGTATCTAATGTCTCAGTAGATTCTGTGAATATCTATCATGCGTGTCGTGTATTCGCTAATCATACAGCTGACGTCCTATACACAGAAACTTTCAACAACTCATTGATTCCACGTCAGAGCCTTCCTCCCCATTTCACCCTTCTCATGCAACAAATTTCACGGATGTCACCATCTATCCTCCTCCTGCGATGGAGGAGCATGAGCAGAAGAAGCGCAAGCTCAATCCTGATGCTAATTTGAATGGACCCTCGAGCTCAGGCCCATCTAACGACGTCCGACACGCGAGATATCCAAATCTAGTGCTTGCGAATAAACACACTATCAACCTGCATGACATTCTCAAGAAGGAGTGCGAGGAGTTGGCTGAGTCATGCGTGAGTGTTCTATTGTTAGCATTTTTTGGTGCATATACGCTGATACGATTTCTTGAAGGATAAAGTCAAATTATGGGTGAATCTCTCAATGCCGAAGTAAGTCAAGGTTTTCAGCTATGTCATTCACACATGGCTCAATACTGCTGCAGGATCGAGGAGTAAGTTCTGTCTTCACATCTGCCGAATTCTTCATGACTGAGGTGTCCCACCGGCCTCCAGTGGAGACAACTTTGGTACGTTCTCTCGAGTCAGTAAGATATGCTGTATATCTCACTATATACAAACAGGTGTACAGATACAAGAAGGTACCGCCTATCGAACTTTGACCCTTCGCATTTTCTGAACACGTGTGCGCGCGCTTGCCAGAGGTCCTCACCGAGCTTCACCGTTCACAAGAGAGTGCATATAATCTCCGTGATGCTGCCCGCCAAGATCACATCAACCGGGCCAAACTGTGCTCCAAGATGATCAAGTACCCTCACATAGAAGACTACGCTGTACGCATTCCACGCAGCATCTGCAGCCCGAACCTGACGAACACCGCTTTTCTCGCAGTTGGCACTTAAGGAGCACGACCAGAAGCAAATCTACCTAGCGAGGCAAAACTTGTATGACTTACGCAATGTGTATGCCATCTTGACCGACATTCTGCACAAGAACATGGCGAAGGTTTGTTGTTTCCCCATAGCTGATTGATAGATTTTTGTTCATGGCGTTCTGGTAGATCCGGTCGCCCAAGGGAAATAACGCGACGGGACTGTATTGACAAGCCAACGTCTGTAGTCAAGGATTCTGGTCTTCAATTCGTTTTACAACATCATCCGCTCCGCTGTTCTCCTCGTTGGATCTCGTCTTGCACTTGAGTGCGTGATTTCGGACCAGGCTCTATCCATATTGTATGCAGCTACTTTAAAAGTGTGTACGCATAACATGTGTCCATTGTATCGCTGGTCTATGAGTTGAAACCATGAGTCTGAATACCTCTCTTTTCGTGTACTCACCGAAACTTAGATATGCAGCACCTTTCCAAGCCCACATCTTTCCGAGGCGCCGGCGCCGGTTTTTGGCGCGTTTTGTGCGTACCTCTGCGTACCTACCTGGGCCAGCGCTGCCCCCTGCGCGAACCGCCTCGCTCTCGTTGTCCTGGTCCGGACGATTGGGTGGCCAGACCCCAGACATTTCACCCCAAATGCCAAATTGCTTAGAAAGGAAATTTGGTCACACCGTGACTGATGGAAGCACCGCAGCCTCTTGCTTGGGGAACTCTAACATATGTCTTAACAGTCTTTTCTCTTCTCTTGCTCTTCTCCTTCTGTGCGGCGGACGTTATGGCACTTTTCAAGTCAAATAGTCACTGGGTGGTGGGAAGCCCAGCATACTGTATATCATAGGGAGGGTTATCCCCTACTTAGGCACGTTCATTTCTTGGGCGTCTGAGTCCAAATTTTTGCCAAGAGTCGTTGATTTGGGCGTTGCAAATACACTACTAACTCAGCGATTTTGGTTTGAATGGCGAGGTAGCCGTTATGGGGATTATCGCGGGACCTATAATTGCCGGAGACGATCGATGAGGAGGAGGACATCAAAAGGAGGATAATTCTATTGGGAAACCCTCAGAAACCCGGAAACCCCAAGAAACCCCGGGTTTCTGAGGCTGCTCGGAGAAACCCCTCAATTTGGAAACTTGTGGGGTTTCCCTCTCCGGAGGAAGTTTCGGACTCCGGCCGGACGCCCTCCTGGGGCGGCCATGTTGGCATCATCATTTGTGCGGGAAGGCAGGGCAGACTCACTCCTCAGCTTCTCATGGCAGTTGACGAGAGATCGAGAGACCTTGCCTGCATGCACTCTCCATATTCTTAAAGTAAAATTTCGCAAGAATGGGAGAGGGAGAGGGAAAATTGGCACCCGCCGTAAGCCTTGTCAGTCCCGCCCGACGCGTCCTGTTCACGTACATAGAGTGTACCAAGCTCCTGTGTGATCGGTAAGCCCCGAATCAACTTACAATTTCGCAGCACTGGGTGCATTTTCCTGTAATCTGGTCCAATTATTGTAAGGTTATCCTTAAAATAGAGTGAATTTGATTTGTGTAAGTAGTATCACATATTTGAAACATATTAAAAACAACTTTATAATAAGTGGTGGCTTATTATACTGAGATTATTGGAGAGCATATCCAAAATATCTTTCAAATACTGTCTCAAATAGATTTTGAAAAGTGCTCCGATGTCTGACACTGATTACTTCATATTTACTCAAATATACTGGTCACATTTTCTTGTAAACTGGTTCAATTATTGTAATACTATTCTTAGAATAGAGTGAGCTTGATTTGTGTAAGCAGTGTCACTTATTTCAAACATGTTAAAAATAACTTTATCATGAATGATGGCTTATTATACTGAAATTATTATAGACAGATCTAAAATTTCATTCAAATATTGTTTCAAGTAGATTTCTCAAAGTTCTCTAATATCTGACACTGATTAGTCTACACTTATTATAAATGAGTTTCATATAAACCATGTTATAAAGTCAAACATTACTGGATTCTGTCTTTATAATATCTGTCAGATGTATGATGTCAAGTCTTCTTCATATACAATAAAGTTATTAAAACTAATCATTATAGTTTGTATACAATGATCTAAGAAAAATATATATATATAAACTGGAGCATTATGCAAAATTTAGTTAAAATATACTTAAAATCTATTTTAAACAATTTTACGATATAATTTCAAACATCTTGTGTATAATTAACACAGATCAAGTTGGTTTACTGCAGGTTTATTTGAAAGTAATTTGAAAAAGTAAGAATAAACACAGTTTAAAATTAAAGTTAATGAGATTTTAACGCAATGAGATTTCAATGCATTATAGTGATATATAGTAACATATAGCATAATGTGGTGAGACATAGTACTGTACAGTTCAATGCAGTAATGTTTGCACTATGGAGTACAACACAGTGATGAGTTGTACTATGTAGTGTAATATAGAAGTGTATCATGCTAATTAGTATACTGGAGCAATGTGCAGTCCATTACAGTATATTATAGTGGCATGTAGTGCTAAGTAGTATACTAGAGTGATACGTACTAATAGAATAGTACATCAAAATGACTAACACTGCAATGTAGTATATAGAGTGTACACCAGGTTATTAGCCCTGAGTAATCCCCAGTGGCAACCTGGCTGGTAATGGCATCCTTCAGCTTGGTAGCACTGGTAGAGAGAGTCCATCTCACCATTCCATAACATGCATCGCATCAGGTCCCGCAAACCCTCACCACAATCACAACAGGTAGGCACGTACCTTATTGCCAACAATAGAGAAGGCCCTGGGGGTCACTGTGACACAGTCAGCATAGTTAGCATGACACATGAAGGCGGGTGTCGGACGCCTACTATTGCTGCGTGATAGAGAGCAGGCGCAGGTAACTGTCGCCCCAGTACGAGTATGTATGATTGGGCTCGTACACACCGCCCTCGTTCTGCAGGAGCCCGGTGGCGGCGTCAAGGCCAGCCATGGGTGGAGGTGGGCGCACTCACGAAATACGCGCCGCTATCCGGTGTGATCGCGCGGAAGGTGTTGATATACTCGCTCACGGTTACATACATCTCCGTCCACTACCCGAGAGTGCTATTGAAGCCGAACAAGGCCTTGATCAACAGCTGCGGGAACGTGAGCATACTTACGAGCATACAAACAGACGGCAGAGCGCTTACATGCCAGAGCGAATTCCGCCACCCCGGGGTGACGCTTGTCGTGCACTCGGTATGACGACGACATACGGGCTCGCGAAAGAAAGGACGTCGTTCACAACGCTGCTCAGGTTTGCACAGCCCTCGGCCATAACGTACGGGCTCGCGAAAGAAAGGACGTCGTTCACAACGCTGCTCAGGTTTGCACAGCCCTCGGCCATATTGAACACGTCCGTGGTGAGAAGCCGCGTGCCGAGGGACAGCTCCGGACCAACAGCCTGAGCAATGTGAGCGCAGAGCATCCACAGATGGAAAGAGACCTACAGCCTCTTAGGGGAGCGCGACGTATTTCGAGAAGAACACATACCAGATGGCAGAGTTTCAATGACCTCCGCACCACCGTTTGCGATAGCCTAGTCCACCAACGCTGCATCGACTTTCGTCCAGGGAGATCAGAGGATTGACGTAGATAAATACTTGACTTGGTATTTTGCTACGGGAGTACTTGAGTTCTGAGACTCGTTGCTAGTCTTTGGTATAATAGGTCATCCGAAGAAGTCAGTTGTGACTTACGATGTGACCGTCAATATACGGACGGGCCAGCAATATACCGACAACTCGCCTTCTCTGCAGGTTCTGCGTCATTCTTCCTTGCTCGCTTGTTCGCGACAAAGTTAGACCCATATTCTCGGCCTACTAATTGGCCGTCGCCCTCTGCTTCGACCTCTTCTCAGACGCCTTCGGCCTGAGGAAATAATGTAACTCGGTGATCACCAATACGCGCAACATACGATCGTAACGTACTTTCATCTGCTGAATAAATCTGCTTTACTCGGTTTATTCTCGATTATGTCCAGTTGTCGCGAGGCGAGCTGTGCATCAATCTACAGAAACTCCATCAGTAAAGGTGCACTGCGGCATATCGCACCGACGCACCTCTGCCACAACCAAGTGTCTGAAAGCATAATGCAAGACGGAGATGTCAGTAGCTTGTTCGCCGTCATAGGTGACGAACACGAACACGTCTATCGGGCTGCGAATAGCAGTCTGTCATGGCTCCATGCGAGAAATTGCGAAAGATGACTCACGGGTCCAGTCTGTAGATGAGCTGGCGGTCTTCTGCGTTCTCTTGCATGAAGCGAAGCTCCAGAGCTACCATGATATCAATCAGCCGGCTCAGTATCGCCCACTCGTGTGGGTGGATGACCTGACCGTTGACCTGGATATCTTTGTCAGCGACATGAAGAGAATCCTGGGCAGAATCGACTTACTGGGCGCAGAGGAGGTGAGATGATCCTGTTGAGTAATGGTGCCAGTTCGAGTTGCAAAAATTGATCGCTCGCGAGATGCCTGAAGCCGTCACAGTGTCGGAAACCAGCAGCTGATTTGTCGATTTCTTCATTCATCTTGGTCTGGACGTAATTCTGTGAGGCGCCACTATTCACTGGCTGCACCAACTACACAAAGAGAATCTAGCGACATACCTCCCAATCTGCTTTCGGGCCCGTCTACCCTCGGGCCGCCACGCTCCTGGAACAGCGGTTAAAAAGGGACGAGAGTATATGGGAGATACTGCAGAAGGGCATATTCCCGCTCTGACCACATTTCGCCCGACATGATGTCGAAAGTCCAAAGTCACTCGTTCCCCCTGAGGTACCACGAAAAGTTGCCATCGCACTGGTGCAAGTTGGCGTAGTGCTCAAAACACCCTGCGCACGGCCAGCGATCACATGGCTATTAGAAATGAGCCATACGTTACCTAGTGCGATCTTGTCCACTGACCCGCTGTCCTCAACCTCACGGCTGAGACGGCCGACATACCGCGCCCCTCCTCTTCTCCAATTCCAAGATCCTTCCCTCGCTTTCGTGACATAGGTGCGAATAAATCATGGAGCACACTAGCTTCAATGTTGATGCCATCTCTAGACTTCTGGATGAATGGGAATCCGACATCACGGGCGGCGGCGACAAGAGCAGCCTCATCAGGCGATTTGGCCTTGAACTCCAAATGGTACAGCTCCGTGCGTGGCTCTGGGCAGTCTGAAAGGACGCTGTGACAAACGGCGAAGGCACGAATCCTGCTCCGCAGGCTCAAGGGCATTAGGTCTACCCTCGCACATCGCAGCTCCGCACTGGGCCTCAGTGACATGCACCGCGTTGCGGCGCAGCGTTTCAAGGACTCGTTTCAGAAAATGAAATTGTTCTAGCGCTAGCATCGCGACAGTGGCGCAGACGGTCAGGCTAGTGAAGACCTCCCTTCATGTGATGTTTCAGCTCCTGCTCACAAGTCAATACTTGCACTCACTGCATCGCCACTCCGACTTATTCACCTCTATCTCAACGTATGAAAACATTCGTCGCGCTGACTCGCGCGAGCAAGGGGAATGGCATCGTTGGGACGCTCGAGAGAGGATTTCTCGAGACAAGTCTTGCATTGTTGCGCCGTGTTGTCAGCTCTCACACGCTGCACGGTTCTCTGTGATCTCGGCGGCCTCGTTCAGCAACCTTCGTCGAAGACACATGTTGGGGACATGATCATGCCGTCGCTGTTGCGCTGGTCAAACCGCGTACGTTGATTTTTTTAATTCTTATCCGATCTCTCAGCCCGCGGCGAAGGTGATCCTGGAGATTGTGATCGCAGTAACAGTGCGGATGATACTGCGTCATCAATGAAGAGCTCTGCTAAGATGAAGCACAAACCAAGTGAAGAGCGAACAGCGGCGGCTTCCATTCTCATGGCAAGGCGGCGCAAGGCAACACAGCAATGATCGAAGCGTTCCCGGACCGCAGCTGCAGGGAGATATACGCAGCATCTGGCTAAACTCACGATCAGGAAAGTCACAAACAAAATCTCAGACATAACTTCGCCATTTGGACTTGACAGCCCTAAACAACAAGAGGCACACGTCTTGCGCGAGCGATGTCACGCCGAGCTGCTGGGGTCAGAGGTAGCCAATAACCGACAATCGCTCGATAAGAACGCACTTAAGATGGCCACGTTGCCCGTGGTGAAGATTGAAGGCTCGCCAGCCACCCGTCAATTGAGCCGTGTTTAGCTTCCCAGTCATATGACTCTGAGATGAAGTAGGTCTCAATATAAGAGGCCCTGATGAACGGTGTACTCGGCGTATCATAAATCTGACGAGACTGCGTGAAATGCAACATTGTTCGCACAATGCCGTAGAAGAAAGCCTAACGAACTGGTCTGAGAGGCACGAGCAGCACGCCGTGTGCGAGTCTTGACAACAAAGGCGAGCACAACAATGATGCCCTGAACGTTCGCGAAATAAGCCAATTCAGTTAGCTAGTGGATTAGGCAAATACCGGATAAAGAGGCCCAAGAAGTGGCATCTGTCAAGAGTCTTCTGGAAGAGGGACAAAGGAACGAGCATGTCACCTTAGCACGCGGAACCCCTAGCTTCATTGATATCGCACCACATCTATGACGGGCCCATCTCTGCCCAGACGGGTGACCTGCATAGTGGCGAAGGCTGTCGACCATGTCGTCTGCGCAAATCTGACAAAGTGCATGGCCACGATTAGTAGAGTAACTTGCAAGTATTAAGCGAAGCCAGCCAACTTACACTGTCTGTTCTCCAACAAACAGAGGAGGGGCACTTGAAGCTTCAATTCAAAGCCTATGCCTTCCTAGCCTGAGTATGCCGTGTAAGCCTTCAAACGTAGTCAAACTTGCCTTTAATGACACGTGAGAGGTGCGTGGTAGTACTAAGCCAAGTCTGCCTGTGTTCGCATCGTTCTCCCAAATAACTCTGCGAAAACCATCGCGAGGCCCTCAGTAAATGTTGTGGAGTCACTTTCTTGGAGCACTCTAACTCCCTTTGCAATGCGGAGAGGTGAGCGCTTCGGAAGGTCGAGCATGACGCGATGCAGCATGACTTTGATTGTTGTCGTTGTCTGCGTCGGTAGAAGTCCCCAATGTGCACCTCCGTGCAATACTTTCGTGGCCCCACTCGTAGTGGTGCCAAGTTAACATTTCGGTGGCACCTTCGAGTTGCAGTCGGCTATCGTGAATGCAAATGCATATGGGTACTGGGTACTCGAAGTGCGATTGGAAAGTAGAGGACTAGGAACGCAACTGGAAAGCAATAAAAACTTGGAGAGCGACTGGAAAGTGATATGACTTCAGGAGGAAATGGAAATGGAGATACAACTTTGAAAGCAATCTGGTGAGGAGGCATGTGGATGGTGAAATACTACACGATGGTGACTTGTGAGTAAATTCAATTTCTGCATATGGGCCACTGTGGCTGGAAAGGAATCAGGATGGCCAGAGACAATGTGTTCACTCCGACGAATTGAAATGTTCAATCGATACCATAATCTTGAATTGAGAATGGCCGACTGAGGAAACGTAGTAGCAGAGCGATTGAAAGGATATTGCGAGAGGGGGAGACGGGAACGTTACGACAATGCCACACAATGTGTCGAGTGATTCTGCAACCTGGAGGTGCGACCTTACGTCTCGCTCTTATAGGCAAAGCGCCGTACCAACCGGCTAGGCCAGTCAGAGACGTCGACGCTTATTCCCGTGAGTGTTTCTCAAGGTCGGGTCAGTCTGGAGATCCTGGATTTGAATTGACGAGACATGATTCTGGATAGGGCATGAGCCGGTGACCAAGGGAGGAGGATAAGGATCTTCGCCGCGGGACTTTCTTTTCCTGCCCCTCCTAATTCCATCTCCCCGGGAGTAGTCGACGATCCACTCAAAGCCGTGTCCAGGATCGCGCAGAGGCTTCCGGACAGCCACAAAACAGTCTCTTAACGACAACTGGTGACGAATCGAGCCCTGCACCTATAGATTAGAACACATCCCAGGGCAGGACCACGGCTACGTACCTGCCACATCTTGTCATCCTTGTGTTCTTTGTACCATTTAAACCGCTCCCTCAGCGCTTTATAAATCTCCTGAAGGCTAAGACGCTGCCGCAGACTTCCGAGAATTGCCAATTTGATGAGGATATGGTAGCTGTACTCCGGCTTACAATCGTCGGTGCGGTCAGGGAGAGAAAGTAGGCTAAGCGGCTGATCCGGGGTGAGACCAACATCTGCACGCAGCACTTCGAGTGAGTCGACAGGGTTAATCTGGCCGGCCACGGCCACGGATGGTGTCAGTAAAGGGCCATCTCGTGGATGTGGCAACCGTGCTGGGCTGTGAGCAGCCGTCTTCGATGCTAGTTGTGTGTGCACAGGGACAGGAGGTGGGAGATGTATGGTAGGATGACAGATATTGGGCGAACCTGGTACCTGAGGCATGTTGGCCGGGTAGGGCACGGGAGAGAGACTACCCGCTTCTCCATCGCCGCTTGTACTCGAGCACACAGCCTTGTGAAGTAGACACTCGCCAGTAGGATGATATGGCCACTCTATATAGCGCGAGTAACTGTCCTCTACTCCGCCTGCAGACGGTATGTGATCCAGGTAGTTGTGCTCTCGACGAAGGGCGAAGGCTGTGCCACCAGCTCTCGCATTGTCGTTGTGGCCCCCCGACTGAATGGCTTGGTATCTGGCAACAGTGTCGTAGCTCCAATCCGTCCCGTACACCCCGTTGATAATATGTGTAGATGTATCATTGCCACCATACTTGATACTGGGTTCCTGGTAGCCAGTGAGGATGGGCTGAGTAGAAAGGAAGGAGAAAACCTACGACTTGACGGGTCGGGAATGTTAACGGAGACGAAGACACATGATGGCTGTATGGGCTTATTTGGGAGTCCATGCTGGCATCCTCCTGGTGCAACGGGGAGTGCCGAGACATTGGCGTGAGGCCGGGTAGGAAATACTGCGATTCATCCCTAGCACGTACACCGCATGAGTTGGAGAGTGGAGGTAGACGACGACTGCAAGTGATGTCATTTGCAATTGGCGGGTGGCCATTGCTAAATACTCCTTGGACATGTCGGGCAGGTCCAACATGTTGGTGCGGGTGAATGACACGCCCAGCGGTGAACGAGTTCAACATAAAGGTCAAACCGTTGCCGCAAGGACGTGATGTTGGAAATTTTTCAGAATAGGGAGGAACTCCGTCGTCCATGCAGTACATTGCAGATATGAAGAAAGGACAATTATTCAAAGAGGTTGCGATGGGCGGCGGGGAGCCTGGGGCGGTGGGGAGCCTGGGTGGTAACTTGCAGAAGAGCAATTTAGGGTTGGTAAGATCGCTATTGAATCTTCACTCCGCCGCGTCTGATGGGCGCCGGCCACGAAGCAAGAAAACTTCAATACAAGGATGTGTACAAGGAAGGAAATCAGATCTGCAATTCCCCATCTTCTGGGTCGGAATGGCGGCGATGACGGAGAGGTTAGGGATGATTTTTTGACATCGATATATCAGTGAGGGAACTAGAACTTGATGGAGCCCAGTACAACGGCTTCATGGCTTGACAACGAAAGACGACATTGTTCTCTGGCGAAATAATTGGTCCCACTCTGTTTACGGTCAACCAGATCTTATAAAGGAGATATGGTAACATGGGCACTTCCGAACATTATCGTGTATGGCGCCAGTGGCCGTGAAGGGTCAAACGATGCGATGAATTCGCCGCTTCGCGAAGCGTTACCAGGAGAGAGTTCATGGAATCACTCTGGAAAAAATCTGCATGAAAGACTGTGTACCTGACTCGAGGGGTATATGTGAAACTCACCTTCGACCATGCGAACGCTCTGCGTAGAGGCAATGTCTGAGCACTGGCCCTCACCGATTAGTTTCTTCGTGATGACATACATTATCCAATTTGTGCTCTATTCCTACCCGCGCTCCTTAACGCTCTGCGTAGGTGCAGACTTGGGAAATACCTTTATCTGTCGTATAGAGGGTGCATGGTCCCACCTCTTCTTTCCTCAGCGGACTGCCAACGCCGCGGTGCGCTCACAGCCATGAAGCACTCTTTGATCTTATCTTATCTTCCTCGCTGGCCGGACCAGGGGATCGGCACCACACCACAGCCAGAGTACAGGAATTATACAGGAATGTGAACCGCGCAGTCGACATCACAATGGTCATCTCTCTGATGGCTTAGGTTTCTGCACTTGTTCATCTATATTTGATCGGAAATTTAACTGATCGGTGTTACCGCTCCGGCAGGCGGGGTCATGGGATGGCCCTGCACCGTGAGTTCTGTTTAGAACGCAGGGAATACCTCCGTTTTGCTGATGGTGAGCAGCAACATGCCAGAATCCGTCATGCAATCTCGCGGGTACAACCTGACCCTCATATGGACCTAGACCTTCCTAAGAGTATTCCAGCAGGTGCGTGCTCGTCGCGCTAATTTTCTCGACGGAGCAAAATTACATTGTTCCTGGCTATACCTGACCACCACCATTGCCATTCCTCCCGTCCGCCAACGAAGAATTAGAGTCATGGACCCACGTTCGAGTAACAGAACCACCAGCAACCAGCCGCATTTGCAGTACTCGCAATATACGGGAACAAAATGGCGCAGGAGCGAATTTTCCCCAGCATTTTATTTAAGGCTAATGACTTCGCAGATTTGAAACATCTACGTCAGCCAGTCGGCTGAGCTCCAGGGATACAACGATGCGCACAACGTCTCATATTTTACTGTATGGTAAGCCTGTGACGGCTTCTCCTCACATATACTACTAATGGTGCCTCTGCAGAGGACTTTGGGTACAACCTGGGCGACGTAGTAGTGGCGACTGATGACTCCATCAAGACGAACATGGTACTAGTCTTTGCTTGTGTGTATATGTACTTACGATCCCAGCTCCAGACCGGAGCGACTCACTGGCCTGGCTTATGCAGGAGAACGGCTCGCCCTTTTTTAACGTAAGTTCCTGGAAATTTCCTCCTCCATCTCTACCTGACACTATGTTACGGATTCCGTACACGGCAAGCAGACAAGAGGTCTGCACGGAGATAAAGATGACGGATACGACTTGGTCGTTTGCCCCTTGGACTTCCAGCAGAATGGTCAGACCGTCGACGTCGTGCGTTACTGACCTTCTTTAACGGTCCAACTCTCTAACTGGCATGAAGCAGGTCTTGCATGATGATGATCAAACCGCTACCTGCTGGTTGCCGTCTCACAGCTATTGCCGCTGTGCGTCCTCTACGCATGGCGATAGCGTTTCCCCTGGTGTCCCCATTCTAGACTCCCTAGTCGACTCGCAGCACTACGGTCCCACCTTTGCCAGTGGACCATCTGCGGCTCGCACTCGGCAGGCCTTTGCTATTGGAGCTGTCATCAGACAGCACTGCAATGAAGCGAAGAGCATCAAAGCCTCAAACCCGATACTCGAGTGTTATCCAGCGCCAGCATTAAGGGACTGCTTTCATCATCTATACCCTTGTCATCATCTACGCTCTCATCATCATCTTTTATCCCAACGTTGTCATTGAGGTCACGGTCAGCCCGTCAAATTGTTCCTTCTTGTTCGTTGGGGTCACGGTCAGCACCTCATTCTTGTTCATCGAAGTCTAAGCTTACGATTCGTCGGATTCGATCATCCTCTCTCCGATCTCCATCCCCATTATTCTTGATTGTCACTCACGTTCATCCCCAGGTCTGTACGACGTATACGAGGTAGTTGAAGTCGGTCACAGTCGTCCTCAGCATCACACACCTTCTGGTGTGATCGAAATTGGTGACAGTCCTCGTTATGCTGACCCTGCTCCTGACGACTATGATTCACTGTGGCGGTATGGCTATGTGCAGGTTCCGAATGGTCGACACCACGACAATGACGGCGACCTAGAAAAGGTGGATGTGACGGCACGACAGCGACAGCGACCTAGACGACCTAGATAATAAGGGTGGGGCGACGGGTTCATAGAGAAGGGCGGGCGTGTGTGATTGGATGTATGCGCCCTAGATAATAGGTTTTTGCGCACCATGGGCGACGTTGAGGTCCCGTTCACTGTTTCATAGACAGAAGTTAGAGCGGGCAAAAGGTCCATAATTATTCAGTGATGTAGTACGACCAAACAGGACGATCTATGCGCGTACTTCTGCTATTCCTCTGGATATATTGTGTCAAGCAAGAAGTGTATAAGAGAAGCAAACCTAGGAGCAGAGTGAGAGATATGATAACGGCGCGTCGGCTTATAGCCAGTCCAGAATTAGCCTCAGGCATTGATAGAATGACATCAAGCGCATTGAGGAAGGACAGGCGAGCTGCACGCGATGTAGACAACATCCCGAACTCCTTGATATGACAAGAATGGCTCCCATGATTTCAGACGAAGGAGATTCGTCTACTCCAGCAAAACCTCGAATGCGCCTACAACTTGTGAACCGTGGCCATCGTTTTCAAAGTTTACGAAGAACTCCAATCCCCCGAGGCCCTTTCTCTGAAGCGCGCACGATACGAGGAGGCTGACACCCAGATGACAAGCCAGTCAACGACATACACTTTGAAGGCTCGCCGGTGCGGAGTGAACCGAGACTGACCAAGGATACTGGTTCAAGAGTCTGGGCACCCGGTCTGAGAGCGCCTCGACTACGAAGCTAACTTTTCTGTGCACGGCAATACACGCTCTGAATCCTCCAGGCATACCGGGGAGAGGACATATGTCACGCAGTCAATGAACACTTCTACACTCTTGGCTCTTTCGCTTCTTTCGAACGGCGCGACGAATCGCTTCACGGGTACAATAGACACGAGGATGTTGGAGCAGGTGGTAAAGGAAGGCAACAAGGCGCGTCACTGTCTTGAGTGTGCTAAGTTGAAGAATGTGCATCTCGTGGAACACGGCGTACGAAAACCCATTGGACGGTGTTGCGTGTCAATACTTGGTAACACAGTTTCAAGCCCAAACGCGCAAGTCAGGAGCCTGATACATACCGACGCCATCCCATTTTCCGCCATACGTTTCGGTCTTGCGGGTGGTGGTGGAATGCCAAGACCGCGTGCAAATGTAGACAAGCGCCCAGGGAGCCCGGGTGACTAAGCAAATGAATGATGTCACCGAGAATGCACACAGAGTGACCGGTATAGGAGACTCCAAATGTGGTCGTTCGCAATGATCATATTCTACCAGTAGCACATTAGAGAAGATAATCAGAAGAAAAGCACACGGACGTACCTATCAACGGCGTTCGATGCCTTGGCTACAATTCCCTGGAGCTTCAAAGCTTCAAGTTTGAGCCTCTTACCTCCAAGCTAAAAGTGGCAATTTGCTCCATGAGTTCGCTGGAATGCATGTCAGCATACTTAAGCTGCTCACCAGAACGAACTCTTGACCGATTCTAGGGGAATCGGAATCTGAAAATGGCGGAAGGATATAAGAAAGCAAGCAAGCCTAGCAATTCCCGCGAACGCGACGGACTGACCATTGTGGCTACCTTCCTCGCGGCCTTTGACTTCCTTTTGGGTTTGCCTCGGCCTGTGCTTTCGGAACTCCAGTACAAAAACATTTTAGTATGAACCCCAAGTTGTGTTAGCCGTGATTACATTATGCTTCCGCTCGGTCTCATAGCCTACCGAGAGCCCGTTTGTTCTGCAATAACGTATTGCTCGAGGTATGTCAATTCAGTACTACTCGTTGTACAGGATCTGGTCTGTTACAGACGTTACAGACGCAGCACGGCTCAGCTCACATAGCTCCTTCATCCAGATAGTGCGAATTTATTCCCAGTTCCCTGAAAAGCGATTCCTCGAGGTTACCCGATATTACGTCCACTAGCTCTGAAGAAATCGCGGCGAGTACATTGGAAATAAAACGCTGGTTAAGTCGGATTAGAGAGAATTCACGTTACGAGCAAGCAGGATTGACAACTACCTGGTGGGAGATACTGAAGTACGCCCGAATTTCAGCCATAACACTGAGCTCGGTGTTGTACGGCTGGAGGTCCGCCATACCCCTCCTCATGGAGTCGTACCTTTGTGCGAATCGATATTTGATGGCACGCAGTTCCATGTTACTGCCAACTCTAGGCGTAGTCTCCAATTGGAACAATTTCAGCACGAGGTCCAATGCCTTCTGAGAGGCGGCATCGACTATTTCGGCCGCAATATTTCTAGGGAAGGGTCAGAAGATGTATTAGCCAAGAAGATAAGACCACACATACGTTACGTCCAACCGTAACAGCGGGAATGTACTAAAATAAACAAGTATCAGCGCATCGAGCTCGCACCGAAGCGTCTCTGCAGTTTTCTCCACGCAGAGACGGGCACAATTCTTCCAATCCTGCTGGAAACTCTCAATCAGAGCTACCTTTGTGGCGTTGGGCACGCTCCCAGCTAGCTCCCGAGTCGTATACCTAATAGCACAATGAAATTGTAAATCGCAAAGCCCTGGATGACATCAACGCACTTGCTGATTTCTTTCCGGAAATCTTCGAGGAAAACAGCTTGACAAGGATCAATCTCAAATTCATCCTCAGGCTCGCATAGGGATGGCGGGACGATGGCAGCAGATAGATATTCTTCGCCGTTTGCATATGGTAAAAAGCAGGGGAATGACATCCGAATATTGCACTTGAAATCATCGTGCACACGATTTATAGCTGCAAGAACGCGTGGCTCAACCGAAGAGTCCTGAAACGAGCGGCGTAGGTTGGCAGTGAAGGAATTTATAATATGAAACAGGATGATGTGCGGGGAGACATCGCCTGAGGAGACGCCATCCAGTAGCGGTCGGAGTCCCGGGCTAAGACCTGGTCGGAGTTAGTTAGTCTAAACGTACCTCAAGATGCACATAGCTTGCCTTGGATTTGGTCCCATTCAAAACCCATAGTGATATAGTCTGATAGTCTAGAAGGAGGATTAAATTAGTGGTCATGACCTACTGCGTGAATATGTTCCTTACTTGCGCATGTTGGACAACAACGTACGAGAAACAGCCCGCTCGTTCCTCACAGTCTTATATACTTTGAGGAAGTGGGTCCTATACAATGAAGGGTCTCTCAGAACAAAGGTTCACTCAGAATAAAGGTTCACTCGGAACAAAGGTTAGCTAACAATGACGAGTGGCTCATCGCTCAATGCCACAGCACCAAGGAGGACCCATTTGAACACTCCCAAGCACAGCCGCAGTCATAATCGGGAAAGGCAGTGGGTGATCCCGAGGCCGAGATGTCGTTAAACGTCGGCTTCCCAATGTTCAGTAGGTTTGAGATACGTGGAAATGGTTGTGGCTTACTTAGCGTTAATGAACAGAAAGCTGATCTTCAGGTCATCAATGATAGTATTCAAGAGCACAGAAGTGAATGCGCAAGAGCCTACAAGAACCATACTAAAGAGATGCGGATTCCCCAAAGTGAAAAAGCAGAGTATTGGAGCCATGAAATCATTCGTCGGTGTCATTGGTCATGGTTGCCCGGGCCTTCTCCGGTGCGCGACACATTACAGACCGGTATTCAATTTGAAAGGCCTCCAGGGGGCGGCGGAACCCGCTCGGAGACGAGACGGACAGAATTACCACAAAACAAATAGCGCACAACAACAACTGTGTAAAAAGGGCGCGTTCAGTACTCAGTACTCAGTGCCGGGCCGTTAACGTTCACTTTTGGATCGGGAGAGCTTGCTCCCCGAGCAAGAATTATCTGCAGTCACCGAACTCAGACGTTGCTCGAATAACTTCTCAGAGCACTGCACTGGCACTTGACCATGGATTTCGACTCGGTAACTCGACTCGCCTCGCCTGTGGAGTTGGCCAACTCGCACCGACTCACCGACGAGTTTGACCAGTCCTGAGCTCTGATTGGCTCACAGCCTTACCTCGCTCCAACTCGCCGGAACGAGATCCCCGTCGTCCTCGACCACCGCGCGCTAAACGCGAACGTGAACCTCATTGTGCTTCAAAGCTTCACCAAGTGAGCGGGACCCTGCGGGACCCTGCGGGACCCGTCAAGTTCTCCCCCTTCGCGTTGTCCGCCCTCCGTCTCGTCGAGCACCCACTATCATTCGCACCGTACAGGTCGCCGAGAATCGTGCAGGGTAGCTCTCCAGGGCCAACTGTGATTCATGCGCAATCACCCACTGAACCTGTGCCTCATGTAGTTCATGTAGTCCAAGCCCGATCCCGTAGATGGCCTAGTGAAGGTGCGTGTTACTTGGCAGTTATACCATAGCTCGCGCGAACAAGTCAGGTTTTTCAACCTGTGCGGCTATTACAGTGTCTCGACAATGGAGCCTCCCTACAGTGAACGGGACCAACAGTTGTTTTGTTAGATACAAAGGTACGCCGCTAGCTTCTCAATTTAAAAAAGGCCCAGAAATATCGGTGTGTACCATCAGTTACCATTACATGTGTCTAACGAGGCACTGCGGGCGGCTGGACTGCTGTTTTTGTGTATCTAGTAGTTTACTAGATCTTTCATTGTGCAATTTTCTGAGGCAAACGGTGGAGAATTGCACAGGCGGGAAATTTTTGAGATCGGCCAAGATGCTAGAACTAGCCAAGTAATAGCCAAGTAACACATTTGTACTGCAGATGCTACAACATGATGCTCATCTTACACAAAACTGTTATTTTAGATAGGAAGGCTGACATGATTTTTAACATCTTGTTCCTTGCTAAGAACGTATTTGAGAAAAATGTAGGAAAGATATATGGTCCCATGAAGGCATTACGCCCAGTCACGCGTCACGACTCACTCGCGATTCGGGAAGCGGGCGCTTCTCATGCAGAAGTTTGAACGCGACACATTTGGCCATGATGTTGGCGCGTTTGCTCGCGTCATGCTCGCGTCAACTCCATCGCCCCCTGCTTAGACTAGAAGCTGAATATGCCATTTCGAGCCACCCAACATCGTATACATGCCCTCGTCTTCGACCTTCAATGCAAGCGCCCGATTGCTTGGATTGCACTCCCGCGACATTGTCTTCCACGATGCTCAAGGCCCCGGAATGTCCTTCGGCCCGGGGCTCTATCCTAGTATCCTGGCAAATCTGTAGCCTTCAGCTTGTCGTCGCTACGTTGGTCGCAAAAAAAAAAAAACATGTACGTATGACGGTCCGAGGATGTCTAATTTCGCCCTCTATCATGTGGTTTTGGACACTATACAATGCCAAAGCCAGCTGGAGCACCACCCTTCCATCGAAGTACGCTCATCCGCTCGCCACGCACCGTTATTGAGCGTGACGATTTGTCTTCACTAATGAAGTCTGCCGCAGGTCCACATTAATGGCGTGGCCGCGCTCCTCTCTTAAATATCCCTGCAGGCAACCGCAGCCAACGCGCCGTTGACGCACCTCTCGATTTGAGGCCATCATTATGCGACGGTAATGATGAGCTAATTGTCATTAAATTTTGTCAATCGCGACAGTTCTTTTTTATGAAAGCTACTCTCACTTAAACATCAGGTATATCAGATGTTCTAGCAGCCCTCGTAAGAGGCATGGTATTAATTTCAGATTCAGGAATACTACCCCCGAACCGGACGATACCTACAGTGCTAAAACGTCTCAGATATGGTAAGTGTTTGATATATGTGGTGCGGTTGCGCAACAATGTCTGTCAAAACTGCGATAGATTGCACATCCGCGGACTATTTTAAGAGACGAAGGGACAGCTGCCATCGGGGAGTGAGCCCGGATTGCTGTAATAACCAGAGCAATGCAATAAAAGGTTCCAGTTCGGTTTATGGAGTATGTCATCTCTACTTTTATGCTTGGTCGATTCAGCCATTGAGCCCTGTCGCAGCCACACATACGCTGCACTGCTGATCCCTCTCAGCTTGACGCTAGCCGTCTCTTCGTTCTCTGGAGCCTGGTTGCTGCCAATATACACAGCTGAGCGCCGGCCTTAGCCATTTCTGCGCACTCTCATCTACCGGAGGAGCCGTTACCTCGTATCCTGTTCTCTATCTGCCACCAATTACTACTTGAACTATCCTCCTCGCGTCTTCTCTCGCAATGAAATATCTCATTGAGGTTAACAAAAATACTTTCGAGGTGAGTTGAAAAGGCTGAATATGATCAACATACTCAACACTGCGCAGACGATGACTGCGGTTATGACTAGAGACCACACCTGCCGGACCGACGTAAATTGGAATGGTTTTATTGAAGTATGTCTATTTCGGAGTATAACGTTCCATGTGCTCAGAAATTTCCACAGGCTATGCGGTCGATAGGATTTAGAGTTACCGGCATTACTGGCTCCAAGTTCCGTTTCGATCCTCCCGCCATTATGCAACGTCGGACAATCGTGATCCATGATGTGCGTGTCTTCTTGGTGTTCTAGAATTCCCAATTACTAACGTTTTGATAGCCTCACACTCCAGCTCTTGACAAAGACCAGCTACGCTGGTAAGTAGTCTTTCAGGCCCCCCGTGGCGTACTAACTTATCTTCAGGCTGCGAAAGAAATTGGTCAAAAATTATGATTGGAGCGAGGAAAGTTTTGTCAGAAGATCGGACGAAGAAGAAGGCGGTATTAAGATTGTTTGATCTACCTAAGCATGGCGCTTGGCCATGCCTTTTCCTTGTTTACAACAGTTAAGGGATTGTCGTCACGGCTATTTTTTGCAAGTGCTCACACAGGGCGTAGCTTGAATTTGGCACCGGCGCGGTTCAGGTGCTTGTAGTCCTGCTTCTTATGGTACTGTGCGCTCTCGTTAACTCTCGTGAGAATAATTCATGAATCCACGTGCAGGTGTTCAGCTAGACGTTCGCGAAGAAGACCCTGCGACTATCTATTTGGACTTCCTGCGCGACAACATCCTTCAACAAGGGACCGGCTTGGGGGGCAGGCCGGGCGCAGAGGGATGACCTGCGCCTGCAGTGGGTGAAGTTAGTATCGTAGATCCACAGGCAATGGCGCTTACCTCATCGCATATGCTACTCGACCGACAATCTAACACTGTATTTTAGTGTCCAGCGCAAGTTCGCTGGCCTTCTGTTGCTATCTGGTGTCCCTCTCGTACGGTTGGTACCTCTCTGTCTCGTACCCAGCATTCTGACACTATATTTTGACTTCTGCAGCATGCCAGTCCTCGTGCCCCTTCTGCATATCTCGTCCGACATTCCTTGGTATTCTGACTTACGGCCTTACCTTCGACATCCGCCTGCGCAGGCATCCTTAGCAGTAGTGTACTTGATATTTGAACATCTCGCGAACGAGGTGCCCCTTCGTGCTGCTACGGGCAAGCCAACGGATGGCGCGGGGGCCGGGCGAGGGACGTGCGCCTGCACCAGATGAAGTCGGTGTTGCGAATGTCAAGATCCGCAGAGAACAGCAAGTACCTTATCATTTGTGCTACCCGACCGATGCTAAGGTCCCGTTCCTCCTGCGATGCGCCGTCGCAATATCTTAACCCCCATGAGCGGCATCCTGACTTAGTCGTCGGTATTGTTCGCAGGCTTGCATGCTCAGTCGTCCCTGTGGCTCCCTCGTTGGTTCCCTCGTCTCACTCACCGAGTCCCCAACTTTGCGCAGGTGCATGCACTGATGCTGCCAAGGGAAGTCCGCACATCCATGCTAGCCTTCGGCTGCCCGTTTCGATTTAGCCTCATCTAAGGTTTCGCCTTCATGTTTCGAGTTTCGGCGAGCCGGGCTCTTCCCCTTCGCCGGCTCGCTGCTCTTCCCACCTCCGGACACCACGTTTCGACACGTCGCAGGTGTTGTCGGGCGCCGAAGCAAGGGTTCGCGTGCGTGGCACTGTTGAATTCCGCGTGTAGCTCACTGATTCAGTGCGTCGAGCGCACTGGCCGTATATCTTGACATTCAGCGGGGTGTGATAGTTATCCACGTGCGGAAAGACGGTAGCACATATCTTCCTCTGGTGCTCCTCATGTCTGTGGGTGCGCGAGCCACTTCACACGTCATCCAGCGCTTGATTGTCAGTGCCCTTGCGAGAAACTGCAGCCGTCGTCTACCTCCTCGATTTTCGTGCAAGACTTTCCTGGTTCTCCGAGTGATGTTTCATGGACCTAAGAAGAGGGCAGAGGGCCAGATATCGTTATTCGGTGATGTCTTGTGCTCTCTGCTCCCAGAGACAGAGAGCGCTCGAGTGGCCATCGATCGGCCAAGGCAGGTTGACGCGTACGTATGGCGCGTGAATATCACGTGTGCGCGTTGCAGTCCGCCTGCGTAGTCAGCTAATCTCATCCGTTTCACCGACGGTTTCTCAGTAGCTCTGCACCATGGTCGACCCTAGACAATCATTCTGCGTACCTCTCAACTGCAACCACGCTATACTCATAGCTTCGGCCCACAACATTGTCCTTCCAAACCCATGCGCGATCAGGCTGCACCCGAAGCTTCGATAAGGCGATCGATAGTTAACGCTATGCTCCTCTGTTGCTCGCTACCTAGGTCGTCGTTTCGTCATCTCTTCTGCGCTATCCTCTTTAAACTGAAAAGAGAGAACAAGTTCAGTCGTTTCCTCCATGCAGCGACACACGTGGAATGAAGTACCCGCTGTGCAGCTAGCGCTCCAGCGTAATTTGTCAACTGTCGACAATGGGAACCGCGAGTGTTGCGGAGGGTACACGTTTGTACAGCGTCTGGGAGATGTGTGGCCACTATGTCTGGTTTGATGTGCGATCCTGTGAGTCATGGACACATCTGACTACAAGCTTTCTTGCATCTGACCCAGTCCCCGACAGGTGCAATCTTTTTACGCTCGGTGTCATCGCTGCGTGCTTTCCCCTACATCATGCCCGCGAACGTCGAATTGTCTTATACGACAAGCCTCAGGTCAACCTGCCTTCGACATGCTCATGCGCGGCGAGGATATCGTGCGTATCGCCAAGTTTGCAAAAGCTGGGATCGCCTCGTACATACTCTCCGAGACCGCGGCGGCGAAGGGGCGCACCGAATATGAAACCAAGAGGCCTCCGCCATCGATATTATCGGCCTACATAGGCGGCGACCGTCGGCATCCTCCCATGGTATATGCGCACGTTCGCGCAGTGTCTGCCAAGGTCTAGCCGTGACACCAAGGCATTACGCGCGCTGGCTGACCGGCATGAGGGTGAACGTAGTCTCGCAGCGGCTCCCTGCTGCGCGACAGGAGGGCACGGACGAGAAGAGTTTCGATGATATGTTTGACAGGCTCTTGAGCCGCCAGGACGAGAACAGGAATCCGATCGGTCCGGAGGAGCTCACACAGACTGCCGAAGCGATCACGCTCCTCGTACACAACGTCCAAGTGCTTACCTCATTGTCATCGGTCGTACAGTGTCGTGATCGATGATCCAACAGCTCGCTGTCGGCCATTATATGCTACATGGCTCACGAGCAAGAGGTGCAGAAGAAACCACTGGCAGAGCTCGACACCGTAGCAAATATACTCGAGCATCCTGCGGGAGTAACATCAAGTTACTGCGATACCCGTACCTTGAGGCCTTCATCAACGAGGGTCTCCTCCGAAGGGGGCTACACTGGGTTAGGGCACGCCTTCCTGGAGGACATTAGAGTCACGTATAGTCTGCACCACTCCAATGAGGCCGAACGTTCCGCTCTAAGTGTTGGTATGATGCTCAACCCTCAGTGTATGCACGTGCGTAGGCATTACATCGACAAGAATAACGAAAATAGTATTGGGAAAGCCAACAGCAAGGGAACTGAGTAACGAGAGCTACCAAGGAAGAATGCGAGTGCATGTGGAGATCATAAGAAAAGCAAGTGCAGAGAGCGTGAGTGCAGAATACAAAAACCAGGAGAGTACGGCAAACACCGGAAAGATTGACATGAACGAGATACGCTCTTGGTATGGCCAGAGATAAACGAAGCTTGAGCTAAGTTATTCTGATGCAGTAAGGAGATGTCAGACGCTGTGAACAACCAATAAAGAGTGGGACAAAATGACAAACCATGCTTTTTGCCCCAGAACAATCGGAAGCGTCTAGCAGGTGGCACTCTCACCGCCGGAATGTCTCTAATCACCGAAACCCCCTCCTCCGCTGAAACATCGATATGCCCTGCGTATCCGGCCAAATCCTCCAAATGGGTGTTCCTGAGACTTATTTCAAATTCCAATTGTTCTATCTTGTCATCGAGAACAACCCCAACCGCCTTCAAACTCTCAATAAGAGCTCGAGTGGAGATCCTGATTTCACGCAATAGATCCAGGGCGCGCACGGCCTGTTTAGCAGACGTCACATTCATGCTGTCCTTCAAGTCAGTTGCTGTTGAACAGGTCAATATGGCAGGACTAACTGATGCTCTTGGCCGCTCGCCATGTCTGTGAGCTGGCTGGCTGGCGATCCGAATGGTTGCACCTAGTTAAAACGCTCTATTTTATAATTCATCTGGCTTAGCGCAAGCGGCAGAGATCAGAATGCGGAGCGCCTCGGAAAAACCTTTCCTGCCTAATAAGACAGTTGTGACAGATTTTGACCCCCCCTTGCAATAGAAACGAAAAAATTAGGGCATTTTGAGTAATTTTTGTCCCCTACAAGGCAGTTACAAGCCCCAAATAAGAAGTTGTCAGGCAAGGTTCGGCACATTATTTTTTTCCGACTAATATTTGTGACTCCAAACTTGTGCCACGCCGTAGCCGCTGTCCACTGCTTTATCGCATTCTTCAAACTGTTGCATCTTGTGACATGTGTAGTCTAGGGCTCCGAGAGATTTCCTCGAAGTTTAGTGCGCGGAAAGCTGGTATGTCACCCGCTGCCGAATTGGGTAGCCTTAATTCCTCGGCTTGGCTAAAGCAGAGCGCCAGCCATGAATACCGTGCTAAAGATACTGGATAAGGAACGAGGAGAGGTTGGCGAGAGAGCATATAATGCCGCAAGACCAATGCATGAAAATGGTGGTAGCGCATTCAACTTGCAGCCGGGGTCCAGGAATGCTTCGATCATCTATGTGCTGCATTGTGCCAAGAGAATGGAAGCCACTGCCACTCGCTCTTGACTTGCTTTGTGAGGCTGTCGCTATATCAGCAGAGCTCTCCATTGACATGCAGTATCCTCTGTGCTGTCACTACGACCATAATCTCTCAATCACCTTCATCAAGCAGCTGCTACGGAAGAACCATGGATGATATGTGCGCATTCTGTATATTGTGTGCATGCATGTTTAGAATTGAGCCCAACTCTAGCTGCGTTCTTTTTATGACTACGGACGTCTGGTATTCACGTACTACCGCCGAAATCGTTACCGAGGATGCAGAATGGGAGGACGCACATTTGGTATTCGTCAAACTTGCTCCGACTCGATGTGAGATTGTGGCACACTGTTACAACGCTCCCCACTTGTGGCGCGTCTTTTCTTTTTCTTTTCCTTGTTCCCTTTACGTTACCAGACCACGTGATCCAACACGTGACTCATCGGAGCGCAACCTCCGATTCTTTACCCAGATGCCCAGAACCCCTAGTCTAGGGTTACACCGGATCCAACTCAGGACCTTCTTCTTATCGCGCATGCAAGACGTGCATGTACGCCTCATCTTTACCTCGTTCTGATACACGACTCGTTATCCCCATTAGTACTGATTATCTCTCACGACCTTACTCAGCTTTCTCATACATATTACTTCCTCGCTGTTACCTTGCCCAGATATCGTTTCACCTTATCTAGCCAATGAACGATCTCGCATTACTGCGTAGTACTGCGGATACCTTTTGTATAAGTAGACGACCTTGTCGAGCTGGATCCCCATCTCGACCTGGTTACTATTAAACCAGCTTTTCACTTGCCTTTGACTGAGATCGACCGTCAGTAGCAGACAGCTATTACGAGTCATAAGAACGAACTCTGATCGACCTTCAGTGCGAGGACATCGCCAGAAGTGTCACTTGAACGGACTTGTGTCTTAGACTAAGACCTTGTCTCGTGACGACTCGACTAGACGCTCGTGTTTCGCTGCCGCGTAACATTAGGTTGAGATCTTATTACTCTCTGTGACTTCCTAGAGTCTAACAGCGAACTACCGACCGGACCGAACCTTGAAGACTGAACGATACACCCGATTCGATTGCTAAAGCACCGTTTGAGATTACTCTGTAATCGAGGTAGCTGAAGGGATAGACTGATCACTCATCTTCGGAGAGGGGTCTGTCCGAGAGACCAATAGGCCGAGGAGGCTGAGGTAATCACTCGAGCAATCAGCAAATAGGTGTATCAGCTTGAAGACAGAAGACACTCTACGGGCTTGTTAGCCGACGACGAACGAACCCACTTAGTTAAGGACGGTGTGCAGTCTACGTGTAGACATAGGCCACACAGAAGAATTTATCCACGCTGGATTTTAACTACATCAACCCGACCGCTCTTCCAGAGCAGTACCGCGAGCACCTCCCATCCCAAGCGGAGTGGAGCACAGAACGAAACGCACATTTCATAGGAGGAAGGCCTGTATTCATCAGGCCAGACAATCACAACTTCGACTACTCCCCAGAGGAATTTGAAAGGACACTTCCCCATAATCTTGGTGGAATAGTGCTCCAGCACATCGCAGACAGCGGTATAACGACCTCCTATCCAGGAGAAAGACCAGACGCCCCTTGGAACCCCCCTGCCCAGAATCCTGTACCCCAACCGACTCTTGCACCAATCGTACCCGATTACATACCACCGATGGCTACAGTTACCATGGATGAAGGACGTCACCATGCTAGCCAGAAGGAACTTGGTTTTAGAAAACCCGAGATCTTCAACGGTTCAGACCGTTCGAAGCTTAGGGAATTTATAAACCAATGCAAGAACTACATGGCCGGAAATAGCCATGTCTACCAGGAGGACAATCAGAAGATCGCATTCGTGCTATCGCACATGCAAGGAGGAACAGCAGGATCATGGGCACAGAGCTTCATAGAAACGGAACTCACCAATGATGACTTCCTTTCTTATGGGAGTTGGAGAGACTTCATTGCAAGTGTGAACAAAGCATTTGGCGATGAAAATATTGAAGAAACCGCTCGTACCTTGCTGCGTAACATCAAGCAAGGAACTCGTACTGCGGACGACTACATTGCCGAATTCCGATCGCTTGAATCCAAGGCGAAACTAGAAGATGCCGGAAATATCGAGTATTTCAAGTGGGGACTTAACGACCCACTCCGACAAAGGATATATGGGATGGAAAGCATGCCCAAGACACTTGACAAGTGGTACGAATACGCCTCGCGGTTTGATAACCAATGGAGATCTGCTCAGATCTTCAAGCGAGGAGCCACTACGACGACGCGAGGAAAGGGCCGATCTGTCCATCGTCCCTACTACTCGGCTTCTGCAAAGGATCCAAACGCGATGGATGTTGATCGTGTCAATATCTCGCGCTTATCCCCAGACGAGCGACAGAAGAGAATGAAAGAAGGATTATGTTTCCTATGCGGAAAGAAGGGCCATATAGCCAACGACAGGCAATTTCACCCCCAGTCTGGAAGTTTCACCCGTGCTAGAACGATACAGCCCGGGTTAGACACAGACACGATCACATGGATCAAGAAGATGCGAGAAGACCTCGCACAGAAGAAGGAGACGTCGAAGGAAGAAACCAGAGAGGAACAGATCGCCTATGTGCGAAACGTCTTCAACGACATGACTGATGAAGAACGAACCCAATTGGGTTTTTGAGACGACGGCCACTAGTAATGCATGGACCGTCGCATCTTACCGTATCTCCCCTCGTTATTTGTAACACTAGCGGAAATTCAATCACTGTGAATATTTCGTTGGGAGAGAAGGAAGACGTTACAACAGAAGCCTTGATCGATTCCGGTGCAGCCGAAACGTTCATGAACATTCATTTTGCGGAAGAAAACGATTTCATCAGGTGGGAATTACCGAAACCGATTACAGTCATGAATGCAGATGGCACACCAAATCAAATGGGTACCATTACTCATTGCACCTGGAAGATGATGAAAATTGGAGGAAGGAAGACACTTACTCGTTTCCTCTTGACCGGCATTGGCAAAGAAAACATACTTCTCGGCATGCCGTGGCTTAAGCGCCTCAATCCGATGATCAACTGGGAAACCGGTGACTTTTGGTTTGGTAAAGATGCCAAATGGCCACCGAAACCCACCGTCGAAGATGCACCAGATGAAGAAGTTTTGATTTTCAAGGGAGATAGACTCCCAGAGCTAATCACCACCGAAACTTCCCCTACCTCATTTGGGCATTCGGAATCTATCAGAGAAATCATGACCGATAACACTGAGCGTGGCGAGTTACCCGCAGTGCGGAATGATACCGAACTAGATGACCTACCATCAGAATCCCCTATGGATCAGCTCGATGATG